CTGGATACTATACATGAGGTAAAACGGCCTCTGTGATTTATCAAGAAGGTCAGCACTCTTTGCGGTTGACGCATGCTGCCAGCCAAATGCTCTGATCGTGACTACTCCTTGCAGGGTCTGGATAAAATCCGAATAGAGGGGCGATTTTGCTTCCAGATCCAAAAGACGTAACTGTCGAGATGTCATGAGGTAAAACCTTTGTAAGAAGTAGAGAACCACGATGAGCGGTGGATACATGGTCATCGACCATTTAGATGCCAATGTGATAAGAATCAGACCCAGGACACAGAAACTGAAATTCAACATGGTATCTTCCAAGGCAAATGGTAGTTGCAAACAAATGAGGGACATGTCCTGGCTGAAACGATTCACCAGGTTCCCAGTGTCTGTGGAGACCAGGAACCAGTAAGGCGCTCTCATCACTGTATCGACGAGTCTCTGGTGCAAACCAATGGATGTATGCGGCATTGCGAAGTGCAGAAGGCTGACAAGTCCGAATGCCGTGGATATGATAGCCAGGGCACAAATCAGACCCCATACTCCAATATACATGTTTGTCTGCTTCCCTGGATGAGTTTGTTCCGATTCAGACCACCATTGGACCCAAAGTGTGGTTATCTTTAAGAACACAGCCATTAAGATGACACTTCCAAGTGCAATGGATGAGGTAGCCCAGCCTATGGCCTTGAAATAGTAGAGATATAACCGGAAGTCGCCGGTTCGACGAGCAAGGTCGGATTCCATATCTTGATTCTCCGGCTCTCCTTGGGATTCATGCTGGACTTGGAATGAAATCGGCTCTTCTATGAGGGAAGATGTTCTACTGCCGAGACCGTCCGGGCTGATGATTTCGTCATCTACAGAATTTTCGATGGCGTTGATTTCACCAGGAGCACCTTGCTCAACAATGGAACCTCCTGGGGCCATGATTATCACATGGTCTGCTCGGCGAACATGGCGAACTAATATTCAGTCAGCAGATGGTTTCAGTACTTGATTGATACTGAAGAGACTAAATGACTTACTTGAATGTGTGGCCAGCAAAGCAGTCATTGAATGCTTTCGAAGGAAGCCCTCATTACCAAACACATTATTCACAAGGCTTTGTTCAGTCTTTGGATCGAGGCCTCCCAGGATGTCGTCAAGAACCAGAAGTTGTTTGCGTGAGTACAGTGCCCTTGCAAGGCTCAGTCTTTGCTTCTGCCCACCACTTAGACTGAGTCCTTTGCTACCAATCACCTGCTGGTCTCCTTGAGGTAGGTCTTGCAAGTCGCGACGCAGTAAACAGGCATCGAGAACCGACGAGTAAACCTCTTCGTCCCATGGTGAGTGCGCAACAATGAGTTTCTTGATACTCAAGTTGGGCAACCATGGATCTTGAGAACAATAGCCAATCTCTAGATAAGGCGAGCGGGTTACAGTCCCTCTAATATGCCGGAGCTCGTTTATGATTGCCAGAAGAAGAAGACTCTTTCCGCAACCGATAGGTCCTGCTAGAATAGTCCATGTGCCGGATGTGATCGAAAGGGTGATATTGCGGAGAAACGGGGTACTTGTGGCTGGCAATATGAAATCCGCTCTGTCGATAGAGAGGAGAGGCACCCCTTTCGCATTTCTATCCCTGGAGGGGGCCAGCCCTTGCAGTTCTATCTTGTCATCGTGGCTGTTCAACACACTTCGGTCGCCGGACTTTATCTCAGGAATTGTCTGAGACATTGAAAGATATTTCTGGATCCGTTGAAAGCACCCAAAAGCAGCAGCAACCTTGGGGATTCCCTTGACGAAGTATCTGATCGGAGTGGCCAGAAGGCTTACAAGGGACAATGCCGTGAATGCCACCACGGGGCTCAACTTGATTTCACCCTTGGCTCGCATCATCAGTGCGTAGGTAGTGAGAGTAAAGAATGGGATGAGAGCCAAGGACGTGGTAGCAATCAGGAGAGAAACAGTGAGCATAGTTCTGAACTTGCCCGCTACTTTGATCTCACTGACGCGTAGATTTTGTAGAATTCTACCTACATTGTCCGTCAATCCCATCATTTTGATCGGCTTGATGTTTGAGAGAACCATGGATGTTATCGCTACTCTTCTTTGTGTAGCTTCCAACCACGACTTTTGTGAGGTTGTGGAAATCTTCCGAAGGGCGATAGATATGAGAACAACAACTGATGTCCCAGATGTCAGTCAAGGAACAATTAGTGGGAGGAAGAACTTACCTATTGCAATGACTATTGGAGTGATAGTAGCCAGACCGACCTGTTGGTATAGAAGATAAATGGAAATGGCAATCTCGATCGGAGAAGCCCAGACTGCATCCATCTCTTCCACGCCAGTCGCCATGCAATCAATATCGGTGCTCATGAGCGTGATGGCAGCAGAATCCTTGGCAGCGTGAGAGTCGATACGAAGAGTCGTTTCATAAATCAGCCCGACCAGACTGCCCCTCATCATTGTGATAAGACGATACAGGTTATGCTTGAAAAGGCCCGTTGTCACTGCGATGCCAATGTAGATGAGCGAAGTGGCGCCGATCAACGCATACCCAACACTCTTTCTGCTGGGGCTATCCTCGGGCTCCAGTAAGATCGAAAGAGCCCTATGGATCAAGAGAGGTTGGCAAAAGTTGAAGGCGATGAGGCACAGCCGGTAGAAAACAATGTGAGAAATCTGTTTCCAGAAGCACCGGAATACAGTCTCAATTAGGGCTCTTGTTGAAGGATTCTTCCTGACGTTGGAGTACCATGACTGTCTGAACTTGGTGTGCAGATGATCGAAGCTCAGTTCCTCGTCGAGCTCAAACAAATCTTCCAATTGAAGACTTGAGGATCGGCCTTTGAGCAGGAGAGAGTTGATCCACCAGAACACGCTCCTATTTATTACGCCACCCAAAGCCTCTGGCGGATAATTTGCGTAGGGCTCTCTGAGGATCTTCTTTTTCTCCCTCATCTCTGTGAAGAGGGCCAGGGCCTTGCAGACTAGTCCTGTCGTAAAAACAGCAGCCAGCGCATGATCATGTCTGAGCCACAGTGTCCGAGCTTGAGCGAGATCAAACAAGATGGAGAAAGCTAGGTAAGCGTTCAGAATCCCAGATGGTCGAACAGCCCTGCTATGGTGGATGAATGAGAGAGTTGCCAGAGCCAAGCCTGCTGTCATGGACAATGCCGAGGCTGCAACGGAAATTCTAGTCGCATGGCTGGACGATGACCAAAGTGCTACAAGCACAAGCTGTGTAATGATAAAGCTGGCGAGGGGGATCTAATTTAATGGCGTGAGGTTAGTCATGGTTAGAAGTAAAAGAGAAAAGTATTGAAATGATTGGGAAGCTCCTACTTGCTTGAGGATTGGCCTGTTGAAACCTGATGGGGCTGGCTTGGTTTTGACACTCTGCTTATAGAGGACTGCGATACGATGGATGCACACTAATATAGCAATGACGGTCAAGGGAGTTGAAAGTATAGCTTGCTCAAAGAGTAGAGTGAAATCAAAGTCATCTCTGCAACCAATCACCCGTGGACCGAACCTATCGTCCGCTTCCAGCTTGCAAGTCGACATTTTTTTGCCTTTGGAGACTCACCCCGCTCGACCAAGCGGAGTTATTTAATAAAAGTTTGCGACTGCTAGTATTTATTGCAGAGCAGACTCGATTGCCTGTGGTAGACCCTATGAGCGAAAAGTAGAATTAGCGATGAGGGGTTGCGTGACTCATAGATAATAAAGGATAGAGGAATCCTCGTGTCGACCGGGTACAAAAGCCTTTAGTACGACTAGTACGCGTAAATTCCTTGGGATTGTCCCCTGTACATGCAGATCAGAGTGTTAGGTCCAGCTATCGATGCTACATTGTGCTTACAACGAAACCATGGTCACGGTTCCCCGTTTAGGCTATTTTCCGCGCATTTTTTCGCGCCGCAATTATCGCTTGGCATCTTGGATTTATACCGGATAGTTTCATGGCTACTACACGAGGTGTGCTTCAAACAAGGCTTACTTCCAGACCGAGATGATACATGAGCGGTAAGAGTAACCGATAACGCGTTGCTCCGAGACACGGATCTCACCCATCACGCAATCATCCTAGCGTCTGTCCTCATTTCTAGGTAGAAAATTGGAGGAACATAGAAATCCGAGTGCTTCACTTAGTCTTGGAAATAATCACATGTTAGCTTAGCCATTGCTCTCGAGAGACTCCTCAGAGATGGGGCAGTGATTGTTGTATCAAGGAATGCGTTGCATAGCCTTTATCCAATACCGGGGCATGAAGACTGGTGAGATATACCCACGATCAGCAAACATAACTAATCGTACAAGGTTTCTTCAAACAAGGTATTGAGTATCCTGACGCTTGTGCCATCTATTCTTTCAAAAACGATAAAAACATAGATTAAAGAAATAGTGAAGGCTGTGGGATCTTGAGGTTTTAACTACCAGAGTTGACTGTTATGGCACGGAATTCTAGCACGTTGGCTATCGGAAGCGTTCATGTTCACAGCAAGCACCACATGAGCGTAGAGGCAAGGCAAGTTAATATGCTGCACAACATTAGAACTACGTCAATAAAAGCTAGATATAGTATTTTGACCTCTGCGGACAACTTCCGGTAGTTTTATCTAGATATATCGCACAAATAATGAAGCAATGATGAAGGGACAAATCGAGGCATGAGAGCTATAGGGTAGGCTACTGAGTAGACTGGGGACTGGTCACGTGCAAATCGATTGTTTTGAATGACCCCACTTGCTCTTGCTCTTGATCATTCTCGCGTCTCGGGTCAATATTTTGATGGGCCTTTTTATCCACCTTGCTTTGAACGAGACTTGAAACAATGGCGGCGTTTGCTCTGTGCTTGAAGCCCGGTCCTTGCTAGCACCCTCATCTATGATGTGAATATCATCTCTCCGGCCTCTGAACCGGTTCTTTGCCGTCGCTATCCGTGAGACAGCTCCGAGTTGCGACCAACGGCCCCAAACCCCAATCCAGGACGAGAGCCCTTGTCAGGAACCATGGCCCACCCCCAGTCCAACGACGCTTTCGTGGCTGGAAATCGCATTGGCGCCTGGATCCTCCCCAGACCGTCAGGTCCCGCGATGAGCGATGGCCCTCTTGACGGCTGTGTCCTTGGCCGTCTGGGCTCGACGGAGATCGCAAGGCGAGAGCGAGCCCGCCGGCCCAAGGTTCGCACTGGCTGTGTCACATGCAAAGCTAGGCGAGTCAAGTGTGATGAGCGTAAGCCCGCATGTGTCCGCTGTGAAAGCGCCAGGGTTACTTGTCAAGGCTACGTCGAGGCCATCGACCGTCGCAGAAAGAGTGTCGTCGCTCGGCCTATGGCTACACGGCCTCTTGCGCCGCGATCTCCCACGCCCAAATTGCAGGAGATAACCATAACTCAGTCCATTCCGTCTAGCATCTCGACACTTCCCCTGGCTGGCCACCAAGACGGGACGTATTTCGATTACTTTCGACATCAGGTCACCGCCAACCTGGCTGGGTTTTATACGTGTCCAGTCTGGTCACAGCTTGTCAGCGAAGGCCTCCAGGACGATTGTATTCAGCATTCGATACTCGCGGTAGGGGCGCTGATTCGAGCCGTTGGCACCCTCGTGCCTGACACTTCATCCCCGAACACAACCGAAGAAGATACTTATGCAGTTGCCCAACACCGCAACACAGCCCTGCGGCATCACTTAAAGGCTGTGAAGTCTTTGCGAGAGAGAATAGAGGTTATGGCCACGACAGCTCCCAGGACCGTCGTAGTGTCGACTCTTCTACTTGTTGTTTTCGAGTTGGTACAAGGCCAGGTCAAGATAGCAGAGACGCTTCTTGATTCTTCATTGCGTATTCTGAAAGACCTAATTACCATCTTTCAGACGAAGACTGAGGAGCAACCCAGGCGTGTCAGTGATTCCGGATTCCAGGATATGGAACATGTCCTGCCCTGCATTTCCGTCATGAGCCACCTCTCAAATATCTCCCGACCCCAGCATCAGTTTCCAAGTTACTTCAAGGTTGAGCCCGAGCTTCGTTCCGATGACCCCGATTGTAGTAGCGTTTCAGAATTCTTTAGTTCCTGGGGTAGATTCTTTACCTCTGGCAGCATCTTTGTGGGCCACTCTGCTTCCACTGTGACCTCAACTAACCCACCAGACGACATCGCCGTCATGCGCCGGGAAATATTTCTCTCTCAGCTACAGAAATGGAAAGGTGTCATGGACCGTTATGCGAGGAGTGACTTGGTGGATGACGCTTCGAAAAAGGCGTTGCGCATTGCACAAATCCATTGGCTGCTGCTTCACATATCGCTTGCGTGCTGTCTAGATGCAACGCAAGTTGCCTATGATGCATTCAAAGAGGAATTCAGAGAACTTACGATGAAATGCATCGGCTTGTACCGAGACTCCTTGTCCCATCCGAGGCCGACTTCGGTTCTGCTCGGACAAGGTCTCATTCTACCGCTTTGCACGGTTGTACGCGCGTGCCGCGACCATGATATTCGTATGATGGCTGTTGAGGCGCTCAAGGAGCTTCCTTCGTCCATGGTCCCGTGGGATATTATTTCTACCATGGATGGGATTCTGGGAGCGGCCTTGCTTGAAGAGATTGGCCGAGATAAGGACGGCTCTGTGCCGCCCCGAGCGAGATGGTTTTGGCTGCGGGACGAAGATGCGCCAGCGGAGGGGACGGAGAAATGCGGAAAGATTTATCAATGCGTTATGCTCGGCGACGATGGGCAACAGGTATACGCGAGTCTCTCGCCGCTCGATGATGTGCGGCGGGAGATATGTAACGTTCGGCGATGCGCAGGTATTCATACTTTAGATGCCAGTGACGGGCTCAGCACCTAGCATCTTTATGGATGACTTTGTCTGGGGTTTCAGGAAGAGGTCCTATTGCTGTTGCCTGCTTGTTGGTTGGAGGATACATGATCGCCAGCTTGATATTGTTTCTCCCAAAGGATGTTTCGTAGTTAATGTAGTGAGGCTGTGGCAGTCTCTGTATGCCCGATCAATATTTTTGCACATCTTCTTTCTCACGGCACTGGCGGCGGGGATCGTTGTCAAGCGTCTTGACGAGTATGGATTCTGGTTCCTGCTAAATCATCGATACCAAACCACCAGTGGTTGTAATGCTCTCGTAAATGTTGGCCAATTATCACTTAGAAGCAATTAGTACGAGGCTAATGCAAGCTTTGGCCATCTGACAGTGCCCCCTGTAGCAGGATCTCGAATGCTCATTGGTGTCGTATATCCAGGCCAATGGGCACTCGAAGGTTAGTCACCTAAAATCCCCTCTCAGCCCTCCCGAAGGAGAAATCTAGGATACTTTATCGGAATCGATCTGTTATCGCCATGTTTTTTGACGGACATTGGCGCAGTCTCGGAGTGCTCCGACATTGGATCTGGATCATGCTACCCACCAAGATTGATACCGTGCCCAATGAGACTGATCCTGGAGGCCGAAAGGATCACTTCTGTTTTGTCTCCATCTCGCCCCCTCCTGAGCAAGTTTAGTCTTATCCTGCGGGGGAAAGATTAATCATCCTCTGGTGGGAAAGCATAAAACTGACCATCCTCACTGCTCGATATCTCCGCTCAACCTATTCCCGCCTGGCCTGCTACGAAAAACCCAACGTCCTCTAATTTTCCTTTCGATTACAACACAACATGAGCACCGATAGCGTCCCCATCGCCCAGCCAGTGGTACTGTCACTGGAGGATCTCAAGACAGGTACAGTGGCGACAATGGAGCATGGTTTGACCTAGCTGCTGATATAGATATTCAGGGAACGTGCCGTTCGAGAAGCTGGTCGAGGCATTTGGCCCCAACTCTCTTGGAATATTGGTTGTTAAAGACGTCCCCTCAGAATTCGCTGGCCTTCGTCACCAAGCACTATCCTATGCCTCGTATCTTGGCAATCTGCCAGAACAGGAATTGGGTGAGAGTGGCCGTCACGCGTGTGCCAAGTCCGCTTGCTGACAGTCTGGCACAGTCAAAATCGAGAATGCCGCAGCTAGGTACCTCACGGGATGGTCGTTGGGCAAGGAGCAGCTCAAGGAGGGACAAGTAGACACATTCAAGGGCTCATTCTATGCCAACTGCGCATTCTACACTGACCCATCACTCGACTGCGCGAAACCCACTCCCGAATTCAACCAGGAGAACTTCCCTGAATACGTCTCCCCCAATGTATGGCCCGGCGATGCCATCCTCCCAGGGTTCAAGCCCTCTGTTGAGAAGCTGTGCCGTCTGATGATCGACGTCGCCGTGCTTGTCGCGCGGGCCTGCGACCGATACGGCGAGCGCGAGATTGACGGTTACATCAAGGGGTACCTCGAACACGTCGTAGGCACGAGCAACACAACCAAGGCGAGACTGCTCCATTATTATCCTCAGGCGAAGCTTCCAGAAGAGGGAGAAGGCAACGAGGATGATTGGTGCGCCACGCACCTGGACCACGGTTGCCTCACGGCTTTGACCTCGGCAATGTTCGTCAACGAAGAGGAGACATCGTCGCGTGTTCCTGAGGGTGCTGCGGCGGGCGCGACTCTCCCTGCGCTTAAGGAGCTCGACGCAAGTCCCGACCCCAAGGCCGGGCTGTACATCAAGTCGAGAACGGGCGAGACCGTGCAGGTCAAGATCCCACGGGATGCCATCGCCTTTCAAACGGGCGAGACGTTGGAGAGGATCACCAAGGGGAAGTTCAAGGCTGTTCCGCACTTCGTACGGGGTGTGAGCCCTGCGATAAGCAATGGAAAGATTGCCAGGAATACTTTGGCTGTGTTCACGCAGCCAAACTTGGGTGAGGTGGTAGATGTGGAGCAGAATATCAATTTTGGCGAGTTTGCTCGGGGGGTGGTAACGAAATATACTGTGAAGAAATGAATAGTGGTCTTTTAGATGGTTTTTCTATCTGGTTTTCACCCACCACCCTTCTCATAACCGTAATAATGGATAAAGTTGAGGTTTTCAACATCACTAGGATAGCTCTAACGAAAATGAGAGAAGAAATGCCCCAAAATGTTCTCAAGGAGTGACTATCACGAGACAGTATATCCCTCTAAGCCTTCTCTTCAATCTTTCTTCGGCCCTGAAGTACCCTCGCCAGAATGATAAGCAGCGCACAACTCGCGTCCGCAAGTCCAGCCCATACCTGAGCGGCTCCATAGCTACCGCCTGCTGTATTTTGGATTGCCCCCCCAATGGGCGGACCTGACAGTGCTGCAAATGACATGACGGTGAAGCACATTCCCAGCCGTGCGCCGATCATGTCCATGCGCTCACTTATGCTTGCCACTCCAGAGGGAATGAGGCTCTGTATGCCTGCAGAGAACAGACCGTAAAAAGCTGTCCAGGCAAAGATGCCAACGCGGTTGGAAATCCCCAACCAGCTGAAAGCCACGGCCGTCAAGCAGAGGCCTGTTGGAATGGAAGTGTTGAACGGCCCGAACCGATCTGCGAGCAGCCCAACTATAATACGAGCGGGGATGCCGGTGCCGTTGATGATCATGATGAGATATGTGGCCTCGGTATATGAGATATGAAGAACTTGGATACCAAACGAGCCAACCTAGAGAAAATAATCAGTATATACAGCCAAGGTTGCAAACGCCCGATCAACCTACATAGTAGAAGGTATAATACCTCGCCCAGCAGAAGAAGAAGAGCCCAAGGACATAAGCGACATAGACGCGATTCTGAAATGCCGCAATGTCCACGACTGGCCCCTTTTGCTGCGGCTGCAACCTTCCTCGCAAGAAGCCCACCACCAAGCAAAATCCTGCTAGGTGGATGAACCCGATAGTGCGGGCCATCCAGCTAAAACCGACGTGTGCGAGAAGCCCCCTCACAATGGCAGGATAAATCACGCCACCTAAAGAATTTCCCAGTGTAACAAGTCCCAGTGCAAGAGATCGACGGGACGAGAAGTAGGTCAAGACGAGGGCGAGCGTTGGCGTGAAGATCAGCCCGTTCCCAAGGCCGGAGAGAATGCCCTGGGTCAAAACAAGTTGCCAGTACTGGGTGGAAACACTCATGAGGAAGATCCCCAGTAGTTGCAGAATAGCACCGGCGATCAAAGCAACTGTCAAATATCCGGCATCTAGCAGCCATCCGGAAATAGCTCCGGTCGAGAAGGTGAGCCAGGCTTGGAGGGAACCAATCCAGGATATTGCAGATTGATTTTGAGGCAGGACGGATATGTAGTAGGATTGAAACGCACCAAATGCATTGGCGTATCCCCAGGTCAAGAACACGGCCAGGCAGCCCACCGCGACTTGAGTCCAAGCACGTCGGCCGCCATCTGGTGCAGCTGGACTTTGAACCATGGCGTTGGTCTGGGGAGGACGTCGCAACGACTCTGCTCTAGGTAAGATATGGCTTGTAGGCTCAATGGCAAGATCAGTACAACTAGGGTAAGATCGAGATCTGACGACCATCGGCAATGATCATGAATAGAATAATTTGATTGTGGTTCCCCTCCAAGAATTGCTGTTGTGGTAAGAACCCTGATGGCTACATGGATGGACTAGGGCTGGCCTCTGACCAAGTTCCACTCACCGACCTAGCAAAAGACAAAGGGCAAGAAGAAATCAAGATACGCATATTTATCGCATTCTCCGATTCGGGTTTAGATCTATTCAAGTGATTCGACGTTTCTCGCGGAATCTTGGCATTGGACAGGTCGTTGGACTTGATACCAACACATCTGCCTCATTCTGACGAGAGAAGACCTGTCACTACTTTCTTTTATTGAGCTATCCAAGTGAATATGATCTATTATAAGAAAATAGCAACAACGTATACCTGCAACTCGAGTTGCTCTCTCCCTTTGACTTGCTCATTCTTCTCTCTTACGCTTCCCCAGCTTTGGACGTCCTACCTCGAGAGGTATGCCTTTCCAATCATCTTTCCAGCTATTTCCAGAGCTAGAGTTCAATGGCCAGTTTTTACGGAAAATCTCCATCGCCCAGCATGATGAACTCACATCCGCGTCGTCCGACCACTCTGCGTATCCCGCCATGGAGCCGTCTGCTTCCTTAGTAAAGGTATAATCCTTTGCTAAATTATGAATTATGGTGCCCATCTCGGTTCCATATACATCACCTGCTTCTTTCGCGTTTGCAGAGGACCGAATGCGTAGCTTTTGAAGAACATGCGTGGCTCGCTCTCCAGTTATTGTATTGAGAATATCCCGCGCGAGATCTTCGTCCAACGCGCAAACACGCAAGAAGTCCTGCATTTCTTCGACTGCGGCGTTGTACCGATCGGTCCAAAATAACTCCGGCGCCTCATATATCGTCCGGCCTTCACCTGGTACAGAGAAGCAGTCCATGTATATCGTTGCCGATCTCAGGCGTCTGAGGGCGCCCATCTTCTTGTATATGGCGGGATCGTGAGCGTTTGCGTATGTTCTCTCTACTGGTATCCTTAGGTCCTCAAGCAACGGGCACTGATATAATATGTTCAGAACGTGTTTTGTGGACAGAGATTGTCTGGAATAACACCCGCGCAACCAGCCTGATTCGTAATCATCCTCTGAAGAACCGGGGAACAAAACTAATGTTTGGAGAGACTGACCGTGCACCTGGACTGCTTGGGTTGGTATCTCTGGCCAAGTGTACCCAGTGAGTTTGAGTGACTGCAAAGGTGGCAGGTTGTGGAGGATGTTGATGAGCTGCTGCCTCTTCTTAGTCTCGAGGTCACGTGCCAACATATCATATAAGCGCAAAGACATCGATTTGAGGCGAGGGAAAATGCCATGCACCTGAAGCGAATCGAGATCCGGTCCATCGACATTGATTCCAATTTCCAACGACTCCAGAAGGGTGAAATCGGTCGCGTTGGCCCATTGGTCGAGTCGAATCGGATATCGACAGTGGCCCTCAAGATGCAATCTTTTGAGTTGCCCCAGCCTTGACGGAAACGCCTGTTCTCTGAACATGTGATGCGGTGCAAATGGGACTCCTTGGCGTTCCCAGTATGCGTTTTCGGCTTCTTCAGACGGAAACAAAGGCTCGTCGACCCTCTCGTTGAGCATCCAGACTTCTTGTAACGAGGGTGCCATGCCGGCGATAATTGCCATTATACGGCTTTTCAAGTTGCATTTCGGTCGGCCGGCCCTAGAAGCGTCGGAATAAATACAACGAATGCTGTAGAGGCACGGCGAAGTGACCAAGTTCATGTTCACTGCACTGTCGTTGTCAAAGTAGTAGATATGAAGCCGGCACTTTGGATGCTTCACCTCCAGCGCATGGAGCAACGCAGCAGGCAATGTCGCCGGACAATGAAAGTCCTTGAGTCCTGGAAGTCTGTCCAAGAGCTCGATCAGGATGTTACTGACACAGTCTTGATTAGCCTCGACTTCAAGCTCGCCGTTCTGAAAGACGTTCTTATCTGCTGGCCCGTAGACTGGGTTCAGATCGGCCAAGTCGAACTTTATGGTTTCGTCATTGTCCTGGGGATACCACGGGCCAGCGACCAGACAGCGAACAGAGGAGAAGGCATCATATCGCCACAGAAGAGATGTGAGGCGGTCTATCTGGCGACAAAATGCCGAGATCCTACAAGGTAGGCGTAATGAAATGCCTCGGACTAAATAGTGCACTGAGATCGCACGCAGTCGACGGTTTGTCAAAGACAGCGACTTAAGGTTGGAGATTGTCGGCTCGCACATTAGCGCCTCAATAATCTCTCCAATGCATTCATCCGGAATGTCTTCAAATTTGATAGGTGGCATGGTAGCTTCAAGAATTTCTGGTGGAAGTCAAGGAAGGTGCTGGGTGAATGTAAAAGGTTGAAATTTGAAATGATTCTAGCCGAGGCTTCTAGGAATATTTAGTAACATTAAGGCCAGCACATGGCAGTCGTTCATAGAGCCTTGTGCGAGAGCTTTCTTGTTATTGAATCCACCTCCTTTGTATTGTAGAAAGCAGCCTTTCAAAGAGTGGAGATGGGCTTGTGCATTGCTTCTAAGCTGTCCTTGTTATCATCACACAGGAAGTCTCTGTAACAAATATGGAGCGATTTATTTTAGGCTCTTTGTGGTTACGAACAAAGCTGAAACACTCCGATGTCGATATGATGACAACAGGACGGCTGGGCTTAGGCTGTTCAGGCTCTGCTATCATTTTTTAAAAGCCATCTTCTGTTCCTACCACGTAGCATAATATAGAGAAGACGCAATTACGAATGCGCAAATTCTCAGCTTACACAGAACGTAGCCCCGTGGATGGCCGCAACCTCATGCTCGCAGCTAACGGACCTGGAGAGTAGCGTGGTGTTAAGCAGAGTAACTTCAATGTGCGCTTGAAACGCGAGGGACGAGTGTCGTTTATTACCGATGAATTAAATGGCATGGCTTTGTCGGTTTCTTGAAGACGAATTTAAGCTTATCATGGGAACCTTGTCTAAAACTCGCCACAGACGTGTACCTCGTCAAAGCTAATAGTAACATCTTGAACATACAGGTCCTGATACGATATAGGGCGCGTACAAAAGATGTCTGCCAAGGAACTAGCTAGATAAGAAGACTTATATTTATCTGTTAATAGGCTATACCTAGACTAACTAGTAGGAAGATAGTCTTCTATTCAACGATAAGGTAGTTGCTAGAGAGCTAGGTACTAGATACCAGTGGGAACTATAATGTATGAAGACTTCCCTTGTAGCCTGTCGCTAAGACATTGAGATAGTCATGCTGGTGTAGATGTTAAACTACATGGAATTCGCACCATTTGGTATAACTGCAACCCCCGCTATGAGCGTAATCACTTCTTCAGTCTGTTAGTACAATTTCAAAGGCGACAATGCAAAGAGAAAAGGATGTACAGGCCTTGAAGAGAAAGTAGTTCTCCTTGAGCTGGAATGAGACCAGTCCAAACAAGGAGATGGATCCTTTGAGAAGTGCCACAGCAGTGTTGAAGTCGGATAGTTGACGGGGAACTGCCCAAATGCTGTGGGCTATGTTTATTGGCTATTACGGTATCAAGGTTGGATTGACGAGGGGTAGCATAGTGGAACGGGAGACGTCTCAATTTCTCATGGGAGCGTAGTCTACATGGTATTAGGTAGCCACCAGGTTGTGCTCAAGGACAAGGCGACCGACTTTTGCCTTGAGAGAGCTACAATTACGGCTACAACTCTAACCTTGGGAAGTTTAGTGCAAATCGGCTCTGGATAGGCCGACTAGGGGTCGGCTCATTTGCAGGCATTCCGGTCTCATCTCATCCCTGTGACGGCCGTGCAAATAAACAACCATGATACTCAGAACAAGGCGTCCCCAGCTGTAGATGGGACATGTAAATATCGCCAGTGAGCCAGTATATTTGATCTATTTAATTCTCAAGTATATGTTCACACAAGTATAAATTAATGACCCTCCTCTAACGAAGAGCAGTCTCGACGTTAGGATATATGATCTCATCGGCTGTGGCTTACCCTTCCGTTCCTCGAACCAGGTACATGGTCGAACAAGAGTGGATTTTCCTCTTGGCGAACCCTGTTTCTGAGTGCTAACTTTAGGGCCGCCCTTAATAGTTTTCTTAGTGAAAGTTTTCCTGTCGATTTTTCCCTCTGTTGTTCTTTTTTTGCCTCTTTTTCTTTCGGGAAGCTTTGTCAAAGGATTTCCATCCTTCGATTAGCATGGAGTCCTTGCTTTCCCTTGGATAGTACGGCAGGAGGCCGCTGGGAGGCCTCTGCAAGGCCTCCCAAAGGCCACCCAAAGAACCAACCCCACGGTCAACACCCAGATTGGCGGCAAGAGAACGGGAGTTTCGGGGCTCCGTAATTGCCAAGCCTCCTGTCCGGCAGTTTCAAGCCGATCAGCCAATGGGCAGACGGAAGAACAACCTGATGCATTTCTAGCCAATTATAGGACATTTATCATGTGAATGATGAGACATCTGAGTCTAACAAGCCTTGATATTCCTTGAGCGCAGGAACCATGCGGCTTTGTTTGGGATAAGGTAGATGAAGAACGTGGCTAAGTGAGATTCGTTATATCCGCCTCTGCTAGCGACGGCGTCGCATTTCAGCCGTTGTTTCGTGGCCTTGAATATGTCATCGATGGCGGCACAAATGTCTACGTAGGTAGGTGACTAGAGCTGCCTTCGCTTCGGCCTGTACCAGAACCCACGTGGTCTATACAATCAAAGTGACTCTGTGACTACAGGAGATAAAAGGCTTGCAGATGGCAGAGGCCTCCAGCTGCACTGCCCATAGGTGAATGGCATGGGATCATGGATTTTTTGAGTTCAAGGCAAAATCCGGAAAAGAAAGGAAGTTAAGTGGGGTCGTATGACCAAGCCTGAAGCCATCGTTGTAAGCCGAAGATTATTATATCGAAAGGCTCATGCAAAGATGACTTTCTTGGGGCTATCATGAAGAGAGATTTTTGAAAGATTGGGGTAAGCTCGGTTTGCTGCATATTAGCAATGGAAAACAGAAACAGAAATAGGGCTGTGGTGTGCTCCCCAAAGATAGACTTATCCCGTCTAACCAAACTCAGGACATGGTCCGACACACATCTCACGCTCTGCGGGCGTCGATGCAAGTTTATCTCGCATTATCGACCAGGCTCGAACAGCCTCGAGGGAGCCATCCTGTTGAGCTAGCAAAATTTGGGAAATTTGCTTTGGTTTGAAAATGAGGGACGTGAAAAATAAATATCCAGCTCATCAAGAGTCTCAAGAATACACGATGCACGACTTATTTCTGCACCCATTCCGTCCTCAATTCCCCCCCTAAATCAGCTTGTCAAGTTAAAGATATAGTATTCACACCATTCTTCGCCTCTTATTGCCTTATACCTACATGTCTAGTTCCAAGCCTGACGAAGATGGCGGCGGTGCCACTGAAGGTACAGGGCCCTTGCCTTCTCGTCCAAAGGAAGGTGTTGTGGTTCACGAGGCCTGGGACTCTGAGTATGAGGAGAAAGCACGCCGAATCGCTGAAAGCGATCTCAATCAGAGACAAAAACAGGTTTGATGCCACCAACCGACTCAGAGCACTGCAACACCCCGCGTCTAACAAATCATTGAACAGAATTACAAGGGATTTATGCTTCTTTGGGCTGCATGGCAAAGCACTGGTGTCATTTACGGAGACATTGGTACAAGCCCTCTCTATGTGTACAGTTCGACCTTCACCTCCCAGCCGTCATGGGATGACCTGGTCGGCGCTTTGTCTATTATCATTTGGTCCCTCATCATCATCGTGTCCATCAAATATTCTTTAATCGTTCTCCGTGCCGATGATGATGGGCAGGGTGGCACCTTTGCTCTGTACTCGCTTCTTGCCCGCTATGCCAACATTGTCCGCCGCGATCCCAATGTCTCAGGATTGGTCCGACTCGAGCGTCAGTTGACGACTGATTTGAAGCCTTCAGCAAGGACTGTCAGACACTTCCTCGAGCACAGTCGCATTACTCAAAGAGCCCTCAAGGTTCTGGGGGTGCTTGGCGTCTCCATGGTGATGGCTGACGGTGTACTTACTCCCGCCCAATCTGTGCTTGGTGCCATCCAGGGAATCAGAGTAACCAACCCCGAGCTCCCAACAGGTGCCATAGTTGGCATCTCATGCGCTATCCTCGTGGTCCTCTTCCTGATTCAGCCCCTCGGCACCTCCAAAGTTGGCACGACGTTTGCCCCCATCGTCGTCATCTGGCTCTTGTTCAACCTCAGCTGTGGCATATACAACCTAGTACTGTATGACTACACTGTCCTCAAAGCCTTCAGTCCACACTACGCATTCATATACCTGATTCGAAATGGTCGCGCGGGATGGGAGTCTCTGGGTGGCCTTCTTCTGGCTTTTACTGGTGTCGAGGCCCTCTTCGCGGACCTTGGTGCTTTTGGAAAACGTGGCATCCAACTCTCCTGGCTATGTCTGGCTTTGCCCTGTCTGCTTCTCGCCTACATTGGCCAGGCAGCGTATATCTCCGTGGATTCCACCCAGGAGGCCTATACCAACCCCTTTTTCAACAGCCTCCCTCCCGGAAGTCTCTACTTCGGCCTCGTCATTGCTGTCCTGGCTGCCATTGTAGCAAGTCAAGCAATGATTACCAGCTCGTTCCAATTATTGTCGCAGATTATGAGACTGAGCTACTTTCCTCATATCAAAACCATCCACACCAGTGCCAGGTTCCATGAGCAAGTTTACATACCTATGGCAAACTGGCTGTTGATGATTGGAACGGTTATCGTCACTGCCGTTTACAACAATGTAAGCTCCTCCCACCTCTACCTGTGACTTGTTGTGTATGTCCACTCACCTGATTACAATAGACCACAAGTCTGGGCAATGCTTATGGAGTATGTGTGATCATTGTCATGATGATAACAACTTGCATGATCTCCCTCGTCGCATCAATCATTTGGCATGTCCCCTCACCAATCGTCCTCTTCCTCTTCCTTTTCTTCGCAGCTTACGAGGGTGCTTACACCTCCTCGGCTCTTCGCAAGGTCCCTGAAGGTGCCTGGTTCACCCTTGTCTTGGCGGCCGTCCTTTCCAGCGTGTTTGTTCTTTGGCGCTGGGGGAAAGAGCGCCAGTGGTCCGCGGAAGGCGAGGATAGAGTCGAGACTCAAGATTTGCTACAACTTCCAGGTTCATCTTCGGGCGAGTCGACAACAAGAGAGGTCGACGCTCGACTACAGATGAAGCTGACACCTATGTTTGGCGAAGGTCTCGTCTCGACTGCCCCCGGCTTGGGGATATTTTTTGACAAGGTCGGCACTAGAGGAAACATGATCCCAAAGGTGTTTACACAATTTATCCGCAAGTTCAAGTCAAGGCCAGAGGTCATCATCTTCTTCCACATGCGGCCACTCTCCGTCCCCTTTGTACCAGTTGAAGAACGATTCGTCATTACCCGAGCAACTTCGCATATTCCCTCCTCGTACCGTGTAACTCTTCGTCATGGCTACTTGGATGACGTCCTCACGCCAGATCTTGGCTCTATCGTTGTTGACGAGATAGCTCGTTTCCTACAGACCGCCGCGGCCAGCGTTGGGACTAGCTCAAACCAGCCATCGAATGGTCTTGATGAAGAGCTGAGGGCGCTCCAGAGGGCCCAAAATGACCAAACTGTGTACGTGCTAGGCAAGCAAGTCATGCGCATCAAGCGGACAAGTGGCAATATTATACGGCGCCTGATGAGGAAGATCTTTCTAACCGCATTCCTCTGGATTCGCGAGAACTCGAGAGCGAAACTCGCCGATCTCGATATGGATTACAATAATCTAGTAGAGGTTGGGTTTGTGATGGAGATTTGATCCCGGCTGGTTTTCCTGGATCTAGCTGTCTGTAGGGGGAAGGAGGAGGAAGCCGGCTTTCATTTTGATAATAATTTCCTAGATACCCCTAAAATGAAGAACTTAACCTCCTTCCTAAAACCAATTCTACCAGCAATGTGACGGAAGTTTCAACTTACAAAGTATACCTAGGCTCAAATATGCCCCTTGGATGACTCGAACCCGTGCTTTCGAGACCTTATCGACCTCCAAATCAGGTAAGCTATATTTTTAAACTCGAGGGGGCTAACTCTACAACAAGAAAGCCCCATAATATACTGGCTTGTTTTTTTGGTGAGGAGAACGTGCTTGCTCTATTGTTCGCTCTGTTTGGATGGTCCGTTATTGGCTCCTATGCTGTACATACTTGTGGCAAGAAATAAATTAAAAGATTTGAGGGAAAGTATTCAAATATTATTCTTAGGCTCAATCTTGTAAACACAATGCCTGTATCTGATCAACCAAATTGGATCATACCCTCTTCAAAATGTATTCGTTATTTGAAAATTCATTAACTATAATTCTATTGTGGGATCCTCAAATTCATTCGTTTTATGCCTCAAATTCAACGATTCTTATTCCACTTTTCTTGCTTTCGTCATCTATATTATACGTTTGTCGTACACGGCCGTGGCATGTCGCAATTCTCTTTGCGTTGAGGTGCCAATTCTCTTTGATTGGGCTTGTCACTCGCGGCTTCCGACGTAACCGAAAAAGTATCATGTATCGACATTTTCCCGGCTCCCAAAAGTCGATAGCCTTGTATATCCTTTTCTACTATGCCGGTCTTGTCGGGTCCAAGTCCCACCAAGTCTATGGTGGAGGCACATAGAGTCCAATCTTGGCGATATCATTTCTGATCCTCGAATAAGTTGAACCATACCAGGTCTCTTGCGCTGTTAATCGACCCTCTATAGCCAAATCACCCCAAGTGGCCCTAAATAGGACCAAGTTGAAGTTAAAATGGTGCAGTTCTGCTGACCTTTATAGGTTAACCTGGACTAATATAAACACCAGGGATAATTTTTTCCCCAGGAATGCTAATAGCAGCAGAAGATGCTGGACTCGATATCTCAACACTATCATTAATACCTTTATAGCATGAAGCTTTGACGAATAACTAAAATCCTAGCAAGAGTCAGCCTAGAGTTTTTTATTATTTCCTAGCATCAGGCTTGCTCGTAGTGCCATGTATCTTATAATGAAAGACTGATGCATATTTTGGGCTGTTATAACAAATAACTTTTCCTCAAATTGGAAAAGGGCCTCCCCGTTACTCATGATCCTAGTTCAACTGCGACGAGAGGGATGTTCACCTGGCAAAAGATCGGGCGGGCCAAGGAGATCCGGTGTGAAGGGCTATTGAAGATTGTTCCGCCATCTGACTGCGAAATCAAGCAGAGAGATCGAGGAATATGACCTAAACATATCGTGTTTCTCATTCTACGTTCTGATAGATGTAGCAACAGCCATTTAGTATCCCCGCATCGTAGGGTTGCATGTCATATAACGGTCAACGAATATTGGCTTAACAATACGCGTCAACAGCACTGAGAGGTAATTGCTCGACATAGCATCCTCTTTCGGTGCATTCTTTTAGAGATTTGATACCTGAAGAGTTCTAATGATGCAAAATCGCCACCGTCCGGGGAGAGGGTCGCTGCCCACGAAATCCTTGCGAGATGGATTAATTTTAAGTTGTTTTTGTTGTTCATTCATCATCGAACCCGAATGCCAGTTGGTGACAAATATTAAATCGACAACGAAGGGGGCGCAGTTTGCTAATCCACCACCTGTTTGCGTAACCCGGCGATATTTGTAAGCCGGACGGTTCTGATGCAGGGCTTCATCTAAACCTCACTTAATCTGCATTGTTCAAGGGTATTTGTTCGCTTAAGGCAGAGATCGGCGATCTTAGGGGTTGTCAGACAACTTAATGCGGCAGGAGAGCCTCCACGGGTCAAAATGGTGACTCTCCCGTGGACCTTGCATTAGAAACCTCATCTGATCATAGAATGACGGATGATGGCCCCGTTGTGTGAAAACCTGACGGAATCCTGTGGGAAACACCCGTGAGATAGTGGCAATAAGAAGAAAATGTCACTTGCTCCGTAAGTCTGGGACAGGGGCTGTTGGAAACCCAGCACTGCCCGGTTGCCGGCCGGAATTTTCAAGTTTTCACTGGTAACATGGGTTTAGAGCGTAATTTTACTGCTCCTCGTACATCTCAGGCTTAGCGGCTTGAAATTGTTCTTTGGTCATCGAGCCGGTGGGAGGACTAGTTCATTGATTGATAAGAAAACTGTCTAAATTCCCGCGTATGCTTAATCAAGAACGGGAAGCTAGCTGTCATCGCTCGGGAAGAATGGATCAGGGGCAGGAGAAAATACCGCAAATGAAGCAAATCTACCTAAACCCCAAGCTTGTCTCTCAATTCCAATAGCTCATAGTCTTCTGATATGTTCCAGAGAACTAGCCGTCTCGTTAAACGCGGTACATTGGAAGTAAGTACAAGACGCAACTTCGTTTCGTCGAAGGAGGTGGTGTTCGTGATGATTCATTGATTCATTGACATCCCTAACTGGGGATAGTTGCAAATCATTCCCTCTAGGCACCTTTGAGCCATGCCTGCCATGTTTAGTGATCCTTCACGTAATGAGGTCCATACGATATGTCACTCATGCAGTCTCAATCGAAGGTGACACCCTCAGCGTATCCTCCCCTTGCGCATTTATTCATTAGATTGCAAATGGGACTAAAAGTGGCGTAATACTAGTGGGCGAGCCCCTGTGAAAGGGTTTCGCTGGTGGGTGCAGGCCGGCGGAATCTGTTTATGTGAGCATAAATAAGCAACATTCCCTGGAGATAACCCTGAGGCAGACCAGTTGGTGACGAAACAGTGGCCCAAACAACGGTAGTTGTCCGGTTCTCACAGTGGGTAGTTGTTCGTTTCACCAAGGTGGCAGAGGTACGTGCAGCTTCTCAAGACCGAGCTAAGCTTCATGCCAATATGATCCCAGCACCTGGTTGGCATCTGGACCGACGATCCCGGTAGTTAAGCTGCCCGATTAGGCTGCCGCGCGGGCGTTCTTAACTCCTGCGAATGACATTTGTAGTGACGAGTTGTTTCGTCGTCAGGCAATACGCTTAGTTTTACGCTTTTCCTCCAATACTGGATGAAATTCAAGCTTGTCGGAGCCGAAGCGGGTCGTGGCCGGGATCACCCTGACCGCTGCCTTGTCTCGGCTCGTTCCTCGAACAAGTTTCTGCTTCTAGGTGGTTTCCAAAAGCTTAAGGTTGTTTTCTGCTGGGATGAGCGGCCGCTGAGCTTCTTTTGGGACTAGAAGACATGCCCCGTCCCCTGTTTCGGTACTGGGATGAGCGACGGGTGAATCTATAAAGCCGACGGTTTATCTCCCAGTGTGTGCAGAAGGAAGCTCTACAGAGTCTCTCCATCCATTCTTGCCCCAGTCTTTCTTTCGATAACCGAGACTAGATTGTCCTGCGAGGTAACCTCAAGCTACCATCATGAAGTGCCAAGTCCTTTCAGGCGCAGCCCTCTTGGCTACCGGAGCCATGGCTGCGCGCCCCTTCCTAAACGAACCCGACACTGGCATTGAGCTTGTGCTTGGTGATATTGGGGCGGGTGTTCTTCCAGACCTTGACAAAATGATTGGTCTGCCTGACTTTGACTACGCTGCTCGCAACTATCTGCCCATTGCGAACTACACCTACTACCGGAACGGCGCTGCTGGCGAGTGGTCGTACCGCAACAACCTCGAGATCTACCACAAGTTCCACATCCGCTACCGAACCATGGTCGACATCACTGGTATTGAGAACACTCTGCCGTATGTCATAGGTTCTTTCAAGTGAAGACTTAGAGAAATTTAGTGATGCTAATATGATAATAGTACAACCATTCTCGGCCATAACTTCTCAGCCCCTTTCTTCATCGCACCGGCTGCCGCTGCCGTTCGAGGCCACCCCGATGCGGAGCTTGGTCTCGTCAAAGGCGCTGGAGCTGAGAATATTCTCTACATCGTGAGTAGTCGAGACCTACTAAAATTTCGAAAACATCTTCTGACAAACTTCGTGATTATAGCCCTCGCACTATGCCAGCAAGAGCATTGAGGAGATTGGCGCCGCCAAGAAGGAGGGCCAGGTCATCTTCCAACAAGTCTACCTTGACTCAAACGACACAAGGACCCAGCAAGAGTTTGACCGTATCAAGGCTGCTGGCTCCAAGGCGATTGTGTTTACCGTTGATTCAGCTGCCGATGGCAACCGTCACCGTGCTGCCCGCTTCGGTGTCGGTTCCGCTGACTCTGACTACACACTCATCACCTGGGACTACTACCACAAGATCCAGAACATGACTGATCTCCCCATCATCATCAAGGGTCTCGGTACCGTTGACGATGTCAAGCTGGCTATCGAGCACAAGGTGCCCGCCGTCTACCTCTCGAACCATGGTGGTCGTCAGCTCGACACTGCTCAGTCTACCCTTGAGACTGCCCTGGAGATCTTCCGAGAAGACCCTGAGATCTTTAACAAGATTGATATCTTTGCCGACGGTGGTGTCCGATACGGCGCGGATGCTTTGAAGCTGCTTGCTCTTGGTGTCAAGGCTGTTGGTCTTGGTAGACCATTCATGTATGCCAATGTTTACGGCGAGGAAGGTGTTGCGAAGGCTGCCAAGATTCTCAAGCACGAGCTCGCCATTGATGCCGGTAACGCCGGTGTTGCTGATTTGAAGAAGGTTGACAGCACTTATGTGAGTATATCCATGATGATGAGTTTATTGAGAGTGACAAAGTGCTAACATAAACTTTGCAGGTGAACTGGAACTCCAACTGCTACTACAGCGGTTAAATGCGCCTAGGGGCAGCTCGATATGGGCAAGTGTATATAGCCACCGTATCTTAGATTTAGTTCATACAGAAATAGAAGCATTACCTCTATTTTTTACTACACTTAAACATAAATGGGAGAATGATTTTCCATTCCGCCAAGCTTTGGTTGATTGATTTAATTCGAACTGATTTCTCGGATATATGATATCACACCTTACATGGCCAGTACCCGACATATATCGTCTGGGACTTATGGCTTAGCTTAGACTCAGCAACACCAGTGGATAGTCTAACAAACGCTCTAGTTAACCAGGTCTGGTGAAGCCAGCATTGGCCCCTAGGGCTTAAAACGTTACCGGAAGGTATTGAGAGGCGGCATATCGACTGAGAGAGAATTTCAATATGTTGGATATGGCTAATTAGTTAGTCCTACAGCTACATGTGCTCTCTTTCTGATGTTCTACCTCATCTCGAGAGGCAACCTCACTCTGCCTTCAATCTCCAACGTGGGCAGTAACGAAGTTTGATGGATTCCTGAGCATGTAATGGGATCTTTCTGCTGTGACAAAAAGACTGGCGCTCCTCTGCTGATGCCTGTTGTCGATGCTCCGGATGCTCCCAGCTTTCTTCGTGTAGCCGGCACTCGAGATCAGTAAAGAAGCACAGCCAACTATTACTCGAAGTCCTGACAGTAAGAATTTTTCTCTTTAACAACAGTGGTCAATAAACTTGTTTGCAAGTAGGGCGGTATATCGGTGATTCCGAAGCAAAGCCTCTTTAGCCAGTCTTTATCATCGATTGTTATCATATATGGACAATATCTCTTCAGCCGTCAGTCAAGGTCAATATGAAAAAAATGCTACAATGTCGTAAACTCATTGAAGAGGATAGCTTTATTCTCGAGATTCAAGACCATTTGGCCATGTCGATGAGGCCCTTACGAATTGATCTCACAACCGATGCGCCGAGTTCCTAAGGTGCTCAAGATGGCTGTTGATGGCTCAATCAGGCTTGCTCAGTCAGAATGGTGTTGTAAAGTCGTGCTTCAGCCTCATACCAATTACACCTTATTTTAGGTACTAGTGGAAGCAATAAGCGTGAGCTCTACGTGCCTTAGATCAACGCAAGCCACATATTGGATAAGAGAAATTGATCTCTGGATTAGATTGGCCTTCAAAGTGACTTGTGCATGGCCTCCAGATGGGTAGAGTGCGAGTTCCGTAAACATTGGCCTTTGGGGCTGCATCAATACCATCTTTCCAAATGACATCAATCTTCTCCTTCTCCTCCTCATCATCCGTGAGCTTTTTTAGTTGTATCCAATATCAGTTGGCGGAAGTCGTAGAGCTATTGAACTGAATTAAGGCATACAAAGGTGTTTCAATGCGAACCTGGCCACTATTCACGCCACATTTGCCGTCGCAATTTTATGCTTGTGCTTGTCTTCGCACAGCACGATTGAACGTCCTCCAGAGAGGGTCAGAAATCGCTCCCCCCGCCTTTATTCCTACTGTTTCTATCACCACTTGGAACTGCTGTTTAACTAGCTACATCTTGCGACTTTGTTACGGGATGCATGTTCGAAAAAGTACAAGTGGATAATTCCGTGCCGCTGGCTACAGTCTACATTGTAGATGATCATCCACGAATTCGAAAAGGAAGCAACTGTAAACCATTGAGATGGCGTACACGAAGTTAAGTACGAGCGAAGAGATCAAAGATTTGGAAAGGGGTCGAATTTTGTTGAACCTGCCCTGTCACGTTCGTTGAACCTATGTATATTATATACAAGAAGTGAAATGCATCAGAACGTCTACCGGCCACACTTTGAATGACCAGCCCACCGCGATTCCGACTTAAAGAAGACTCGACCGTGAGTAGCTACGAGTGGTGGCAACTGCGGTTGTCTCAGTCTTCTTTTAGTAAGGCAGCTGTCCGAGGCTAGAGTTGAGTAGTGGTTAGCATATCATGTAGTCTCACTGATGTTTGGTGCCGACTTACTAGTTTCCGGGAGGGGAGTAACGGCAGACAACCCAGGTACCGCCGTTGCCGGTAGCCTTGGCCATACCGACGTGAGTGGTCTTCTTCCAAACGACTTGAGCTATTGTTGGTGTAAGTAAAACTGTCGAAATATGGGACTCGTGTATCGGGAATGTGCTTACTGTAGTGGCTGTAGTTGTTGGAATCAATAACACCGCCAGTGTAGTCACTCTTCTCGGAGTTGAAGGCGTTGACGGCGTTGAGGAAGGGATCGTTGGAGCCGGACTGCATGTAGAGGTTTTCGCCCTGACCAGTGCCGCTGGCATGCTCAAGCTTGCCGATGGAAGCCAGGTGGTCAGCCCACGACTGAGCATCAGCGACAAGGCCTGTATCCCAGATGAGGTCGGGCGAGCCAACCGCAGCACGGGCTACATTGTGGGCGTCCAGGGCAGCCTGCTCGTCGGTGGTCAGGCCGGTGGTGGGAGCACTGGTGCTAACTGGGGCGGCCGAGGAAGGGGCTTCGGATGTCGAAGAGACGGCGGCCGAGGTCGTGATGATGACGGCAACGGTGGTGGACGTGCTCTCGACGGAGAGAGAGGTGGTAGGCTCAACCGAAGAGGGAGGCTCGATGGTGGTAGGGAGAACTGATACAACGCTCTCTGAGGAAGAGACCAGGCTCTCAGAGCTGCTGGTGGGAGAGGGCGAGGAGCTGCTGGGGGTCTGAGGGCCACCAGCTGTGACGGTGAATGTCACATACTCGGTGTGAACTTTTTGGGTGCATGACTTCTTGGCGGCCGCACCGCTCGCCAGCAAGGAAACCGCAAGAGTCGAGAAACGCATTTTGATTGTTTGGTATGTAAGGAACGTCTGGCCCAGCCACAAAAGGGAATGAAAATGGCGATAGACCGCAAAGAGGTGCTTAGAGTGAAAGAGAGCAAAGTGTCGCAGAACTCTCTCGCTTGCCAGCAGAGGCCATGCTTAAAGGTTTTATTTTGCCAGCAACATATTAATTTCAGGAATATGCAGGCGAGAGCTAAGCTTTGCTCTTCGTCTCATCTCCCTCGCGTAACCTATGGAAGTTTCCTGAATTGCGGATCCCCCGTGTTTCACTATCGACATGGTCGGACGTGGAGGTCCTGGGCAATTACCACGCGATCCCGACATTCACCTGGCGGCAGAGTTGACACAGGCAGGGAGAACAAACCCGCTCGTGTCCCAGAAACACGGTTCCAGGGAGAAATCAATAATTCGTGTTGTATCAATCTCCCCGCAATCTCTGATGGATCGACGGCGATCCCTCAGGTGAGTCGATATATGTCTCGCGTTTTCTCGTCGCAGCAACCAAGAAGATCGGCGGCCGCGCATGCATTGACCATCACCCCTTTTCGGCAGCTGCCAAGCGGGGTTTGTGCCTTCGCTCCGCATGTATAAGGGTTTTGGGGTTGGCAAATTGTGGCCGAGGGATATTCCTCGCCACTTGTTTCGTGCTGCCTAGAACGGCACTCGCTTCATTTGAAGGATTACTGTGAGCCACTCACCACACGGATAATGACATTCTATATTAAACTCGGGCGTTACAGACTTTCGATACCCCACTCTTCAGCTGTAGCCTTGATTTGCAGACTTCCAGGTCGATTTCTTCTCGGCAGACGCCGAGTGCTGCCAATGGCCTGTACATCCAAGATCCTTGATTAATGTACGTAACAGAGTTTAGCTTGTAGCACACCTGGGCTGTTAATTCGTTGACACATCGTTTTCCTTGCCTGTCCTATGGTGGCAAACGTGCCACTAGCCCTGGTACGCTGTCGGAAGCCACGGCGTAAGCTGATGAAGTTCATAAACCTCAAACGAAGTAGTTGGGAAATTTTTCATGCCTGAAGAAGAAGAATTTTGTTCCTGGTGTCGAACTTTCCCCAATTCTAAGTACCTTCGCTTCTAGTGTCGTGCTCTGCCTTGGAATCGGTCACAATGCTGCCGCATCAGGCTTATCGCCTTGACAGAGCCTTTTCCTTAGAACAAATTAGCTCTTATGATCCCCTCATCTCGGCTACACCGCTTAGATAGATTTCAGGTTGCCTACCGTAACCCGATTTCAGTTGTGAGGAAAAAGGCTAGAGGAGGCCTCCTTCTACCACCACCACAGTAAAGTCTCAATCAGTTGCAAGGTAAAGGATTTTCCAGGTAGTAGTATTTAATTACAACTGCCGCAAGAACCACTTAGTTACGTGATAGTATGGTGTTTGATTCACAGTGGCCCGGCATGACTATTAGGGAGGTTAACGCTCCTCGGAAGCGGTGCCATTCCAGTGAGCTTTCGTCCGGTAAATGGTAGGCATGAAGGTAGTGAATTGAGATGCTCTCGAAGAAGGTATGGTTAAGATCATCTAATTGAAGCATTGACGAACTACAAAAGCCAAGACTAGTCTCACTCAATTTCCAATCTTCCCAATGCCTGCGTTCGCTGTAACGGTGCTAACAACCTTGCCATATCCCAGGGGGGCCACAAGCTGAGACTTGTAGCTTCCGAGCTCGCTCAAGACAGTGCTATCAGTCAGACTGGTCATCCTGCCAGTGTTGCTTGACAGGTAGTTGACAGCGCAGTTCCTGCCCAGAGAGGACGCACAATTGCCTTCAACACTAGTACTCGCCGTATTGAAAATCTTGCCGTTGCTGCCGCTTGTCAGTGGTGTCACACAGCTATCAAAATAGTTGCTCTCAATAAGAACGTGGCCGGAGGAGCTAATGTCAAAGTTGTGACCAGTGCCGCTGTAGAAGTAGTTGTTCACTGCCTGCACCAGCTGCGTGCCCGAGCTGGAACCAATCTTGGGCGCACGGCCGCTGACATCATGAATGTAATTGCGGTCAAATGTGATCTTGTCGCCTGTACCTCCCACGATGATTGTCCAGTAATGATCTGAATTGCAACTGTGGGAGTACGGTGTGACACCGTCGAACTCGGTATTGGAAATAGTCACTCGTGATGCATCATAGCTTCGAAACGATCAGTTAATATATCTCAGTGGTATTACATGAGGATCTTACTGTGAAACAAAATGCTGTCGTCCTGTCTTCGAGAGCTAAGGGCGAGAGTGGTTAGCTTTCCCCAGCCAGCTTCAATGCTATCGTGGTGACATACCTTGACGTGGTCAATCCATACTCCATCATTACCTGACAGGCTTATAGCGTCGCCACCCCAGACGTACTGAGGGTTCAGGTTAGTGATGTGAATGTTTTGAATAATAACATTCTTGGCCCCGGCCTTGAGCCGAAGGCCCTTGCCATTCAGAACGCCTGCACTGCCTTTGCCAACCAGAGACTTGTTGCTGCCAACGTCCATGCCGAGGTAGCTGGCTTTGTCATACGTGACAGTAATACGAACTTCATTAGCGTCACAGTCGCCAGTCTTGATGGTATCTTGGCCTCCATTAAGTGCAGTACAAGTGCCGGTGTTTAGGCGGCATCCTGGCTCTGTAACCGTGCCCTCGGAGCCAATAAAGTTGAAGGTTTTATCGATCATGATAACTCGAGCTACATCGTCGGCAAGCCACTCCTTCAATCTAGTCCATGAACCTATTAGCAAATAGTCCTTCAACCCTCCTACGGGAGGAAAAAACAACTCACTGGGTGATGCTGCTAGGGACTGCTGGAGTAGCACTGCCTCCACCCGTGACTCCAGTGGCAAAGCCTACAAGACCAACGTCAATATGGCACTAACGCTGGCAAGATGCGGGATGTAGTGTTTTCAGCGTACCATAGGGAGTTCCAACAACTTGCCCCCAAGCCCCTGTCGGAAATACGGCAAAGGCAAGCGCGAGGAGATCGACGGAGTGCATTTTTTCTTGTTTTCTTTTCAGCTAAGAGTGACGAGTGGTGAGATGATGCTAGATAGAAGTAGGTCAAGTTTGCTGTTTTGAATCTAATATCCCGCTATGTTTCAGGACTCTCAGGCCAGCTTTTTATACCTATCCCCGACCTTGCTATCCAATCTCTTTCAGGAAACGGACCTCAGGTCGCGATCTAGAAATGGTAAAATCGTACGGGGTCCGTGATCCGGCCCCAAAAAGTCAAGATATTCTACCATGTCGCGTACAGAAACTATGACACTGGTGGATTTTGAGACTTGAGCAAGCCACAAACGGGGTAATCTGGGGTATCCGGCCGGTAGTAAGCAAATTGCCTTCGGGTTGATGCTGTTTTACCCGGCCCGACGGCATATAACGCTTCTAATCACACCTTACTGGTGATCATTTACCAGCCATCTATGTCCTACCTGATGTCTGGAAACGAGATAAGTACAATTGCAATAGGAGGCATGGTACCTAAGGGATTTAATCTATAAGTAGACGAGCGGTCTGCCCTTCCGCTAGGTTCTAATAATGGGCAATGAACGAACGACAAGGCGCTGTCTTGGACGGTTGCTGGTTGCCCATGTCGTCAAGGAGCTTCGTTCCAAATGATCTCAGGCAATAAAAACAGGATAAATGGGCTCGATATCTCTTTATTGAAGTCAAAGTAGGCTATAAGTGACGAAAACAATTCGATTAACCCCGGCCAACACCACCCTCCTTCCCGCTAAGGCTAATCCCCGCACTACCACCTCCCAAGGAATTACTCTGGTTATTCACCATCCCGGATCTCTATTATACGAAGCGTCACGGGGAAGGTGTTCACCAGTGGTTCAGGGTTCCAAAGGAATCATCTTCCAGGTGGAGTCACAGAAAGAGAGTATCCCAATGTCAAAGACCATCCTCCCATCCTTGGCGTGCTTCGTTAGCCATAAGGTTTATTTTCCAATTTCTTTCTTGTTGACGCCTCATAGTTTTATCAACGCGTTGTTTTTGAAACCATCATACGAGATGCGGCCGACTACGATCCATGTGCTTCGATGACAATGATTGTCCGGCCTCTTTATGGTGCACATGAAGTACCGTCAGGTACCTTGATATCCGAGATTCTGGACCAATGGGAAATTTATAGTGGAAATTGAGGGTCCATGTGATCATGTCTCAGGGCATTTAACCGAGAGTTTCAGTGATGGGTGCTTAGATAGATTTACGATTTGTGACAAACTTTCCATATGCTCCGCTTGAAGAAAGTCAATTGAGAGATTGATTTCCCCTTGTTCAAAAACCAACTGAGGGGACGTCTTATGCTATACAATCTGCGTTGCCAAAGTATTGTGTATTATAGAAGGAATTATTCGATTCGTGGTCCTATCTTTAAGGGATGCTCGTTTGGATGCTAGAAATATATGCTGATCAGCCAGAGGGAAGAATGGACAGGCCATCTACGGGATGGACTTCATACGACCTTGACCGGCTTCAGTCATACTTACGATCCTCACCAAGAAATATCGTCCGACAGAGAATGATATAAAACTACGAGAGGATGCGAGAACGTGCCATTGCACGTTTAAGAGCTTAACATTTTGCTTAATGACAGGCCTACCTCCATTGCCGGCTCGAAGACTGACAAGAACCCGATGTTGACACCATGAGAATACCCAAAGCTAAAGCAATTAGACAACTTTCAAGAGCTATGTCAGATAGTCTTTCCTATCACCTGGACTGCATTAAGACTCCTGGGTCACGCCTTTCCTGTCGGATTCTTGGCCGGATGACAAAAGTTCTCGACCAAGAATGCTTTGAATTGAATGAAAGCACCACGACATCAAATGTGCTCCCGAGTAGATTGGTTACCCTAGTCAGACCCACGAGTTTAAATGCAGTCTAAAGGATTACTCACACCGGAATGGCTGCTTTGCATGACCGCTCGATGCTGCCCCACTAATGCCCGTGACCTCGCATGATAATCATGAACTGGGCAGGTTTGGTCCTGTCGTAATATTCTGCTTATTCCTGAGCGCGATTTAATAACTGTCTCATAAGTTCAAAGCATCGAACTCGCTCAGATCGCCTTCTTAAAATACTGACAGACTATTAACGGACACTTGCTCTTTCATAGCCGGCTAGATAGCTTCAAACTCTATGGTTAGGGAGTGTCTATCGTTGTGTGGCTTGGATGTTAGTATGTTGTGATTGTGGCATAATCATAATGATGTTTTAGATACAAGTTAGACAACGGTAACGCATATACCGTAAACGTACATTGCTAGATTACGTTAGACATCGTAGGTGTGGGCAAAAACCTACGGCAGAAGCAAGCTTGCCCTATGAATGGGAAGAAAATGTCAACGCCATATTAACAGACCAAATAACCTCATCATGAGCCCACTTTATGTCTTGGCTTTACGTGAGAGAACGAACGGGTGGCTGAAATTCATACTGCCCGGGAAGAAGTTTGCCGATTTAAAGCAGGTCACCTTGGCACTTAACCATCAAGGTTCTCTCACAAGCCTTTTTGGACTCAAGGCACCAGAATAGTGGGACTGGGAAAGGCATGGGTAACGGGGGAATGAGAAGTCTTTCATTGTTCATCTGATCAATGGAGGAATCGGCTCGCCTCTGTACCTTCATGGTTTGGTTTCCTTCAGCTGACTGGTCGTCATTTTTGTTGGCCCCTTGCGGCTCCTCGGGAAGGAAGTTCGGACGCTTCCTCTCGAAGAAGGACAACCACCATGTTCGACATCCACCTAGTTCGGCTCCGCCGTGTGGATATAACCATTAAGGTATGTTGCTAGCCACCCCGGGAGCTGGCGAGCCCCTTCCTTTTTGCACTTGAAATAACTCTGTTTTCAACGTTACATATATGGTTAACATGGCTGTAGAGTCTACCCGTAGCCACCTACCGGCAGCGGTTCAGGGCCAGGGGTCGCTAAAAATCATTATACTGACGTAAAATGCCCGCAACCGTTGCACCGTAGTGTAGTAAGGATCGAGAATATTGGAGTTGTGGGTGGGTTGAGGGCGGACCTTGAACTTGATCGAGAAGAGACTTACGCCACACCCACCAAGGTGCGAGGACTTTTGCGCTGACGGTTATCTTCCATTCAGTTACTTAATGTCCGTACCCTCTTGCTTTTCGTATTTTCCCCTTCCCGCCACCATCTGCCCCTCCCCCGAGACAAACCCAAGATAGGGGCCTACGACGTAGCCTTGCGCAACAACCTTTTGCTTTAGGAGTCGACAACAACTTGCAGAAAATGCGCACTTTAGCTTTTCTATTTGCCACTGGCATTTATGCCACGACAATTTCTGTCTTTGAGCGGGCCGATCCTACGACCACCTCCCAGGCTGCCGTCTCATTCAAGTCGATCACCAGCTGTCATTTCCACGGAACGGCTCAGTGAGTGATTTCCAGTCGACTTTGAAGTTGATACAGTCTAACCCATTTTTTTCTAGATACTGCATGGCTGGGAGCTCTGAATATCGCATCATCCCTGAATCGCCCGTGACTGCAACGGAGAACGCTCCAGCTTCCTACACCGCATGCCACAATCATGGCACCGCTACGTAAGCTAAGTAATATCTCACAAATGATCAGCGCTCACATGTTCTTAGGTACTGTATGGAACCTAGTGCCGATGGCGAGGTTCAAGTGGTGAATGCGGATGCCACGATCACTTCCGACGGCTCGCACGCGACGGCTACTGGCTCTTCGACAGCATCCGGGCCCAGTATCACTGCTATCACCGATTGCCACCTTTCATCTAGTTCCTTGTATGGCTATACTTTAAACTATCACTAAGCTCTGTCATTTTCTCTAACAAAATTATCTAGGTTTTGCTCCGCTAGTTCGACGGAGTATTACGTCCAGACGACTGTCACTGCTACGTCCGATGTTCCAGCTCAGTTTACTGGGTGCCATAGCCATGGAACAGACACGTACGTTTCTCCAATAATTTAGTTAACCTGTCTCTGTATCTAACTAACGCATATGAAGGTACTGTATGACCGAGACTGATGAGGTTGCGATTCTGCTGGCGGAAGATGTCAAGTCTGGAAACGCGAACCCAGACGAGAAGCACTGCCATTTCCACGCCGGCGTCGAGTATGCTATCTACCACCATTCACTTTTACTAAATTATCAATCTAATTGGCGACTTTTAGACACTGTGTCGGGGCTGGAGAGTCCGAAAATGATAGTTCCACCACATCATGCGAACGTAACGAAAGAGAGTACAAGATTCCCATTCGTATTGGAATGCTCTTTGTTACTCTTGTCGCAAGTGCAGTTGGTACGAGATTGCATCTTCTCATATTTATTTTTCGTGCCTCATGCTCACTGCCTTTTGATAGGTGTCTTCGGGCCGATCCTTTTGTCCAAATTTGTTCAAGTCAAGACCAATATCGTCTTCATCATTCTAAAGCAGTTCGGTACCGGTATCATTCTTTCAACAGCTTTTGCCCATGTACGATCCCCGTAAATGCTACACGCTCCATTACTTCGCTAATGTTTATTCCAATAGCTATTCACCCACGCCAGCTTGATGTTCGGAAATTCGTGCCTCACGGGGCTAACGTACGAGGCGACTACGGCGGCCATTGTCATGGCTGGTCTGTTCATCTCCTTCGTCATCGAATTTGTTGTTTCTAGACTGTTGCGATGGCAGCAAGAGAAGGAGGTGGCTGACGGAAACGCTGAATTGACACCCGCCGCCATTGCAAAGGCCGAGACGACCAATGTCACCATCATGGAGGCTGGTATCATCTTCCACTCTCTTCGTACGTTCTTTGCAATCCCGTCTCCTTCCTTTTCTCTGGGACATCCATTGGCTAACTTAAACTCTAGTGATCGGTGTCACTACAGTCGTTGCAGGCGACTCATTCTACATTACTCTCTCCATCGTCATCATCTTCCACCAGCTGTTCGAAGGTATTGCCCTGGGTACTCGGATCGCCTCTCTCGGCTACAGCACCGTCCTCACCAAAACCTCCACGGTCCACACTCACGCTCACGATGCCCCTGCGCCCGAAGTCGATCGTACACTGCCTTGCTCCGTTTCCATGTTGAAGAAGCTGATCATGGCTACTGGATTTGCGCTCGTCACCCCGGTCGGCATGGCCATTGGTATCGGTGTGCTTCATTCCTTCAACGGCAACGATCCCTCTACCATCATCGCAATCGGCACCCTGGATGCGCTGTCGGCTGGTATTCTCATTTGGGTCGGCGTCGTGGAGATGTTGGCTCATGACTGGATGCTCGGAGGCGATGTAACCAACGCCAACATGCTGACTACCGGCCTTGCCATGTTCAGTCTGGTTGCCGGTATGGTCCTCATGAGCTTTCTTGGAAAATGGGCGTAAGCCGCATCGAACTTGCTCCCCAATTGGAGGTTAAATAAGGCATTCGCGGGACACGGCCTTGTTAGAACTCTGTGTCTAGTCAATTTACACTGGACTGTAGCCAACCGTTAATTTGTGGTAATAAAGCCAACACTGAGGCTTGTTCTAAGCCACAAAGTAGCTTAGGATATAAATGCCAAACTCATCTTATACTCTTATCCCACTTCAATAACCTATTGCTGTAACAGTTGGCTCATCAAAGTCCACGGCTTCGCCCAGCTTAACCAATGCCCACCATTGATCCCAGTCTTTGACATGCTGGCTTTTCTTTCATATAAACATTTTTTACAGATATCCAAATAATTTTAAATTTCGCATGTGTACGGTAGGTGGGATTCTAGACACAAAATCGTTATTGATGCTTTGAACTTCGGTTAGTGATCTGAACATCAACCGCAGTCGCCCATCAACCTAATAAGGTTGATTTATGACTAACAAATATATGTCAATCTGGTGAGGAGAAGCGAGATGATCGTGCTATTAGGTATGCTATACCCCAAGCTTACTATGTGCTTCCAAGTGGTTATTCCGTGGCGTGTGTACCTTGATGCAGGGTAAGTTAAAGGGAGGCATCAACACTTGCTGAGTCAATAACTTGGATCATCCCCTGAGTCTGACAGGGCAAGACCATCCGGATATTATCCGTCGGCTCAAGCCCCTCTTTTAGTAGATGCCGAGGCAATGAACGAGATTACCTTTGATTCCCCGAGCCGCGTCTGGTGTGCTCAATCGCCGGGGGGTTAACTTCATGCCGGGCCAATGCTCTCATCATACTTCCTCCATATTGATCTCAATGAATTTTTAAAATTTCTCTTGGCTATTTGAAGGCTACTTTGCGTCGGAGAGAGACAAAATAGACGGCCTCAGTTCCCCTAAAATGGCCAACGCCAACGCCAACGCCCTGCTGAGCTGGGCCCAGTCGTTCACTCCAGCACCCGAGAAGGGCAAAGACGTCTACCGTGCCACAGAAACTCCATGGCATCCGATATGGGGCCGTGGTGTCTTTGGCGGAGTTCTCCTCGGGCAGTCCCTCGCCGTCGCCCAGGATACAGTCCCGTCTAACTTCGTGGCGCACAGTCTGCACGGAAGCTTCATCCTGTCCGCCAAAACCACAGTGCCTACCTTCTATCATGTCGAACGCCTGCGCGACGGGAAGAGCGTGGCTTCTCGAGTGGTCAAGGCATTTCAATCGGGGGACTGCGTCTTCACCGCGACTATCAGCTTCTTTGTTAAATCACCGAGTACGAAGCGAGGGATGAATCACCAAGTCTCCATGCCTCCTGAAATATTGAAGCAAGGTCCCCCCTCGGGGCTTGGTCAGGATGTGGACCCGGCTCTTTTGGCTGAAGCTGGCCAGACGCGGAATGGAAGCATGTATGAGTGCGTTCGAATTCCGCCAGTCCGCTCTGAAGATCAACCAGAGCGACAAAAATTACGGCAGTGGATCAGAGCACGAGGGCCGGCGGCAAGAGAACAAAATTCTTCAAAGAGATTTGATGATCCTGCTTCCAGTCAAAGAGCGCACCTCGCTGCACTCGCGTATATGACGGACAATTATTTCATCGGTACCGTTGCACGTGCCCACGGAGGGAAGCGATTCAACAACCAACAGTCCATTCAGCCTATCATATCGTCGCTATTGGATGTAAAGACAGAAACCAGGGATGTTGTTGGGAGTTTCGATGGGTTGGCCCAGGAAGAGGCGGAGGAATACACAAGAGATTCCACCAAGACTGACGCAGACCGCGCAAACATTCAGCTGATGCTAACCCTCGATCACTCGATATATTTCCACAACCAGGCTGCTATCAGGGCAGATGATTGGATGCTTGCGGAAATGGAAACCCCGTGGGCCGGTGATGAGAGGGGACTCGTCGTACAGCGTGTATGGAATAGAGATGGGACACTGGTAGCATCTTGCTTTCAAGAGGGGATGATCCGACTGTCGAGAGACAAGCCACAGAACAAGTTATAAGCGATCCCTCGGCCTGGCAGCGTGGCACACTACTTAGAAATTCTCTTGATGGTGGCAACGATAATGTCTTTTTTCCTTCCGCTAGCATAGCTTATTTGGACAATTTATTTTCATAGTTTCTTCAGCAGTGAAGAAGTCTAGCTAATGGCACCCAGGATCCCTCAAGATTTTCTCTACTGCTAGTTAGACTTTCGTTGTAATAAATCAATATGTTTTCACCCTTCTGAGCATTGGCATACATGTAAATGTGTGATACTTGGTCTAGTTTACGGAAGGAATCTAAAATATTCATGTAATGGATAGGCGGTGACTCAATACACAACTACTCGTTACCCTAGCCGAAGCAATTGTTACAAAATATGCCAGCCGTACTCTATTATCTCCCGGGACACGCTCTAAATGCATTGCCTCTATTCTATGAAGTTCTATTTGTAAGCCAGAATTTTAGCAGCTGCTGCCTCGGCAACAACCATAACAATTGCTTGACTATTACCGCTGGGAAGGTCAGCATGGATACTGGCGTCGGAGACGAACTATAAGACCGAGTTAGCGAGATACATAAAATATTCTTAGTATGTGTACTCACCAAGTTATCGACTCCGTACACCTTGGCGTTGGTATCAACAACGGATGAGCCTCCCTTGCGTCCATCATCAGTGCCGATCTTAGCGGTACCAACAAAATGGACACCACTGGTAGGGTTGTTGATGATGGCAGACACGTTGGTAAAGTTCTTGATCTTGAATCCTAGCTCAGAAGACTGGAGATTCTCAACAAAGTTTCCGATGAAGGTGGTGGCAGCATCCACATCAGCTTCAGTTTGTAGGTATGGCGATTGCAAGATCTTGGTCTTTCCATCCTCAGCCAGTCCCAACACTCCCTCCGAGGTCAATCCGTGAGTCAGGTATACTTTAAGGGAGATGAGTCCAGTTCCTGATGGCGCAGCTGAGCCCTGGAAGTACCGTGTGACACCATCACTGCCAACAACAGAGCTGAAGAAGATAAGACGGTGTCTGCCCTGCGTCAAGACGCCAGAGCCGGCGGTCTCATACAAGTCGATGTTCTTGGTGTCGCTTCCATCAAGGACAATATCGCTAGCAAGGGGTCCCCATGTGCCATTTGTTTGGATATCGAGGGTGAAAATAGGATGGTCTTTGAAGTTTTTGCCTACAGGGAGCTCAATCCAGTCCTTCTGGGGTGGCAGCGTCACACCAGTCTTTGCTGCCACCTCAACCTGCTCCTTGGGGCCGATGCCTGAGTTGAAAAGCACACGTGGCGTTGCAAGTGCACCGGCAGACAAAACTACCCTTCCATTCTTGGACAGATTAATGATTTCGCGAGTACCGTTGGATCCCTGGACCTCGACGCCAGTGACGCGGGAGCCCTCACGGACGAGGCGGATGACGGTGGTTCCCAGGCGCAATGAGAAGTTGTCTCGCTGCTGAGCAAGAGGCAGGTATGTGCGGACGGGGCCTGCGCGCTTAGAATTCTTGATGTTCCAGGTCGGGTGGCTGTATACCATGTGTTTGTCGTTGGCTTGCTCCGACATGTCGGTCAACCTCCAGCCCAGCTTATTCAAGAAAGTCGAGAAAATATCATACATCCCCGGGTCATATCGCTCGCCGTCGGCTGATGGGGTATTAGACCCTGGATTCCTCTCATACAGCCTCTGGGCGGCGGGGGCGATGTCTACCCACTTCCAACCTGCCGGCCACTTGTCGAAATCATGCTCGGGTGGGTGAACAAAGACCATATAATTGATCGTAGTCCCTCCTCCGAGGACGCATGCTGCAGTTGCCTCGTGGTCTTTGCAAGTATACTCCTGCCAAAGATCCAACCCCCCAATGGCAGTTGTTAGACCGGGAACATCGATAGGCGTCAAAGTGTCGTTCCAGACGAGCGTATGATTGGATCCAGTTGAGACGGTGGGCCCGGGTCCTTTTTCAATAAGAAGGACCTTCTTGTTTGCTTCCGAGATTCGCTCGGCTGTAATGATGCCTGATGGTCCGCCCCCAACAACGATGTAGTCGTAAGTGGTTGTGTTGCCTTTGGCGCAGGCGGCGAGAGAGTTACCCGCCAGGACAAGGGCTATCAGGCCACTTCGTGATACGAGACGCATGGTGATCAAGAGCCTCAGCGTTGTACTTAGACCTCAATGTCTCTTGACTTTGATCACTACATGTGCAGGTACGGCTAGAGTAAGTACTTATATACTTCAGGAGAGACAAAATCGGGCCAAGAAACGATGACCATGCAAGCACATATAGCTCATCTCAGACTAGAAGGACTACGGCAAGGCTGCCACTAGATGGCATTAACTCGGCATCCCGCGGAAACCAACTGTTGTGAGAGCTGCTTCCGCTTGCCTTGGCGCTAATTTTGACAAGACGGACGATCTGCCGTCTCTACGTATTTGACATGTTTTGACATTCGGTAGTGCCGGTAGCGGAGTGTGGGTACTCACTCGTTTCACCTTTATTTTTCGGGCTCGAATCCACTTGCGTAGATTTGTTGAGAATTTTGGGGGAAATGGTTGGCGTCCATGCAACGCTTTCTTCACAGTCTTCGATTTTCTTCATATTGATTAGACATTTCTGCTCTTTCCATTGTCTTGGTTTCTTAAAAGAAGTCAAGATATACCAGAATCTATCGCGTCTGCCTCGATACATACCGTTTTTCTTTGCCGAGCAGCCTTGCATTCTTTGCCCGTCTCCACAGCATGTCATTATCAATCTAAATAAGACCTCCATCACGTACCAAAGATGCCTTATTTAGCCTAGATCCTCTCCGGGAGCCTTCTTAGCTCGAGCGGATTTGCTAATGAGACCAGCTCACCAAGAAGACCTCTTCAGAGGGACAGTAGCTGATCACCCAGAAAGAGGTCTGGAGCGCAATTACCAATGCACTGAGCATACATAACGTCTCCAAAACGCCATGATTTCCTTCGAGGCTTTTCTCCGGCATGTTTGTCTAAGCAGACCAAAGCCCATCGCTAAAAGAGTGATTGTTCTTTGGGGTGGAAGCGGTTCATCTGTTTCCCCGATCCCTTCCATACCACTCCAGATATACATTGAGCCGTGGTATCCATACATCTGGGACCTCCGAGTGGGATAGAGCATGACAAACTGACATGTGGAACCCTTGTGGGTGGCAGCCAGGCTGTAACATTAGATCAAATATCCTAAGATTCGTCATCACAAGAGTTCAACGTGGTAGGATCAATGATTGGTCATGGTTGACCAATCAGTGAGCGGGGTCCCTGATTCTGATGAAGAGTGGTTGAAAGCCCGAGAGAACTAGAGTGGCCCTCCGATGTCGTCACATTCTCCAGTAAGAATACGCCAGACTGGAGTCCCCTGTTAGCAAGCCCCATGGTCTCTCCTGGATCCGCCTCCTTAGTCTAGACTTCAGATACACTCCACAATGACGATGAATGCCCAAATCAAGAAATGGTGTGGCCTGCATCAAGTCACACTTCTATTGATGAAGATGCCAGGAGATGCGCACAGATATGCAGTATGTTCTTGTGTTTATACCTAAGCCAATCAATGTGGACGAGGTTGTGGCTGACAAACTTGCTACCAAGAAAACAGTCTAGAGCGAGACTCATGGTAGGGAAGTTTGGATCCATTGCCCGATTAACTTGGCGTTTGACGGCTGAGGAGGTTTCAATTCAGTCAGATGTAGCAACGAGACATTGGTTGTTAAACATTTTTGACCCAATAACGTGTATCCCACATCATCCCGCTATCTATCTGCAGTATTATTAAACTCTTCAATGCTGTATTATGTATTGACTTTTCTTCTCATTGGATCAAAAGACATTGATTCCTTGGAACTCTTCATCCTATAATCAGAGTCCTGAGACTTATGATCAAATTCGATGTCGAAGGCAAACTTGTTGAGGAAATTTCTCACTGCCTTAGCATGCCAGCGATCTCCATTAGGTTCAAACCAGCCGAGATGACCACCAAGCGAAGTTGTACAGAGAATCGTGTGAGGATTTTTCGAAAACTCCTCATAAGGTATGGCTTCATCTACTGCAATCTACTATCAATGAGACAAGCTCTTGCCATGGGTGGGAAAAACGGGCTAGAACTTACGGGGTCGTCTACTGCGTGTAGAGCTAAGAATGGAATCTTGATTGCAAGGACCGAGTCGCTTGAAGAGGCATCACGGTAGTATGAGAAAACGGTAGGATATCCCCAAGTCTTGCAATGGACCTCTGTATCAAACTCCGTTAGAGTTGTGATGTTCATAATTAGGTCGTAGTCTATATCGGTATATAATTTTATCTCTCTCTCGTTATTCTGCGTAAATTCTTTCACTGTTTCTGTTGGCATATTAGCATACCATCAATACGATATCAATTTGAGGCGGGCACTCTAACCTCCCATAGCTCTTAAGTAGGCGAATTTTCCAATATATGTTCGTAAGAGGGCACGACTGACCACCTCCAAGTTGAAGGGATTGGAGCAGACAACTGCAGCCTTCAAGAGACACCTCTCGCCCTCTTCTCCGCAATACTACGTGGAGTGTTCATATTAGCTTCATCGACATAACTTGGTAGGGTTGAGTCTTACATTTGTAAGCATGTTGGCACCAAGAGAGAAACCCAAGCCAAAAAGGGGCCGATTAGGGAACTTCAGCTTGAACCACGCCACCACTTGTCGGAAATCCCAAGTCGCCCGGGCATTGTACAGAACCTCGCTGGTTATTTTACTGCCAGCGCAGCCCCGAGAGTTGACGACACATATGCTCCAGCCTTCCCTGAGCAGCGCGATGCAGTGGCGTAGGTAAGGTTCGTACGATCCTCCAGTCATACCATGAAGCACAATAAGCTGGGGCTTTGTATCGTCTGAACCAACTGCCTGGAACTCATCGTCCGTGTAAAAAACGGTTCTTGGGGGCAGAAAGTTATCAACCTCAGCGAAAGGATTGACCACAAAGTCTACCGCAAATGTGCCGTGATATTTTCTATTGTCCGCTTCAAATACTCGGCGCTTGTAGTATATCGGAGGTGCATCTTGCCTGACAGTCGCCCAGAGAGTCTGAAGATGCCCATTGAACAGGAGAGGGTTCAAATTGCAAGGTGGTATTGACTGCTCGCAAACTTGAAGCAGGTCCGTCGATTCGCCGTCTCTACGCTCAAGCTTCAGCGGGGAGGCAGCATGCGTGAATCGGATTTTGGCTCTACCCAGCCAGTCCATTTTTTTGTTGTTATATTTTCGGCTACTAAAAATCTATTGGGAATCAGGTTTTCAGTAATAAAGTGTAAAAAGTGTAGAGTACTTTTTGAGCTGTAAATGCACTCTGGACGGAGTATAGTCTTAGAAGGGTTGGAGGACCAATTGGCCTCTTTCAAGAACTCGATGAAAAAGACATTGTCCTGTACATTCTTGAGAACGTAATTAGGCTGAACTGCATACTTAAGGCGCAAGATGGGGCTAGTACAACATTCGACATCTGAATCTAGCGCTCCCCGTGAGCTGGGAAAGGGTCACTAACTAAGACGTACTCTTTGATGTCTGTCTCAGATACTGAACCCTCCCTCCGTAGATGTCAGTAATTGGTATGAGAAGTTGTTGGGTGAGTAGCATTACTTCCGAACACCTGAGACTTGCTAGACATCATATGTTGCCACTCACGCAGGGTCACAGCCAGTCAAAAGATAGAAACCTTAACGCCTGCGTTCTTGACAGATTCCCATTGAAACTTTCAAGATTTAATAAAATTAGCCATGGAAACGTCTCACGTGGACGTAGTAAAAACAAAAAATCCGCTCACTTTGTTAAATTTGCTGTGCTTTGATATAGAAAGGTTGCCTGAATTTAATGTTTATGGTTGATATAGCTATGACTGATTGGTTTGCCCAAGTAGACTTAATTTTTCTATGCTAAGCTAGGCTAGACGAGATTTTTCACGGGCGTACAGTTTTGCCCTTGCATTCTGGACGAGGAAAGCTCCTTCATACTTTAAGATGTTTAGCCTGGCCCATGGTACGATTGCAGAGCTTTTTGGAAAGCTTATGGTACCACTACCGAGAGAGATCTCCGAGAACTCCATCTCCATGGTGGTCGGGATTAGTTCCAAGACCGATGGAGGCGCGCCGTCGAATGGTGAAGGGATACTTCTCATGTTCAGCATCCATTTCTTGGGCGGGGGTGCTGTGACCTGAACAGTCTTGTGTGGGATAAAGTCGAAGTTAACAAGTGGCTGATCAGCGGTCTTCCCAGCACCACCAAGATATGATTTGTCTCCGTTGACTGTCTGGATTCTGATCTTTCCAAGAACCTTTGGGAATCCAAATCTTTCACGGCCTAGAAAGACAGCAGCTTCATTGTCGAGAATGAGTATAAGGTTGTAGTCAAACTTCTCTCCTTGATAGGTAACCTCGACTTGGTGGACCAACTCCGAGTAGGGCCCAACCGTGCTGGATCCATAATGCATGAATCGGGTAGTGACAAGAGGCTCGTCCTCAAGTTCGAGCATAGTAGGAACGAGGTCGCAGACGGAAGAGACGGAGACACGGTAGGTAATAGTGACCATTGTGATGTCTGTTGCATTGTTCTCTCCACTAGAAAAAGAAGGAGAGCATAGTGGTAATGCACCCCGCGCCTCCAATGTTCCAAATGGCATTGCGAGAAGAAATAGCCGCGACGTATAAGTAGTAGATTGATAAAACAAATGATAATATATCATAAGATTTGCCGGACTCTACCTTGAGCCTTCCATTCTTATTATACTTGTCCTACCACGTCTATTATCTGTGAGTTTCGGTTCTTCATCTGAACTAATGCAGTATAGCTTGAATCCGGTTTCCGAATTCTGTCGGCAGAGAGATTTGAGTATATCGGATATAAGAGGCTGAGATGCCCTTGCCCTATGGTATCAATGATGTGAGACTGGTCTGACTATGGAATGCAGGTCCCAGCTAACAAGTCATGTGATCACATGGTCATTGCGAAGGATATACACGCTTTAACTGCCTACCGGCGGCCAAGTTGCCGTTTGGTCGACTCGGAAGATTTGGTCCGAGTTTCTGTTGCTCTTTTACCCCCATATGTTTAGTATTTGCAATCAAAAGGGGAAATGTCTCATATTCCTCAGATACTTGTTTCAATTGGTTCCGTACTTCCGGAGAGTCGGTCTATGCATTGCATTTAACCGGGGTTTGAGGTTCCAGATTGTAGACCATCCCCATGTATCAGAAATAGCACCGTCTGGATGGATCAGCTGCAAAACGTACAAATATTCCCCGAAACTACCCCATAGTGGCCCTCGGAATGAATTATCCCTTGTATTCATATATCTGTTACCCAGAAACGGGGAGGTTGCGTGGAATGCTTCCCTAGATGTTTGTAAAGTGGGATCGCTGGGGAGGAATGATGCCGATCATTATGTTGTTGGAAATGCCGACCAACAAGACCAAAGCTGCGACCAGCCGTTGATAACGCGCCTTTGATATATGTCCAGTCTTTGTATCTACGATGATGCTGCAGCAGCAGGTGTTTATGACGTAATAAGATAGTAGTAACTTGTGAACATTGCATGATTCCTAGGCCTGAAATGATAACCGGGATGGCTTGATAGGGAAGCAAAAGAACGCCATGAGGACTATATTGATGCTGACTTCGTATGGACTTGCTCTTATTGACCGATTGGGCCCGCTACATCTAGCAGAGTAGTTAACAAATAGACATTACTGCCACTCATACCTAGTTGAGGGACCAAATACGGTATCCCTTGACATCTGGCTAGTTTGATGATGGTGGATGGTGGTAGGATGTACAAGATATCCGTCACATATATGTTGAAGGTTGAGCTATGGTACCATCCAAGACACGCTAGACTCACGATCGTCCAAACCTCATACGACCTGTCCGAAATTCTTCGGTGTCTTGAAGTTACTTTCTAGGCACAGGAAATGTTCAGCTGCACTAAGCTTAGGTTGATTAGGCGCGCACACACGCACTTCCGGGCAACGATTCTAAAATTCTGCCTGGCGCTCTTGGATTCTTCACCGCTTATCCCAAATTACCCAGACACAGAAGATGCCCAATTCTGGCGATAAGCCATCCCTTTTACATGCCGGCCAACGGACTTCGCCTATGCTGCCCCCCTCGGCGCGGCCCAGGGGCTCTATTTGTTCTTCGTCTTTGATATTTCTAAATACTCAAAAAGAGGTAGAGTTGCTATGGGGCTGGAAAGAATAACGCTCCACTCACTCCTTCGTAACAGGTAAGTAAGATACAATCCCCTCTGATCTCCAAAAGTCTAAAAGATCACAAAAAGCTTGGCAGTATCAAAAGTTCCCCCCTAAGCCATCTCCTTTTATGCAAGCAGTCTCATACCGAAATATTCCTGCCAATAAACGAATCCATCAGAGTGCCAAAGATTCCAGTGTTTACGCTAGTTCGGCTTAACGGTTGTCTGTCACGTCATTTATACTTTCCCCGTGAATTCTGGTATGCGGGCTGGGACAGCAATAACAGGGCAAAATTTTGGCTGTCTTACCAATGTCTTGTAACTGTGCTATACAGAAGCCTGGGGGCTAACTATTGATGTATAAAATCTCTGGAAGCTAGACGTTTTTGTAGGTAGTATTTGAAGTGCCTTATGTCGTATCTTATCTAAACTCGAGCAAAATGAACAAGACCGAAAGTCCCTATGAAATAAAGCCAACTGTTGGCCTTCCCCCTGGGACTGATTCTTACGAGCAACTTGAGCTCAAGCCACGACGACCAAGAGCTCCTCCAAAGCAGACAAGGCCATTACCGGAATGGCCGCCTCCAGAACAGCGTCAAGGCAAATGGATGACAGATTATTTAGACCAGGTCTATGAAGCTTCCACTCCAATCGGTTTTCATAAAGACTAATCTGTGCTGGTTTTCTTCCATAGCTTGATCCTGAAACCGAGTTTGACCACATTATACGTACCTCGCATTTGTTTGGTACATCTCCTTTTGGAGCATCATTGGCCTACGCTGCCATTATTTGCATCAATTCGCAGACGCCAGCAGGTGCCGCCGCAGTCCACGGGGGGAGCGTTACCAGAGAACCTCACGCGCGATACTACCGGACCATGATGTCCGAACTGAGTTGGGTGTTTCAAGGCAGTACTGCACCAGAGACGGCGAAGGACATCTCTCGAATCAATAAAATCCATAGCGGTGTGTGGAAACGCAAGCCTGGAACGTTCAGCTCTGTGTGGGAAGGCAAAATGACCATTGTTGGCATCTCCTACTTCGACACTTGGGCTCGCCGGGTTGTAGGGGCACGTTATCAGACACCTCATCCCAAAATTCAAGCAGCGTATCCGTTTTGGGGAGAGCAACTGACCTCTCACTTTGTGACCGAGCCAAGTCACGGGTCCCAGTCGTTTGGAAACAATTATCCTCGAACCTGGGATGAGTTAGAAAACTTCTTCCACTGGCTGCAGGACATCCCCTATGAGGAGCAGACTACTCCAGAGCAAAAGCAAATCGGAGCAGAGACTGCCGAATACTTCGTCCAAGGATTTTGCGACTTCTGGTTCCCAAGGTACAGTCTTTGACTCGTCCAGGAATGATTGGCTATAGCTGACTGCTCTGATCTTTGCAGTTTTCTCCAGTTCATTGGCCGAGATATTATCTTGACGTTCATCCCATGGCAATGCCGGCGCAGGCAGCGCATGGGACAACCCAACTGGCTACGGACACGGTTGATCAAGTTAGTGATCAAAGTATACTATGATGTTCATGACTATCTTTTGTCCGATCCTGCAGAGCCAAACATGGCTTATTTCCGAGAGCAAGTGGCCCGCATCGACCTCTCTACGGCTGACCATCATATTCGCAAGAAAAGGGGGTTGCAAGATGGCCTCTTTAAACTTTTCGTGCTAGCCCTGTTGATCGGTATAATATTTTGTAATTGTTTTCGCCGGAGAGAATAAGAGTAGAGTGATCACATAATTGAGTAGACCGAAAACTTGCACACAGAATATGCAGTTTATGAGTGGCCTTGGTCCTCTCAGACGTAAAAATGTTCATAACCTTGACGTCCATCAGATCAAATATCGGTGGCGTTGAAGTAGGTTGCTGTCAACCAGCTCTATAATTAATCCCAAAAATATTGTATATCTACTCTAGATTCATACTCCTGAGATAAAAGCATGATGCCTGGAGCCAGTTAGTTCAACAAACTCAAGACTGGAGTGTGCGTGTCTAGGGTAGGTGACTATCGGTACTGTTTGTTGCTGACAACAAACAGTGTCAGATCGAAGTTTTAGGCAGCAGTTCTCTTCCCCGACAATCGGTTCCATCCCCTATTTAACCTCCGATGGCCTCAATAGCGTCTTTTATCATACTATTTGAGACGACGCAATGCCAATCGCGATAGCTTCACGCGGTCTCAGAAGCCTCCACACTGCGCGCTTCACAAAAGTCGCGTTTGCAGCTGTAGCTTATCCAATTGTTGCTCGAACCCAACGGTTTCCCCAGATGGCCATGTCAACCAAACCGAGCGTTTCATCACCGTTGGTGCAGCACACGGCGTGGCAGAGGCTCTGTGTCTCTGACCTTGACCGCCTCTACCCTCTTCTTGCCGCTTATATCCAACAGCCCTCACTCGCAGACTCTGTTACAGAGTTAGTCGTGGATTTTTCCTCGTCGGAGTATGCCTGGCCAAATGATTACCCTCCCGATGAGTCCGGGGAGCCCAGCTTGGGAGTTGCCGGCGATCTGGTGCGTGAGCATGTGTGCAGCCTTGGCCTTGGTGATATTGCGACCAAGGCAATGCTGCACGTACTACGACTGTGGACGAACCGGCAAGAGCCACCCCGCGGCTGGCAACTAGGGGATTTACCTTTTGAACCTCATTACCTGCAAGACGAGTTCGCTGCGCTTGCAGCCGTTGTCCTGCTCAGTCTTTGCAAGAACTTATCTACCTTGCACATCGCGCAACCAATGTCAGGTTTCAGCCCCATACTGGAGGACTATTTTCTCAAGAACAATTATGGCCTGATGCAGGCACCAGGTCTACAGAATCTGAAGAAAGTCGAGGTCTTGCCGGGAGCGTGGGTATATTCAGATATAGTGTACGGCCAGCTTGAGTTCCTCAGGATTTTCCAGTACTTCCACCGCCTGCCGGCAATCAACGCCATCTCCATTGATAGTTGCCAGGAGTATCAATCCTATCATTGTACATTCATACCGCGAACTGGAAATATGAAGACCCTCAAGCTGGAGCATATCGATATGGATGACTCGTTTCTTGAACTTCTTATCAGTATACCCAAGGTCCTAGTCGAACTCAAGGTATCACTGGGCGGGAAGGAAAATATAGACGGCGGGCTTCCAAGAACACGCCCGCACGCCATCGGAAGAGCGCTACGACAGCACAAAGAAACCATAGCAACACTTGATTTGGACCTGGATTTGTGTGTTTCGGAGTTTGTTTGCAAAGGAGAAGTTCGAGATGATCCTGATGACGAGGATTCTGATATTGGGACATTTGGTAGAGACTACTACAAGATGGACCAGGAGACTCGTCTTTTAGTTCAGAAGACCCCAGTGGATCTTGAGAGTTATGGGTGGACGATAGGCTCCCTCCATGAGTTTCCCTCTCTCACCCACCTCAGCGTTGGGATATACACGCTTCTAGGCCCTCCCGAATCGCGTGGTGAGCGCCTTGCCCGTCAGCCCCCATTTCGGCTCATCGATGCTTTGCCACCCAGCTTGGAGTCTTTCTGTCTGTATGGTTACAAGAAGGGAGAAAATCTTGATGTTGATGAACATGTGAACGAATTTATTGACAACAGGGAAGCGAAATTCCCAAGACTGAAGGAGGTGAGAGGAATTGAGGAGGAGTTCCCAGGTGTGGCACAGCTGTTCCCCGAGGATTCTCACTTTGACCGTATAACATCTGGCATGGAAGAGGAAGAAGAGGGGAGTAATCAATGGAAGACACCAGAGTTCCCCAGCGAGTGGAAACCGGTGGAACAATGATCTCTTATATAATCGCCGAAGAGGCCTTCCTGGTGAATGTAGAGAGGTTAAGTAGGGTTTACCATTGTGGGCCACCGGTTTAAGTCGTTTAATCTATTCTTTTCTAATGGTGTAGGCTTTGCACCCCATAGAGTAAACTTGTATAAAAGTAGAAGAGCGAAGAGCTTCTCTCGGTGAACAAAGAACAACAAATCACATGGTGGGAAGGCCGTAAGGCATATCGTCAAGTCTAATTTGGTATATGTGCGCGAAGCCCGTATGCTCAGACAACGTCTCGTTGCAAAATCACAGTCCTCATACCCATATCCTTGTCGTCAAGTTTGTACATATCCTTCACTATCTGAATCACACGATAACCTCTGCGTTCGTACCACTCATGAGGAGTCAACTGGTGATAAATGCATTAGTGCTAACTCTAGGTGTTGTACGGCTTGTGACTTACTGGGGGAATCTGTCCATAGAAGAGTGGCCCAAGACTTGGGTTCTTCACATCTTCCTTGAATCCGGTATCGAGCATGAGATGGCGGGCGTTGAGCGGCTCATTGACCGCTTGGCTCTCGACTTGATCCATTGCGCTTCGGGCAATACCGAAGCTACGCAATTCGAGGAAGACGTAAAGACTCTTGATCCACCATGCGTCTGTCAAAGGTGCCTTCACACCAAAGGCTGCTGCATCTGGGTTCTCACTGTCTAGTGAAATGTGTCCGACAGGATGAAATTGAGCCCCGGAAGGGACTCGAGGGGTGCCTCGCAGTGACTTGCTGGTATCGACGAGGAGTGTTTTATCCTAGAAATAGTCAACAAAGCGGCATCAGAAGTGAACGAGCGAAACAATTACTGACTGAGGGGTGTTTCGCCAAATGCTTCTGCATAGCGGCGTTGAAATCAGCGGAGCCATCACTATGATAGACCTTCCAAGAGCCTCGGAGTTAGCGGTTCGTAGAATTGAGGCTTCGCGGCTTCAAGATAGTGCGTAGTTACATACAATCCAATAGATGCATTTCGTGCCGGCTCGCTGCTTGTCGGCCCATTCGCTGGCGACCTTCTCCGCATGCCATCCACATTCTTCTCGATGCACTACTAGCCTTGCAATCTGGTCTGGAGACTCTGGATCCCAGGGAATCAGTTCTACCTTTGTTGTTGCCATCGTAGATCCAGTTGTGTCCGTTGAATGTGCTATGTCCGTCTTTGCTCAGGTATGACTCAAACAGAGAAAAAATGGGTTTAGTTTATATAATGATGTTATCGTCAATTAGTAAGCCACAACAGGGATTGATCGGGTTGCATATTAGCAAGCAAAACACAGATAACCTAAGGTAAGGATAGAAAGAAACGGGATCATGACATTAGTTGCCCGATAATCTCTGAACATGCAGGCGATGCCAACACAACAGGTGGGCCTTGATCGATAATATCACACATGAAGAAGGCAACTGCTAGCAAAAGGCCATGGAGTAAGAAGCTTGACTCTGAGTCGGGTCTAGTCACTCAACTCAAAGTGGGTAAAGGCGGGTTTGAGTAGCAAATCGACGCCTGTTTCAACAAGCAGTCGCACTCGAGTCTCTTAGGAGTTTCTAAGTTAGAACTGAGCGAGACGATTGGAATTTCCAAGGATGTAGTATTTGCAATGATGTTTTCAGCCATCAAGTATTTAGATTTGAGAAGGCAATCTTCGAGCCAGTTCGGTTCGGTTGTCTATACGGACACAACGAAATCAGGATATCGGAATCAAATAAGCGGGTGATCAATCATTGCTTCAGGTGATCTGCTTCGATGCTGATAATTCCCTGGCGTGATGGATTGCCGAGGCTTGGTCAACACCATCAACTGCTCCCAAGACAACTTCACGCAAATCTCCCAAGCTTGTGAACAAGGCCATTTTTTCTTCAACCAAATTATCTCCTAGTGCCTCCTGCCTGGTGATGAATTGAAGACCAATAAGCACGGCAAAAATAACCATTTGTATAATTTTGCCTGCCTGTTTAAATGCCATGAAGAACTCTAGAAACGAGCCGATCTTATGGCAGTACAGGCGCGGGTCCGTCTCTTCAGGCCAATCAGCCACATCGGATTTGTCAGAATTTGCCCGAAGACATTCGTACAAAATGATGCACGCGGAGCAATACAGAAGAGACATTTCAGTGATTGCACATTCTTCTGCTGTTGGCTCGACTCTCGTCCCTACACCTGCTTTGGCGCTGTTCAGATAGTGGATGGCTGGGTAGCCTAAACCAGCTGTCCATTTCTGCATCTCTTGATGGAGCCTCCAGCATTCCAATTCCACCTCTTTCCTTTGGGAAGCTTGCTCAGGTGTTGGTCCTTGGATTGCGATTGAGTCACTCTTTGCAATGACACAGCACAAATCTGCCATGATATCCATGAGAACATCCTTCGTTGTCTTCGGTATATACATCCATGGCAACGTTGTCCATCTCTTCTCGGCAAGTGCTGCTTTTATCCGTAGCTGTAACTGGAGAGTGATCTAGACTGGTGTTAGATACAGAGGAATGAATAACTCGTGGGTTTTGATGTACCTGTTGAAAACGCGTATCACAAAATATATAATGTAGCATGCCCTGGGCGTAAAATGAAGGGTCTTTCGACATCAGAAGTGCCTCAAACCCGAAAACATGGGCGAAGTACTTTTCCATCTGCTTAGAGCTGAATAGCTCGCAACCCGGAGCATACGTACACTAGAGGACAAACTTCAATAAATCGAAACAGCATTTGTGGACTGGGAATGGCCTTACCTCGTACAGACATAGCATGCTTCCAACGAGGATAATAGATGCGAAGTCCTGTTGCTCGTTTGTGTTTCCGATATAACTCGCGACTGAGCGTAATGTTTGGCCATACATCTGTTGGCAAGAAGGGAGCATCTGAGGGAGATTTTTCTCTCTCGCCCACAATCCCACGGCGTTGGTTAAAACTGCCTTGCGGAGGACTCGGTTCCCCTGAAACAGATCTTGCGCAACCGCCACCCATCCGGTACTTGAATACTGCACTATCCTGGATAAGACTGAACGTGCATTGGGAAGATAACAGTCCCAGAATTCACCGACGGCGTTCTCTTCAAAGGCACTACGTGCAAGTTTGTTGGAGAGTAGTTCCAGGCTCGGCTGTGTGGTTCGTGGTTGATATGGCTTCATCTTTAACGGCTGGTTCTCGCCTCTGTCTTTCGAGTAGAAGGTCGGGTTCAGCTTGGTTGAGCCCCTCTGGACTGATTCTGCAGTGCTGACCAAGAATATGTGCTTCTTCTCATAACCGCCACATTCTACACCAGCATTCTGACACTGACCACAAGATGGCCACGCTCTGTCGCACTAGGAGGCTGAATTAGCATCTTACACACGATCTGACACGCATATTGTGGTTGCAGCCAGGTCCGTCACTCACTCCTCGTTTCCGCTTGCGGCAGGTCGCGCATCCCCTAGACCGCCCGGGAACTCCGACCATGATGCTTCGCTAATCAGTCGGGCCCTGGCGCTGCGAAGCTTTCTTTTATGTAGATTAGTTGCTCTAGAGTTTCAACTCGGTAGCTAACCTGCACGGCTCTCCCGGATGATGACGCGAAATGGAGGGAAAAACAAGTCACCTTCAGGCTCTTAGTTCAGCCACATATCAAATTGGTGACGCCCCACTCGATTCCCTGACCGACTCAGGGGTCGCAGACTCTAGAGACAATTGGCCGCTGTTCCAAAACTTGTGCTGACACGTGAGAACTGCGGAGTTTTACGATTGATTTGTGGAGCTGCTCGGACGATGAAGCCCAAAGTAACTAATTAGTCCCAAAGCTGATCGAGATTTCTCCTTGTTCTCATCGGGTTTCTCTTTAGCCCTGTCATTACAGGGTTGCAGGCATCTCGCACGCAGCAAATTAGGCGCATCTAAACCTGTCAAACTGCTGACTGGTTGTCAGATGCCCTTTCCATAAGTTTGGAGAGAAATATTCGCACGCAATGCATCCATTCGATGATTCCTAAGCAAGCTCCACCTGGTAGCTTGGCCAAGGCTTGCCCACGTTTTACTTTGTTTGCCCATCATCCACAAAAATAATGCAAGAAGCCCTTCAAAATTGTCTGTTCACCGATACTATATCGTTTGAACATATTCACCCTTTCCATTGGTAGACCCAGGTTGCCCACCTCATCCTCCGCGCCGGGATCTGGATCCAAAGCATAAAAGGCTCATGTTCATATGTTACTAGAGAATTCGTCAAGCCGAGCAAGGCTCTGACTGGTCTACCAATGCCCAAAAGATCATTTACATTACTTGTGCTAGAATAAAGCTTGTGCCTCAACTTTCTCATCTTTGTGCTAGAGCTAGCGAACTTAGGTATCTCACTAACCAATATATTACCTGATGGCATAAAGATGGGCGGGTTTACAAAATATAGACAGCTGTCAAATATGCAATCAAAATCAAATCAAACATATAAATCGACGGATGCTGGTTATTACCAGCTTTTAACAGTCGTGACAAACTATTGGCCATCCGGCAACTGGAAACGTTGCTTCCCCTGTTATGAGGTACCTCAGTTTGCTCACCAATGGCTCAACCGCCTTAGGTTTCGCGTGTGAAGATTTGTCTATTGCTCCTTACAAAGATTGTAGTGCATGCCGTAAGTCTATTGACCTATCGATATCCATTTAGGTAGAGGATGGTTTTTGCATTTGAGCATTCAGCATAAAGATCACGTTCGTGTGTTCAATAAGCGATTTTATTTTTCAAGTAGTAGAATAGAAACAATCCATTTCTACTACATGTCAACCTATCATTCTCCTACAATCTGTAGTTAATAATGGCTATCATCATTCTGTCCGACCCTTGGCCGAAGTTTCTGTCCCCATAAACTGTGTTGTAAGAGCACGAGTGCTCAACACGCCCCCAAACTCGTGCTCAATGTTCATACTTCCACTGCATGCCTGGCAACTGCCCCCATCGTAAATGGTCCCATTTTCCATCCGCTTCCCAAGTCTGTCGGATAGTGATGTAAGCGACGTCTTCGACAACATCCATATTGACTGGGGCACGTGGATCATCCTTTCGCTGCCTATCTACCTCCTGCTTGATTTCGTCCCTCCATAGGCAGTGGAATTCATAGAATGGCCGCGCGCGGTCGTCTGTGGTAGGGGGAAGGCAATTGTCTTTGTCATATACCGGGATCGGACCCCAATTGGACGATGCGGTTGTGTGTTCTTTGAACCTAATTTCAGGGGTCGAAGGGCGAATAGTTGGCATCTTCGCTGAAAGTTCAAAAACGTGCAGTATGTAGTGTGTGAGTGAGAGGCAATTGAGGAGAAAAGATGCTATGTGAGAATGGTAATGGCCAAGATGATAACGCACCATTTGGAATACGTCTCGCCATTTATACTCGAGGCAATATGATTCATGAGAGCGAGCTGGCCAGATGTCGAAGTACGCGAACAGGCTTGAGGAGATTGTGAACTACGGTTCAAGTGTGATTGATTCGCATTTTCTACGGTACAAATGTGAATCAAGGACCAAATATGAGCCCCAGAACAAGGATTGGACGATAAAGTACGGTTCACTGAATTATAGCTTAATTGGTGGTTTTGTTTACAATGCCCAGTATAAACAAGTTTGTTGTCTGGTGTTAGCACCTGTGATTTTAAGTCCGCTAATGGGAAAATTGCATGGCTTTTGAAATATGGAACTCTTTTGTCTTCTTATCTTCCTAGAGCACATGAGCTTGTTCAATCCAAGATGGACGAGTCCGCCACCAATTTTTAAAATCGCTACCATTGACAGTCCATTTCCCCCTAGACCTAAGAGCCCAGTCTTCGTTGTGAACAATGAAGGGATATCCGAAGATTGTGCAAGAATTTACCCCACACCGCACGGTCCTTGGCATATACCCTTACGTGCTCCGATTCCATCTGACGGTCAGACTTTGCTCCCATTTCCATGGTTCTGACAACATGTCCAGTTGTGCAAGATCTATTCGTCTAGGTGTTACTTACGGAACAAAGGCTTCACTGACTAGAGTAGTCCATGTTTCACAAAGGGGCCACGCAGGATGAGGCACCTAAACAACCTTTGGTTAATTACACCATGACTGCTCATGCGCCTTATTTACTCGGTTAGCTACAAGCGGAGGATGGGAAACATTGAGACTTCTCCTCGTTTCTCGTCTCGCAATTTCACAATGTATTTCTGAAATTAGCATTACCAAACTTTCTACCATGACCTTTCCTGGAGGGCCAGCAGAGAGTTGGCCCTTCCCCCATTGTTGCAGGATGGGCGTTGTTCCCTGGGTTGGTCAGCACACAAGCGACATTGGATGCAGATGTTGGTTACAGCGTACATAATTTTGGGTCTACGGGCGGTGTTCCGGCGGTTAAAAATAAACCCTCGAGAGTCTAGATCGCGGTCTCTCCTGGGCACACATAAGTTCATAAACACACTCCGCATAGGATAAGCATGCATCAGCTGCATGACGCACTCAACCCCCTTCCTTCCAATGACCTAACCTTACGATTTTAATGCTGCCTAGCATTATACCAACCACTGTAACATCTTGGCGGGAAGTAACAACTGATATTTATCCATTTTGCCTGGCCAAAGTGCCATCTTGTGAAGCCACCATCGAGCACCAACAAGTATTGACCCCCTTCCCCTAAAAATACATCCCCCTTTATTTAACTTTTAAGGTTTACTTCGTTTTTACTTCCTCAATCCACCAGGATGGGGATCTGCGGGGTACATCGACAGCGTCTAACGTAATGGTAAATTGTCTTGCTGTCTTGCTGACTGTTGGTCTAATGCATTGTGGAAACCCCTGCATGTGGCTGAGAGATGAGCTGAGTGAGTAACAAAGTCATGGCGCCTATGACCGTTGAAGGCAGAATGTGCCGGAAGCACTTTTCAGATACAGTGGAATAACGAAAGAGAAAGCTAGGGCAATTTTTCTTTTGACGGAAGAGCTTATGAAGATATCACAGGATTTGGATGGGTTATGCTACTAACACTCAACGACTGCTATGAAAGGCCGGTGCAGCTTCAGTCGTCCCCGAATGACCGAGCTGGTTTCACCGCCAGGGGACTTTTGGCGTTGCCGTACTACATTTCAGCTGCCCCAGGGAGGTTTCAGCCACCCAACGCTGACCAACAACTTGATGGAACAATGGCAAGTGGAGGGACGGCTGCCTCAAGGCGAGAGGGAATTTGCTCCCTGCTCCAATCGTTTGGTGACATGTTTGCACCGCCGCGCTTGCACATTAAAATGATGACATGTACCAACACTCTGAACATTGTTACCCTTTCCGGATGAAAATGATCATAGAGCCATCCTTGTAGCTTGAGCGACCCATTTGTTTGCCTTAGCTGATGTATTTTTGGCTGTGATTGTGCTCGGTTGCCTGGGCTGGGAGCAACAGTCATATAATAAGAGAGAAGCCTCTCCGTTTGTTTTTGGAAACACTCACCTCGCACTGCATTAATCTCCCATCATTACCCAGTCTTTGGCAAGGGGGCAACAGCTTCTTCATCAGTCGTTATGTACAATTCCGACTTGTTTGTGGCGCTTGCCGCCCTGGTGCCAGCTGTGTTGGCACAGTCTGCCAGTCCATGCGAGAAAGTCAGCGAGCAACAAGCCGCAGCACTATTGAAGTTGGATGAATCCGTCAATCCGTACAACTACCAGTACCTGGCCTTCTTTGATGCTGAAACGGCGTATCAATGCGTTACTTCTATTCCCATCAACAACACTGAAGTAGCGGCGATGGTTGACGTCGACAAGAAGTTTCTCGCCTTATACTCCACGATCCCGTTTTTGAAGAATCCCCCCAAATCATACCAGCAGCCTTCAATTGATGTCCTGGCTCGGCTGGATGAGATTGCACAGAAAGCAAAGGCGGACAATTATTCCAACTACAACCAATTCGAGCTCGATATTTTCGCGATCAACCGAGGCGTATACGATACTCATTTTGGTATCAGTAACGGTCCTACTGGCGTGATTTCTTACAGCCTTCCATATGGCCTTGTCTCGGCCTCCGTCGATGGAAAGGAACTTCCCCAAATCTATGCCCACACCGACATCATTGACAAAGTCTCAAACCCCTCTCACATTGTCGAGATCGAGGGCGAGAATGTCTTCGCCTACCTCCAGAAGTACGCGGCGACCAATGCAGTGACGAATATGCTTGATCCCCACGCCGAATGGAACCAGTTGATGTACAATGAGGCTACTCAGTTCGGCTCTTGGGCCGCAGAGAATAAACAAGACATGACTCTCGGTGGTATTCAGACCACGACAATCTACAATGGCAAGTCACTCAAAGGAAAGTTCTCCAACGGAACCCAGTTTGAATGGCAATACATGGCTTCTTCGGCAGCCTCGTTCAAGAAAACCAACATCACCAGTGGCGAGGACCTCTTCACTTTATTTGGCCTCGCAGACAAGGAGCAGCAAGATCAGCAAGAGGCAATCAAAAAGCGAGCCCTCGAAGACCAAAACACCACAACGCCTCAATATGTGCCCTACAGTAGCTACCCGAAGAACCCTATCGTTACTCAGGCCAACTTCACACGTGGCGGTGTCGTGTCAGGGTACCTACTGTCGGAGAACTCCACTGGCGTACTCAGCCTTCCAAGCTTCTCATCGCGTGACGATTACACCGAGAGCGCTGAGGAGTTTTCCGTTGCTGTAACGGAGTTCATCTCTGAAGCTCGCAAAGCAGGTACCAAAAAGATTGTCATCGACCTCTCTGGTAACGGCGGTGGCAATATTATGCTGGGATACGACGTCTTCAGGCAATTCTTCCCCGAGAAAGACCCCACGGCCTTATCCCGCTCTCGTGCCACCCCTTTGTTCGATCTACTCGGTCGCGTCGTCGAAAAAGCAGGGAAGCTGGCCGATGGTAGCCCAGAAACTGAGTTTCTCCAGCAGTTGCAAGCGGCTTTTGCCAACGCGGGAGACTTGAACACCAACAACACGCTCACTGCTGATGGTAAGCACTGGACGTCATGGAAAGACTTTGCCGGGCCTCTTGAGATCAACGGGGACAATTTCACCAAGGCTTGGAAATATGACATGTCTCTGCCAGTAAACTACGCGCCATTTGAAACCTACAACATAACGGGCTACGGAACTAATGAGGCAACGTATGACGAAGCCTTCTCCCCTTCCGACATCATCATCCTCTATGACGGCTACTGTGGAAGTACTTGCTCTATCTTCAGTAATCTGATGAAGAACGTCGGTGGTGTCAAGAGCGTCGCTGTAGGTGGCATTCCCCAGAACGGACCCATGCAAGCGGTTGCCGGTACTCGGGGAAGCCAAGTAAGGCAGCACGAGTCCATGGCCCAAGTTGCAGAACTAGTTCGGTCGGGCCTGTTAGACAGCAAGAACGGATCCCGCGAGGCCCTACGATCGGAGCTTGGTCTTACCGTGGCGCAGGTCGAGGATATCCCATCCGCTAAGCAGGCACCATGGAGGGTTGGAATGGCCCTCAACATTCTCGACCAAGTGTCCACGGGTAATCTCGAGGTTCCCTACCAGTTTGTCTATGAGGCAGCCAACTGTCGGTTGTTCTACACGATCGATATGATCCGCGACGTCACTGTTCTCTGGGAAGCCGCCGCAAAGGTTGCTGGAGGAGATACGTCAGCTTGCGTTCCTGGATCAGTCGACGGTCCTGGATCTGAGCGCAACAAGCCCCTCGTCGAATCCCCAGGATTCTCGCACGACGATATTTGGAAGAACGCAAATTCCACTAAGCTCTTGGCGATTAACAATACGAGCGGCGGCGGTAATGATGATTCAGAGTCGTCGGCTTCTCGAATGACGATGGCGGCAGGCGTGTTTGTTGTCTCATTCTTGACGGCTTTGTTGCTGTAGATGTTGGATTCTGAACATGATTCGGGGCACTAAGATTATCTTGAGTTCCCTATCATGGGACTCTTGGAAGTAGATCGCATTGAAACATATAAGGATGAGAAATTAATGAATAACGAAATATATCTTTGACTATTGGCGTGACTCCGTAGAGCAAGCAAAATATCTCGCTCATGGTAACCTAGAGATACTAGAATGGCACTCATACTTTTACGTTCCATTCCACGGGGATATTCTATAGTATGTGAAAACGATCACCCTCACCAACATAAATTCTTTCGGCCCATGGCGGTAGAGAAATGAGTTAGTGAAAATCCTAATCAAGTGTATATATCCTATAAACAAAATCCGCAATCTACTATCAAAATTCAAATCCGTCCTGCTACCCTTCAACATGAGGCCCTACTTATGGTGTTATCATAGGAACCAATTCGCTCGCGCAGGGAACCCGAGTCGTCCATCCTACCCTCATCTCATGCTAAGCCAATGTCAATCATCATGTGGGGAGAGGTTGAACCGGCCCAGTTGACTCGGCCCAGCCAATATAAACCACTCTAAGATTGAAACCCCAAGGCTTGAACTTCTCCAACATCTACATCCAATATCCGTCAATTGGCCAAAATTCAGCACAGGCAAGATGAGCCCCGAGACTCTGCTTGTCATCACCCCGTTCGCACCAGCGCAGGCATGGATTGATGACCTTCGCAAAAAGGTACCTGATATCAAGGTTCATGTTCATCCAACAAAAATGTACTCCAAGGAAGTCCCCGAGGATATACCTGTGGACGTTTGGGAAAACGCCACCGCACTGTATACTTGGAAAGCGTTCCCTTCCATAGAACTGGCTCCAAAGCTGCAGTATGTCCAATTGCATAGCGCAGGTGCCAACCAAATTCTTGGGCTTCCGTTATTCGAGAAGACGGACATTGTCTTCAGCACCTCCAATGGAGTCCATCCCCCTCAGATCTCCGAATGGGTATTTGCAAGCTTTCTTGGATTCCAACACCATTGTGAGTAGAACTTCCCCTGTTCGCATAGTTTAATTACCGCTAATAAGTTTCTCAGTCCATGAGCATCTCGAGAATCAGAAAAAGCGAAACTGGGTTGATCCCGACTCAGATGAAGACGTCGAAGACGCAGTCGGTTTAAGAGTGTAAGTGCTAAACCATGGGACGTTTGTTTTTTCCCTAGTAGAACATCTCGCTCATATCGTTTTGAAGTGGAATTCTGGGATACGGCGCAGTCGGCAGACAAGTTGCACGCGTCGCCAAAGCTTTTGGAATGGATGTCCACGCCCACACTCTCCATGAGCGTCCTACACCCGAGTCGCGAAAAGATGACGGATTCACTGAGCCGGGTCTCGGCGATCCAGCTGGTGAATTTCCCTCAAAGTGGTTCCACGGCAAGGAGCAGCTCAACGACTTCCTCGGCTCCGATCTTGACCTCTTTGTCATCACGCTACCAGCTACACCTGCCACCGCCAACATGATTGGGGAAGATCACTTTGACATTCTTAGCAAGAAAAAGACATTCATAAGCAACGTTGGCCGTGGTTCTGTGGTTGACACTGAGGCGCTAATTGCCGCTCTCGACTCTAATAAGATCCGTGGCGCTGCGCTGGATGTGACAGAGCCAGAGCCGTTGCCCGCTGATTCAAAGCTCTGGGGCTACAAGAATGTGTTTATCACGCCTCATTGTGCTGGCAATTCGAACCACTTCAACGAAAGAACATTCAAAATTCTTGCATATAACTTAGAGAGGCGATCCAAGGGACAACCTCCGGTCAACCAAGTCGACAGATCGCTGGGCTATTAGACTGGGCGGCTTACAAACGGAACCAATAACTTACCATCCCAAAGCTGTTATTGCGGATAAACACCAGTAATTGCAGGAAAAAAAGGTTGGCGAGCCCAATATGCAGAAGTTATGAGGCTTGGGGCCCTTGGTCCGAGCAGAGTTCAGTGCTGCATCAAGACGGTCGGAGATTGCCAGTATGATTGACAAAATGTGTATCCAAATATCGATTTTTAAATAATTTATGACTAATTAAAATTTCATGAAAGCCCTAGACTCTTGCAACAGCCGCAAGGCCAGATAGAGCGATCATATAATTTGGGTAATCTATTCATGCCGCTTGGGCTAACCTTACGATTTAGAATGTGTGAAAACATCCTTGTTATCGAAAGGAGAAAAACAAAAGAAAGGTCTATAGACTCTGTGTATGGAAGTAATAACCGAAACTCCTGGTGTCTAGCCGATTCCATGTGCAACTCCATAACCCAAGCCGTCCTTTTATTCCCCCTTAGTGAACGCGGCATCCATTGTCTATGCTAATTGGTATCGAGAGCCAGAAGAAAAGAAGAAGAAGTAAAAGAAGAAGAAAAACAATTTGAAATGATCCGACACAAACTATCACGCTCGCCGGAAGCTCATCGTCCTTTTGAATCCCGCGATGAACTCCCGCTGCCCCGTCTTGATTCTCGACGGGGGGCGTAATGAGCCAACTTGGTCTCTGAACTCACTGGACCCCTCCAATTCCACACGGAGAGGTTCTTCCTGATCTTTCTGATAAAGCCCCAACCCTGTTGTGTATTCGGTCGGGATGCCTTGCAGTGACTCCTGTAGTGATCGAGGATCGATTTCGGGTGATGATTTCGTGTGTAGTCCGCCTTGTCCTCGAGCAGCGTCGTCGGTCGATGCTTGGGTGGTCGCCTCGCGTGATTTTTCAGACGTTTCACCGTGTGCGCCGTGTGATAAGTCGGGATGATCCGCCATGAAGGGTGTTCTAACGGTGATGGCCTCTGGTGGAGTTTCTGACTCGCCATCCTGAGTATTGCGCTGGCTGCGCTGGCTGCGACGGCGACGGAGGAACCACAAGAGAACAATGACCAGGGCGATTAGGAAAAGGCCTCCGAGCACGCCTCCAACAGCAGCGCCCACCACAGCTTTATCGACACCTCTCTTTCTCAAGGACACTAGATGAACAGCATCTAGATAACCACAGGTATGTCAGCTCCCGTCCTCGTGTGCTAATAAAAAAAAACTCATTATCACCTACCGTCAAAAAGACGCTTTTTCAGCTCAGCCATAAGCCTGTTCGGATGGCGCCGGAACTGAGCAAACGACTGCTCTGATAATGCCCGGCAAGGTGAAGCCACTGGGTGAGCCATAGCCAGTCCAGAGAACAAGAACGCCGTAGGAAAGACGGGTGGTGATATCATGTCTGCGACTCCCCTGTCTGTCAAAGCCGAGCTTAATTTCCTTAATTTCGTTGATTGAGGCACAGAGATTCTGGGCGATATGGAAGGGTGAAATCCATGGAGTCAGAGGGGTAGGGGATAAATCCCAGGCAGAGACGCCTGCCAGGGACTGGTCTAGATAATAACATTTTCATTTCATTGTCGGCTTTGGATAAAGTGCATGCATCAGAAATAATCCGGTTGGGTGTGTGAGAGCGTCCGGAATTAGTACATGCAGCTTGCGTGAGATGGCACTGCCCCGGCTCCATCTTATTATTAGCATCCATGAGACGGCTCAATTAGGTAGTGCCCAGCGAGCAATACGTCAAGTGATTCAGATAAATTTATTTCCAATACGGCTCATTGCCGAGAGAAGATGTTTCCCTGGTTACTAGCACAGCCTGCCTCGTTCTCGTCACCATCCAAATGTGTGACGGGCCCGATATTGAGACAGTCCCGGTGCATAAAATATGCGCATAACTGATCGGGCTATTTTAGGGAGCAGAGCACGCAGTAAACAGTCAACCAACAGCCTGCGTTGCCCAGGCCGTTCATCAAAGCCAATTAATTGTCGCGTGATCGCTCGGTACATGTATCGAGGCATACGGTAGAGATGGGACAAACTGTTGTCTGGATGCGACTAATACTGATGACGTTGTCTGACGGGCATTCATCAGCCTCCCTCCAAAAGTAATCCTTCCGGAGAGATGCTACCAAAACACACTGATGAGCGTAATCAATGCTGCAAGAGCACATTGGTGAGTGCCACGACCACAGCCGAAGCAGCATAAGTCGCAAAACTCAGGCACTCAAAGCTAGGCAAGACAGTAATCGAATCCGCCTCAAGACCATGCTGAGAACCCATTCAAATCCGCGGATTCCCTCTGGATTGATTGCACATCCAGTGTCCTCCATATTACCTCATATATGACGGCCCCCAAATCGATAAAAATGCATACGAATTGGGCAGATGGGGCCTCGGTAATGCGGCACAGCCCAGCTTGTGCCATCAAAACAGGCAGAGATCATCCACCGGGACAAACCAAACTACCGCTCTCGTGCCTGTGAAAGGTCCTCATCTGAAAAGAGTCAGTCTCTCTTCCAATCAAGAGGGAAGCAGGCCATTGGAGCGAGGTGCTATGTCTATGTCATTTCGGGCAAAGAGACCACATTGATTTGTTCCATGGAATCGCGGAGGTCAATTAATTACTTCAGTGGATCATACAACCAAAGTGCCTATTTCTTCAGGTTATCACCGAATGGACCAACCCCCTTGTAGCCGCCAGCTGGATTTTGTATGTATCCAGATATCCGGATGTCTCACCTACCCTACAGTCCATGAATACGAAGAATGAATTCCATCACAAGGGTTTTGATTTCATCGCAACGACTCCCCTAAAGCCGATGTTATCTAGAAATACTTTCAGAGAGTCAGCTCCGGCTGGGACATCATACTGGAACGTTCTACAACTACTGGGAGGTATTGAATATCAAGGGCGAAGAATCTATCTTTGCACAATCATCACAAGACTGTAATATTGAATCCCACTACATGTATTCCCAAGAACTTAAACGATTAGGCAGGCTCCACATCCACATCATTACACATGCTCATAGCAAGCTCATAAAACTTGTTCTCCGTCAGTTCATGCGAGATGATGATTCGGATCGCGTACGGCGTCGCCATGACCGAGTCGATTTCGAGCTTTTCCTTGGCGACAACCTTCATCATGCAGGCCAGGATGGCTTCCATCGGGTACGCGAGGGCCTGGCGATAGGTGCAGTGAGTAGTGTCCGCGTGCTGGCTCTTGACGATGACATCGACGGCGGGCGGGCCTTCGTACTCTTGGTGGTCATCGTCGGCGGCAGTGCAGAGCTTTCCAGTCTTGCGGTCGATGTATTTCCCATCTACGACGGGGGTCTTGCCTTCGCCGTGCCAGCCGGGAGTGTGAATTGAGAGCGGATACATGGTGAGTTGGATGTTCTGCCTCGACGAATTTGATGGGCTGGTGGTCGTAGTTCTGCTATATTTTTAGATGATTCCAGTGTTGAGTGTGATGAATTTGATGGAGATGTGGGAAACAACAGATGGTTTGATTGATGAAAAAGATTAAGTTTTTCTGAATTCAAAGATCAGTACATGTACTTGCTTTAATTGCTGCGTCGTACGAAGCTGGCGCCGGGTCATCTATTACCCCTTTATCAAAGCAGGCAGCTGCCAGTCCCTTCTCGCAGCTGTTCAGGCTTATCCAGAGACTTTGTGTAGCTAATGGAAGACAGTGGAAAGCACTATTGCGTCACTGTGGTGATACAACAATAAGGAGCCCAGTGAAGACAGCATAAGCGGCTTGAGGGTTCGCTCTTCGCCGTTCGAAGTACTTCACTGTATATTTCGCCACTATTCATATATAGCTACTACTTATGCCTGATCCTATCCGGATGCTTTACGCCCGATTGTGCTTTTGACCGAGTGTGCTCACACTTCAAACGGTGGTAATATGACGCTGAGATATCAATTATCATTACGAAATGAGACAAAACGAGTTCCTTGGCGAAATCTAGACAGAGCAGCCCATGCAACCAGAATATCGTTCCAGTTGCACAACTGGACACTATCATGACTCCAGCTGCTGGACGTTTGGATCAGTATCACCCATCATGGCCTTTTACTGGTTGCTTATTTCTCTCAGCAATAGTGGCGCATAAGACAAGTCATGCTCGTTGAACATGATCATGAAAGGAAGAGGACTTCAATGAACTCTCGGTCCCGACGAAAACCTTACATCTCGGTTCGTTGCTTGTCCGTCGAGCTTCATATTGATTACGCATCGTGCTGAGGTCAGTCAGACGGGGCCGGAATGAATTTTCATAATTGCCATTCGTTTGGTGTATATGATGTTTCCGAAAGTCGGGATAAGCACGAATAGATCTATTGAACATGTAACCATCCAGATCATTGATGGTGTTTCCAGAGAGAGGACCGTGAAAGGAATGGAGGGCACATCCTTTCGACTGATGATGGTATAAATTCCCCTCTAACCTACTAAACCTTTCTATCTCCTTCAGTCTTCATCCTTCATCGCGACGAAGTAGTCAGAAATCAATCCAGATAAAGGAAACAACCTCATCAGCTCACTCAAGCACGTCCCCGCAAGCCTACCTTCAAGATGAAGTTCTCCGGATTTGCAGCTCTCTCTGCCGTGGCACTTTTCCTTGCCCCTGCCATTGCTGAGCCCATTGCCAACCCTCAAAGTCTTGACGAAGCCGAAGCTGCCTACTCCATCACTTGCACTGGTGGTCTTAGACCTGACAGGGTTTGCACCAACGGTAGAAAAACCAATGGCTGTCGTTGCGATAGCAGGGGCACTTACCTATGTGACCCTTCCAGCCTGAGGAAGCCAGGTGGACAGTGTGCCAAGTGCGGGTGCCGTAGGAACTGATACAGTATGTTTTATTCATTCCCTTCCAGCTTTGACTCCAGTGATAGCTAACATTTCAACTGACATAGGCGAAATGTTGACTGGACTAGGGATCGATTTGAGGATTTTGATTGGGGGTTTGATCACATATTCAACATATGAAACGTAACTAGGCTTTAAATCGAATGAACAACCTGCTAGCAGTTCTTGAGAGCTTCATGAATTCATCACCGTAACCAATGACCGAACTCAATAATCCTGTGACGTGCGTGATGCTCCCATCTCTTCAAAACATCTAGGGTATAGTTCCAACGTCTGTCTACTATGACTTCAATCCGTACGGGGACTCATGCTACCCGAGAAAGTTCGTACATTGATATTCTATTATTTATTATCTACATTGTTTTAAAACGCCGTATAGAAGTCAGCATGCTACCTAGTGTGGTAATACCTACGACTTAGAGGGGTCAAAGTAATGCGGGTACTTGGGCGCATATGTCTCGTTGCCGTAAACACTTCCACCGTAGGTGAGGTACCCTTCGCTCTCTGCGAAAGGAATAGCTATGATTTCCTGTGCTGTTCCGACAGCCCAGACGCTTTGCATACCTAGTTTACCTTAGAGTTAGTAGATGCCGAGAATAGCAGATTTCGATCCAACAAGACAACACTCACCCATAGTCATATGCTGCAGTGTATGGCAATGAATCATCCAAACTCCAGGATGGTCCACACGAATCCTCCAGGCCCGCCAACCAGACGGTACACCTGCGCCTGCGTTGGATGTATATCTGTGGAGCATGGTGGTGTCCCTTTGTACAGCCTCATAGCCTAGACTCTGGATCTTCCTCTCGTTTGCCTCCGCATCGTACGTGCCGTTCCCGCTGCCAATATCATAATAGTGTTGCCCGTGGGCATGGAACGGGTGTACGTCGACGCCACCCCCATTATTCCATAGCGATCCGTGATTCTGAAGAACGATCTCCAATATCTCACCCGGCAGTGCAGCAAAGGCTTGGACTCTTGGATCCCAACCGTTGTTTTCCAGCGCTGCTTGATAGTTGGGCATTGCTTCCTCACCTCTCTGGTAAATATCCACCAACATGGGCCGCTGGAACGTGTGCATGGTCCACGTTAGATTGTTCATGACCCAGATTGTTTGGTTCGTCTTTTCGCTTCCTATCTGCCATGTGTCCAGAGTCACACGGCGGGTGATTTCGGAGAGAGTTGGCATCCCCTGTCCGGGTTTCTTCGCATACAGCGGCGTCAGCTCATACTCAAGCCAGTCGTATGTAGCGTTCGTGAGATTGAACGGAGCGACCACTGGCGCCTTCACCTCCGGAATGGACTGGCGAAAGTCGGGCTTGGCGGAGTAGCGGACCACGGCATAGCTTCTGAAAACCGTGGGCCGCTCCCTCGTTTCAAACTGCATGAAATAATCTGTCTTGTTGCCTTCGTTTGCCAACTCATCTACGGTTTTCGCCCGGAACAGGACATCAAACCGTTGGCCCGAGCCAACCTGCATCCTGTCTACAGTGACCGGCTTCGTGAACTCGCCTCCATCGACCTGAACAATGGTAAAGCGATCTAAGTGGCCCTCCAACTGCATAACCAGATGCGAGAGAGCTGTTGCTCCAATCCAGCGGAACCTGTATATTTTCCCAGGCTCGACATTGATCACAGGGAAAGAACATGTGCTTTGATTATCGCTCGTTCCCGGAGTGTGACCCAGTCCGACTCCGATACCGTTCAGGAGAACTCCGTTTGTTTCGCCACTCCATACAAATGGCACCGCCTCCAGACCGTGCTCAATCTTTTTGTCCGTCTGATTGAAATAGTCTCCCCATTGGAGGGTGCGCTCCTCATCGTAGTAATGAGGATACACGCCGTAATCGTTCACTATCAGGGGGCCGTAAGCTGTCAAAGCCTCCATACCGACGTGGGAGTGGTAGAAGTAGGTGCCGCCATCTTCTTGCGCGGGAGAAACCTCGTAGTCGAAGAAATGCCCAGGCGGAATCGGCCACTGTGATGCGAATACGCTGCCGTCGGCAAAGGGTGCCATGCGCATTGCCAGCCCATGCCAATGCTAATCAAATGTGAATATTAGCTTGCCGTCTCTCACTTGGTCTCCGAGAGAGGCATCTTCAAACAATGAGAAGAAGCTGGAGAGGACCATTCTTACCATTGTGAGGTTGGCATCGAGCATGTCATTGTAGACGCGGATCCAGGTCACTTGGCCAGCTGGCAGCCGCAGCTCTGGCCCGGGTGAGGTTCCATTGATGACAGCGCTGTATCTTGTCTCGCAAGCGACCGAGATGTTTTGTGCAGACACCCTCAGAATATGATCAGGCTGAAATGTTTCATCGTGTGTTGTCAGCGTACAGGACGATAACTCTACCAATGCCGTGGTGAGCAGCGTAATGAGAGAGCCCAGCCGCATGTTTGATCCGGCAATGAGAGATGTGTATACACTTCAGAACCGCAAAAAGGACGAAAGGACTGGAACTCAATATTATTTAAAATCTCCTTCCCCGGGCTAAATAACCGTTGCTATTTACTGATGCGACGTCATGACACTCCCATAGCGTATCCTCGTGTCAGCACTAAGGCGTTGGGGCGTATTCGGGCTTCGCCAAACATGCGACTTACGCAAAAATGTCACTTTACTATCTTAAGAACTAGCGGACGCTGGATTTCCTTTTCCCTCCTATTTTCTTTTAAATTCACAAGGGGATGCTTCAACCAAAGCCTGAAAGATGCAGTGACATCTCCTTTAACAAAGGGGTAGCCGGGCCTGCCGGACAGGTCTTCTCAGTGACATTGCATAAAGTTTTCGGTTAGCGAATATTGGTTCTTATTAGGGGTCTTAACGTGCGCAACGGCCGTGATCTTGGGCCGCTAAATGGTCGCTAAATAACGATACTTTCTCGAGATTCTCCCCGCCTTGACCGCACCTCGTAGCGGAACTAGGCGGACTTTCCGAGCACAAGCAGAGCATATGTATAGAACAACGCATGTACTAAGATGGGCGCTAAATTAACCGACCTCTCAGATGAGATCGGCGGAGGATTCACTCACTCCCGAAATTGGTGCTAGCCACGAAATGACGTTGATCAAACCGGTGTTGGTAAAGGCTGACTTTTGATGAAGATCAGCGGCACTTCATGCAAGCCCCCATGTAAGCATGGTATGATACATGAATTACTACTAAAAGTAAAGGTCCCGAGAAAATGCTCAGAATCGCCAGAACGAGCTCCAAGATTCCCAGTCAAAATCAACATCATGTACATCGGGCAGCTCGAATGTATCCAGACTCTGCGAGTCCAGCGTCGCAGCGACCTGCACGTTCTGTCCGTTCCTCAGTTGTTGCTTATTCCACAGCAGTTCAATAAATCGAGGTAATGGGCTATACTCTATAACCCCTTGCCCATGAATCTGAAAGTATTTCCTCCGGGCTTCCCAAGCCTCCAGTGTAATTTCTCCCAGCGCGACAGAGAAGCTGTTCTGCTCGTCGTTGAGCAGCTCCTCGTACTCGTTGTAAAATTCTTGGACAAGTTTCCAAGCCATCTCCACGCGCTCTCCGGAAAATCGCCTCCGTAGCTCACTTATGATGTAGACGTTCGTTTCCAGCTGGAAGGTGGACGAGATATGCGTGAACAAATGCCGAGAATACTGGCTTCGTTCTCCTATTTGAAGCTTTTCCAATGACGTGACTGCAGAATTGAACGCCAAATCACCTTCATCCTTCTTCATGTATACTGCCCCATCGTGAGTGACGGCCCGGAATCGGGGATGGTGAGCCATATATCGCAGGCGAGACGAAGCAAGAATGGCCATGGCATTAGACAGAGCGTGAAGGGGGATATTCAAGTCCAGGTATTGAAGGTATTTTTCGTAGTAAATGGATTCCAGCTTATCGATCAAAGCGTCCTCCATCTCAAGGACTCTTTTGGATTTTTCCGGAGTGTTGCTGATGCCCTCAAACACCCGAAGGCTAGCGCTAGAGTGCCTCAGCCACTGGAAGATATGGAATTTGATGAGTACACATGTCATCTCTGTTGGGCCAACGTGTTCCGCGGGAGGTTCTGTCATGTCCGGATGGAGATCGGCATCGTTGACGTTCAGTGGCACACGAATATCGCCAAATTCGACAAGCGCAGGTGGTCGCATTCCGGGAACATGGCTTCCGCGGGCCCGAGAGTCAAGGGCATTGAGTTGCCACCATAGCCTAATGCGCATCTCGCTCTCGAAGAAGGAAACCTTTGGATGACTGGGTTTATGCAAGCCCATTTTCTGGCCGATTCTCACAGCGGTGGGGGTGAGACTGGATGTGAATTCTGAATCAGGATCCGTCAGGAGAAACAGTGCGAACGCTGTGAGCAGCTGTAGATCTTTCGTGGTCAGGAAGTCAGCACCTATCAAGGCGCTCAATGCTGCAACTCGGTAGCGAGTGATTAATGTCGGCCTGGGTTCACCGTAAGTGGCCTCACACTGAGCCGATGAGAGCGATATGACTGCGAGGCTATATATTGAGAACATCAAGGCAGCCAGAGGTGCCGAAATATTCTCGAGGTCCCAGCTGGCTTCTAATATTTGCTGTTGCATTGTGGGGACATGAACGATCTTGATCAAGGGGTTCACTGCTTCAACAAACTGTTGCCAGAGTCGATAAATTTGCCTAGGCTCGGGGTGTAGCTTATGGCTAGTAGAGCCTCCACTAGACATGATCGAATAGAGCGGTGGAATTGGATATAAACAAGGGTCTTCAGAATAATGCAAATAACGAGTAGGAGGAAACTTGAGCTGTGAGGGGTCAGGAAGCTTAGCCTTTCTTGTTCACAACAATGATACTGCTTAACAAAGGTTCATACCTCCATGGGCAAGTTAGTCCATAAGCACCTATGAACGTCAATGTCAGCTACCGGCTGAACTGGTACAAGTCCATGACGTGAATCAAACTCACCTCTCCCATTCGGCCGAACGATTATCGACCTGGGGGTCCTTTAAGGTCGCCAGGTTGTTCGTGCCTGGCGTCAAGCTCGGGCTTTCGCTACCACTCGTAGAAGACTTTATCTTCCCCTGTAAGTCCGATGGAATCCATGAGTGGCTAAAGTGACTAAAGTCGATATTGTTATCCCTTAAGAGGCATTCATATGCTCCAAGTCGGGCTATGAGGTCTTCGTCGGCGGCTCTCTTCCGGGGCCGTGGTGGCGGATGTTCCTCGTAGAGACATTGCACTTCTGCCTTGGAGCAGTTGGAGCAGGGATCCGCCTTGTCGCACTTGATCTTTCGTCGTGCGCAGGTAGAGCACGCATACTTGTGCTGGCCAGAAGAAGAAGCGGACATGGCAAGGCCGGGTCACGAGTTCAGGATATAACGGTGGGATTAGGGCAAGCACAGTCCAATCATGCTCTTAATTGAAAGCTAATCGTCAGAAGAGAAGTGTAGATGGGATTGCATTCGACAAGTTGTCCGATCGTTCATCGCGTTGAGTGAGGAGCAAATAAAGAACGGGAGCCTCGGGTCCAAACGAGGTTTAGTGTACGAGGCTTCGGGTCCGGGAACGGAACCTGCCACTTTGACACTGCCTGGTGTGAGCTCCAGTATGGCTGATACTGAGAGACCAGATCTGACCATCGATATTGTCATGTGATCCATCGGAGGAAAGATATCACGCAATTTCATAAGTTGCGAAGCGTAGCGGTTATGCTAGTAAATAATATTCGTCAGAAATATATGTATATAGAACGCAATCTAATACTAAATCACTCTCTAATATCTATGTGCTTGCCTCTCTATCACGGAAAATCCCTTCTACCTGTATCAACAAAATTTAATCCCCTGTTGAAGACATTGAATACCCAGAGTTAGCATGAAGCTCCTTCTGTTGCTGATTATGGCTTCGTGTGCGAGTTGAAAAAATCGATAATCTTGGGCGACAGGAACAGCTGCTTGTCCGAGCTGCTAGGATATGCATGCCCATGCCCGTTCAATTTGAAATGGGTCAGCAAGCCCTTTTCTCCTGCACAAGTCCACTGTTGCTGCTCGACATCGTTTCCGATATTCGAGGAAGATGAGCCCGAGCATTTGTTTCTCTTGGCCCAACGTCCGAGCCATTCGGGAATAGCTGGAACAGGTCCGCCAGCCGCAGTAAGATTACCATTGTAATTAATTCTCTTATCAGCTGTGCCATGAGACTCCAGGAAGGGAAGTGGTGAGCGAGCCGGATGGCAAGTCTCATCGCCGTTCACGTCGGTATACAGAGCGGCCGAGCTGGCGGCAAAAGCTGCAAACTGCCCACCGTGATCAGGAGAGCATGCTAACGTGTTTACAAAGCCGCCGCCGTTCGATTGACCTGCAGCGTAGACACGAGACTCATCGATACAATAGTTGTCCTTGATCCGATTGACGAGGTCTGTTGTGAAGACTTTGTCACTAACTCCTTCTTTGGCATAAGAAGGGCCTTGCCAATGTTTCTGATACGACCACTTGGTTAGCAAAACTGGTCCTCTCCCTTGTGGGTATTTAAAAAGGAAATCATCTCACCTCGACTCCCGCTGGGAATACAGCAACCATCTTCGAGTTGACGCTCTCATCAGAGAACTTTGTCAAATCCTCCATGTCCTTCGGTGTCTTGCCCGAGCCATGATAGGCAATAACCAACGGCTGGGGCGAGTTCACCTTGTATCCTTTGGGCAAAAAGATTCGGTAGGTGCGAGTTCCGCCGCTGCTCTCGAAGCTGAACTGCTTCGTTTCCCCGATGAAGTTGTGTGACTTTCCACAGCCCGATGAGGCGCGCTTGTGGACAGCAGCGGCTTCTGAGCCTGAGAACACAGAAGCAGCGCAGAGAAGGATCGAAATCGCACTAGAGAAAAACATGATGCTAGAGAACCAAGAAGAACCCATACAAAGAACGAGTATATTCTTGAAGCCTCATGAGGGCTTCAAGGGGGCTTCCAAACTTCATAAATAATGATTTCCGGCCCGGCTCTTGAATCCATGTTTTCGAGCGGCGTCGAGCGGCGTGGATCGCCAATGGTCAGATTTGTGGCGGAGGAGTGAAGACTCAGTGAAGGCTAATGACGCTTAACCGTATCATTGCCTAGTATTTAGTATTACTGTCAGATTTCTATGAATACCTACTCCATCCCGGCACTTGCTGGTCAGCTAAAGTGGTGCCGAATGGTCATGAGCCTAGCCTGGCTCCTTAATTCCGGTGTAACCCAACGCACATGGCCAATAATGAAGCATTCCCGGGGGCTCCGTGGACCTCGTACACCTAACTAGGATACGAATTTGCGGCTGACCAAACGATCCCGTAAGACGCACAGGTAACAAACCTCCTCGATGATTATTAATTACTACAGGAAGAACCAAAGTGATCGTTCGGTTATGAGGCCCAAATAAGCTTAGGGTTGGTAGACAAACGGGGCCTCGCGTCAGCATGCAGTTCAAAACCATCATTTGATATCCGCATGCTGGATTTGAGCATGACATCAAGTTGGAATCAGATGAAAGGGTCCTGGCACGGCCGACTGAAGTCGTATTCCGTGGAAAAGTTCCCTTTTCTCAAGTCATCATGCCTCATCCTACGAGTCCACTCATCAAGTTGTGATTTCCCATCCATGTGGTGCCCGGCACAACGGCGCCTTTGGCATTACTTTGTCAAAAGCCCATACCTAGCACCTTTATTTTGTTAAACAAGGGAAAGGGCTGCTGAATATAGGATCCTTTATTATCCGAAGCGCCATACACCAGCTGCTTGGTTCTAGCTATTACGAGATATCACCGGGAATATTTCCTTCCACATGACGGCAATCTTGGACTAACAAGGGCCGTCTTTTTTAGATTTTCGTATTCATTGTGTCGGAATGTCGGGCCTGGCGACTTCTATTGTTGTTTAACTTTACACTCGAACTCTCCGTCGGCGGGACTATAACTACCGATCCCGTTCTCGCCGGCCCCTCCAAGCATAGGTGCTGAAGCACATGACACTTTTGCAGTTCTTCATCAGTCAACCACTAGATGTCCTGTATTAATGTTCTAGAACTACAACAAAGCCAGCAGAGTCTCCGTAGAGTCAGATGGTACCAGAACGTGTCCTACCAAAGGCAACGAGAGAATTCGAATATAATAAGTCACAGTCTCTCTAGGTCTTCATCTGTTACTGCCTATGACCGAGCCATGAACGAGAGAAGGATAAAGGACACCTAGCGGCTGGCCTGTCCTAAACAACACCTTGGTGGTGCCCGCGCCACATAGATCTACTCACAGATATCGTATTGCAGAAATCAGAAGTACCTCAATTTTCTGAGAATATAACGTCTGAGCCTCTTGATTATTGTACGTAAGCCATAGGACATACCTAGCCAGTGTTGTCTTAGTAGGTTGACAAAGAGGGGATGGGATGTCTTAGATTTCCAACGCAGTTCATTTGTCCCTCCATAATTAGAGTCAATTTGCCCTATGGAAGTACTTGAGTGTTCGCGTACACAATTTCTTTGAAAAGTTAACGGAATTGGGCATGCGAAGGTCCTCCAGGAGATACCCTTAGAAGCAAGCCGGAAGCTAGATATAGAACCATCTAAAGCGTAAGCATGATCAATTTTCAGCCTTGTCCATATCTATGCTCGCAAAAGATTGAAGCACATGTGTCCCTTTGAGTAACAGGCACATCTTATAGTTCTTTTATTGCCTTTCCCGGTCGCTCCAGGCCTAAGCCACTCAAGAATGCCACCCTCACAAGTGTGCGCCCGCCAACCATCACCAACCCGGAAAACGCGCCCGTCTTGGATATATCCGCGAACGAAATCAACTGATCTCGGCTTCGGAGTATCTCTACCATGCTTAGCAGCATCGAGATGTCTTGTAGGATAAGACCAAACTGCACAGTCTTCCATATCTTTATGTCCGCCGTGTATCGGAGCAGGCTCAACTGCACGGTAGATGCGAAAAGCATGCTGCCACCGATAGGAAAGAAGAACGGGTTGAATGTAGATATTGGCAGGTCTTGTAATTGTGGGAAATGTTCGCGGGTTGCGCCTTCAACGTCGAAGAAGTGGATGTAGGCGACAAGGAGGGAGATGGCGCCGTCAATCCAAGTGAACAGAACGCGGTAAAGTCGGGGGATAGCAGAATGTGTTCCCATGGTGTCAGTCGGCGCGACTTTGGTCTAGACTTTGGTTTCGGGCCGTTGATTGCAGTGCATCCAACGAATTGGATATTGTTCAGTGCGGTTCGGGGTGAAAGCGCCGTTCATGGAAGCTCACGAGATGAGATGAAGCAGATGAAAGATTGCACGAGAGACGAGAGGCAATAAATGGGCCAACTCGCTGAGTCAGGGATAATTTAGCACGGAGAAGATGCTGACCTTGGCAGTCCCTAGTCAAGACTCGTCACTAAAATACACACACTAGAAGGAGGTCTATATTTAAATGCGGTTTTCAATAAAAGCTGGTCTCGAGAAATATCAAGTTGGTTAGATTATTAGGGACTTGTCTCAGGATGTCCGCCGCCATACCCAAGCTGATATATTGCTTCCTTAGTTATAACACTAACTCACAATTGAGTAGCCACTGTGTTCTCCCATAGGACAGCATGTGAGTATTGCCTTCTGTTAAAACAATAAGACGATAGACAAATATGCATCAGCCAAAGTCCAAAGTCCATAATGCACAGCAGCACTATTAGCTGACGTGCAAACCTCTATCCACCGGGGAGTCACAATCCTACCTCAGAACCATTTCTAATCATTTGCGGTTCCGTATTCTCGGACCTTTCCAAATTTTCAAGCTGCTGAGAAAGCATGTTACGTCCAAAGGTACACGGGGGGTTTCATTCTGCCCGCCTCCCACTTGGAACATTGTTTTTGGTTGCTATTGGTCAACAGGTAGGAAATATGGAGATCACTCACTTTACATCCGAGGGCCTCTGGAGATATCGCCAGCTGCTGGGGTATTGTCATGTAAGTTTCCCGCGTCTTATTACAAAGCAGACATCTGTGTACCTTATCATGTAAGCTTCACATGCGGCGGTGAAGAGATACTTGAGTATCATAATGCATAGAGCAAGTTCATAAAAAGGTCGAGCGTCTTCAGTATTTCAATGAAAATCGAACTCTATGCTATACATTCATACCAGTTTGTGAAGTAACGTTTCTATCAATATGCTCTCCAAAATGCTCAAGTCTATTCTCCTGCTGGCGCTCCAGCTCCAGCCTACAATCCAGGCCCCTCTCGAACCACGCGGAGTTGCTCCCCGTGATACGCTGCCAGTCAGAACCATAGCAGGCGTCACAGTTGTTGACACCCCAATCGTTCGTGCTGCGCATGAGTTTTCACGCCTCCATTCCTCCGACTGGGTTTACAGACATGTGATGCGTACTTGGCTCTACGGTGCTCTCATTATAAGCCACAACACGACCTTGAAGAAATCTGTGGATCTCGAAGTCCACGCCGTCGCAGTCCTGCTGCATGACCTTGGGTGGGATCAGACACCAAACTCGACTCTCATTAGCACTGATAAGAGATTCGAGGTAGACGGGGCAATTGCCGCCCGGGAATTCATCAGAAGCGACAAGCATGGAAAGAAGTGGGAGGAACTAAGAGTCCAGCACGTCTGGGATGCCATCGCACTCCATACACAGCCTGGGTTATATGACTACAAAGAACCCGATGTCAAAGTCACGGGCACTGGCATCTCCGCCGATTTCCATGGACCAAGCAGCGGCATAACGCAGCCTGAATATGATGCTATTGTGCAGGAGTTTCCAAACGCGGATCTCATTCCTGGCACAAATCAAACAATCGTTTGGCTCTGCCAGACCAAGCCTAACACGACAGTTGGTAGGTGACCCATCACCTCAAAATGTATATTGAATTATACTAACGATGTCCCAGATACCTGGCAGCAAGCATGGGGAGAGCACTACGTGGAGAATTATCCCCCCAAGGGTGTCTCTACTTGGGACCAGTTGATCCATTGATAGGAAAGAGATAGGGAATCGTGAAGTCCAAGCAGTCGTACTCCTCCTTCAGGGCAAGCAGTTAAATGGCATGAGGGTACTTATTGTGAAAAGTTCCGGGGATAATGTCCTAGAGATGGTAGCATTATCGTGGATTCGGACATGTTCTACAAAGCGATATATCCCAGTATTTCTTTCATTTCACTGCTTGGACGCGATATCGTCCGGGACATGTCCAATTTCTTGATATTTAGTCGTCGCACAAGCCACGTTTTCCCTCTATAGCCTCTTCCAAGGGTGGTGGTTGACTCCGGAGCGAACGCGCGAATTTCTTACAGCTCATAAATTGGGATGTTGGTCCAGACCACAACTTCAATACTGAAAATAAAAACTCTTCCTTGCATCATATTGAATTGTTTCAAAGGGCCTGCAACATATCCTTATATATGTAAGACGAGCCTCCAAGCTCAAAACTTCATTACAGTCATCATATTCGTGCTTGTGTTCGTATGCCCAGTATCGAAGTGAGGTTCTTTGTCTTTCATCTTCGCTTAAAATGTACCAACTTGAGTGATATAATTGGAGCGAAAGACTCCTCATCCCAAGGGAAGGATTGAGAGTACGGCTCCAGGTTGGTCGGTGACAGCCCCCAGTACATACAGTACGCCCAACCATGAAGAGGATGCACTCAGATGTTTTCATTCCTCCAGAAGGTAGCAATCTATCAGCCCTGGCCGTTTCACACCTGGTCCATATTAGGATCACTTGCATGCATTTTGAAACGTTCTGAGGACTGGGCACTGCAATTCCTAGACCGTGCCTCTACTGATGCTCCGGAAAAGGCTAGTTGGGTCTGACAGCATCATCATGCATCCTGTGATTCCATCGACGGGCGCATCGATGATGAAATGCAACATTGGAAGTTGCACTTCGGGAGGAGGATTATCAAGGAAAAGTGCTAGACCTCATCCGCCGCTCACGTCAAGAGCCATTATCGCCGATAGTCCGGCCACAGCATGAGGGCTGCATATAAAGTGCAGGCATGTGACGACATTTTGTGCTCATGACGGACAGTCTTATCCAACATGTTTTCAACTCTCTATCCTGCACATTGCCAAGTTTCCCCGCATGGGTGGGTGAGGTCACAGTCACACACCATCGTCGATCTGGCGGGAGAGTGGTTTAATGAGACAAAGTCACTCAACCAACGCCCTAGAAGAAATGAGGATTCCAATTCAAAAGTGCCAACCATCCTTAATCAGGGGGTAGTAAGCGAGAGCTGAATCTTAGGTCAAATTTCAGCGAACTATTTATCTATTTTTGCCCCGAGAGTCCAAGACACCATCCGACTCTTACAATCTCACAAATGTGTGATGGGCTCCACGTGGGTCAATAGTAATGTAAACAAGAGGGGTACCAAAGCGCCATAGTTCCGTTGGTCATCAGCCGCACCCATAAGGAGACGCACAGCTGTGCGGTACTACATTGGTCGGTTCAAAAATGAGATCGTCCCCTCAGGCAATGCCCCCTTCACTGCCCCCTCCCTACCACTAACTCAATTGCTTCCAGCTTCAAATGGTTTTCTGCATTCAAAATGAGTCTATTCAATACAAAAACAAGCCAGCTCGAGAGCTTCCAAGGCGACGAGACGCCGCCCTTTGTGGTGTTGTCACATAATTATAACCCGCAGGGCAGTCTTCACAGCCAAGAGCATAAATGGCTGCCGATATGCTCCTGGTTTCTCCAATTGGCTAAGATAATCGCTGATCTGGGGATTCACTATATATGGGTAGCATCGGTGTGTGTTGACTCGTCCTCGTCAGCAGCCCTAGAAGAGGCGGTCAATAGCTCCTCCCGAAGATTGAGAAGATGTGCCTTTTGTATTGTTTTTCTTCAGGATCTTCCAATTGACGGACCAGAGTTTGACACAAGCTCTTGGAAAAAATCTTCTTACTGGACCAAGGCCTCGGCGCTACCTGAATTCATTCTTCCCCTGGACGTCAGGTTCTATGACCAGCAGCTCAATTATCGTGGATCCAAGTCCTCGCCGGAACTTCTACATCTAATATCTAGTGCTTCAAGGGTTCCTCCGCAGGTCCTGAGGGACTCTTCAATTCTCTATGATACTGCACTGGGTCTCCGTATTTCATGGGCAGCTAACAAATTTGCGGCACGAGAAGAGGATGTAATATACGCTCTCATACCCATCCTCGGGATCACACTCCAGATCCGACAGGGTGAAGGTGCTCAGAATGCCTTTATCCGGCTCCAGGAAGAAATCTTTCGGAACACTACTGACGGGTCGATATTGGCCTGGCTTGCCAAACCCACCTCTCAGAAGATCCGCGGCCTCTATGCGCACTCTCCGAGCGAGTTTCTCAATTTCATCATTGCTTCCGGGAATAATACCGACCCCCCCAGATGGGTGGCACCGTTTCGATGGCCCGGACAAGTCTCATTCAGCAACAAGGGAGCCCATATTCAGGCTCCATCTCTCAAGGGTGAGAGGTTCTCTCTTATCGGCATCTGCAGTTCTCCTGGAAAACCAAACCCAGCCATTCGTCTTCGAGAATGGAATGGATTATACGTTCGAGTCATGGCCAATGAACATTTTGTCATGGGCCATAATCTCACTCAGCAAAGCTTCGTGGTTTCCCGAGACATTGGGCCACAGCTTTCTGCCAGAATTGCTAGTCAATTCGCCTACCAGGACGTTCACGGAACCGCCACCGGCAACTTGCCTTCTCCCCTACTAGAGCACCAGCTCTGTCCGCAGCCGCCTCACCTTCCCCTGAGGCCAAGGGCCAACCCGCTGGATGACGCTTCAGGGCCTCGGACATACTATCAGGGTCTCCCCCAGCCTGGGATGAAGAGACCAAGGCCCGAAAGATCAGACAGCACCAGTGATTCGTATGAGTCCGACAGCTCAGACGAAGACACAAGTGACAGTTATGAATCGGAATCTGATAGCGACGCTCACTCTGAGGTCTACTCCGAAGACGGCGACGAAAGAGTCCCAGCTCCCTACCGGCTCAGTCCAGAACATAAGTTCCAAGCCGAGCGCCCAGGTTTGCTTGATGAGTGCCACGCCAAGTTCATGGACTGGAAAGCCCTGGCACGCTACGTCAAACCTGCACAAGATAGACTCCCTCCCCGCAAGCGTGCAAGGCCCATGGACTCAGATATTGAAGACGGTCTCGACCAAGAAGACCCCGATCTTGTCATTCTCAGTCGGCACAACAAAGGCTTCTTCCATCTTTCATGTCCCTACTTTGAGCACAACCGCGAGAAATATCGTAGCTGCGTCATGAACCATGATCTCCAGTCTATTGGCGCCGTCATCAACCATCTGAAGGAGCATCATACCCAGCCGCCGTACTGCCCAATCTGCCGCCGCCCCTTTGAACGGTGCATGGAGCGGGACATCCACGTCCGCGCCCGCACATGCCGCCTAGGCGAGTTCGGCCCCGTCGACGGCGTCAACGAGCGCCAGAAGCGGCTCCTCAAGAAGCGCGACAAGCTCTCCCTGGGTGAGAGCGAGCGCTGGCGCCGGATTTGGGAGACCGTCTTCCCGGGCGAGTCGCCCCCGCGCTCCGCGTACCTCAAGAGGGGTCTCGGCAAGGTCATGTCGCTGGTCCAGGACTGCTGGGAGCAGCACGGGGCGAACTGGGTAGAAGAGTACTTAGAGAAGAATAATAAGCTGTCTAATAATCGAACGGACGAGGAGGAGATGGCGGTGGATGCGTTGAGCGCTCTGACTTTGCAGGATCTGAAGGAGAGGCTGGCCAATAGTAAGGCGCTGTCTGATGCGTGAAATCGGTATACTGTATCATCTGTAGGGCTGGCTGGGGCGGCGGGCTCGGTTGTCTTCATCGAGCTCAGGGGCTTTATCTGCACTTAATACGTTCACTGAGAAGCACATCGTCCAACAAGTTGAGGCCAGAGGCGTGTATTCTCTGTGCTAACTTCTCAATGTACCTAAAACTCCAAAAACTGAAATTACATTATCCAGCCCTTAAAACACAACCGCTCAAATACCATCGTGACATCGTAAGAAAACCATACAAATCCAGGTCTACTGGGAAGACCTTTGCCATGTCGTGAGTCCAGACTCTACGTCATAAACCACCGCCCAAACCCATCTCGCGATCAGTAGTATTTATGAAGACAGACACATGGCATCCCTGCGCCACAAAAACAAGCATTTCCAGGAATCATTCCACCGTTATCTTGCCAGGATCCAAAAGGTGACTCTCCATGGTCGGCGGGGGGCCTCATCTCCATCCTCTGCATCAAACTTTCGCCCACCTCAGATCCCGTTCCAGCATCAAACCTCTCTGGGAAGAATGTGCCTTGGTTCGAGACTGGTGAAGTTGCAAAATTCATATCCTCGAGCCCCAGTGAGTTAAGATAGTACCGCTCATTGACATCATAGCTTCCAGCTTGTGAGTATTCATAGGCGCAATCCTCTGCAGGCTCCGCTGGAGCATCGACGGTAAGTTGCGGGACGTCGTGAAAGTATGGCAGATTGCTTGGGCCGGCGTCATGTTCATGCTCGGTCTGGTCTTGGGCGCGATACTCCAAGTAATGGAGCGGTGTCGCCATATTTCCCAAAGTATGGGCCGAGTGGCGCGTAGCAGCATACGATCTTTCGTTTGGGATCCTATCCTGGACACTGACTTCCTCAGACCCTGCCAATGTCCTTGGCCCCTGGGGCTCATTTTGAGGCGCAGTCGACACCAAGGAGAAGATCCAGCCTGCAACCAAGGCCGCCTGAGAAGAACTCATGGAGATGGAGAGGGTCTCTTGAATAACTTGCGGCAGCTCCCTCTCGAGTGCCAGCTGAACGTCGCGGTAAATCACAGTCGCAGGCTCGCCAATACCCTCCATCACATAAGGTGAGTCGGGAGGCTGGTGGCCGGGGAACAGAGTGTCCCACATCCAGTACCATTTATCCAGTTCCTTGAGACCGCGAGGCATTGTCTTGAGAAGCGCAGCCTCCCTTGGGTCCAGCTCATCTGGCCTTGTCCTTGTGCTGCAACGCCTCGATGGCCGGTGGTGAGCTTCCCACGATTGCTCGTCCCCCCATTCCTGCCAGCAATTCTGGCAGTAATACTGCAGCAGGGCGTGGCATCTGAGCATGTGAAGCTTCACGTCTCCCGGGCGGCGGAGCTCGTATTTACCGTGACATCGGTAGTACTTATACGGCTTCCACTTATAGAAAGGGCACGCCCAGTAGCGGTCGCCGCCCGGGCTTGCGGTAGGATCATCGCCCGGGCCCTCGCTGTCATCACCTTCATCCTCGTCGTCTTGGCGGTCCCCTCCACCATTAACTCTTGATGATCCAGCGCCGCCCGAGGGTTTTCGGGATCTTCTTCGCAAAGAGTTTGGTCGCTTTCTTGGTGATGGACAGGGTGGAGGTGCATCTGCTCGTCGCTTGCCTTTCTTGTCGAGCGTAGCAATTGGGATCGGGTCAGTTGCAGGAAACCCCATGCTCTCAGGTGATGTAGGGTCGAGCGATGGCCGCCGTGGCATTTTGCTGCGAATTGTGACTTGGTTGTAACAAGTATCGTGTCTCTTTTGGTTCGATATGAATGAAGCCTGGTTGGTGTCTATTGAACCAGTTAGCAAGGCTCCAGCTGCCTTTCACAGCATCCATAGCGCCAATCAGCGAGGGGAATACTAGACTTACCTTGTCTGTTACTGCGCGTCTCACTCGCAGCTGGCGAGCGTGAAGCATCCATGGCGTGGAAGTCCCTCCCACACCACATGCTCTCACAAACCTGGGGACTCCTCTTCTCCAAATGGTTTGTCCAAGCCGTCTCCGAGACTCGAACAGGTAGTATTTCGTTTCTCTTTACAGATGTAAGCGTGATATCTAACGAGTCAATACCTATCTGCCTAATTGCTAACTGATTGGACTTGGTTTTTCTGGAGAGGCGTTCTGTTTATTGAGCCAGTGCGCTCCAAATACATGCAAGAGCGATAGCTTTCCAAGCACTAAAATAAGAGACAAATGGATGACTTGAGCGCTTCTGTTGATTTCAATAGATGTGTTGATAAGAAGGGTATCGGCTCTCTGGGAGGAGAGTGTCTGCATATGTATGGGGTTGGAGACGGTCATCCGTGTGTAGATGATGATGCTAGTATGTGTTGTTTTGCTGATACAGACATGCAGTGATAATGTGACCCTATCTCGTGACTACCTAGCTGTCGATTTCATCAAGCCAACCCGGGCTGATTGGTTTTGCACAAGTGTGTCGTCAGGCATCCAGTCCTATCTACAAGGCGTGCAGGTGCCCGAAAAATGCACAAGACAACACATCCAGTCGCCGATTGATTCCCAGGTCTGGTTTTTCGATTACGTCGGTCTAACGGCTTTAAGGCAATAAAGGGCACACACTATTCAGACAAGGGAGATGTTTTCAGCTCATTGAGCGCGATGATAGGAGCGGAAGCCATCCATGTTCTTCTATCACATGTCAATTTTCATGAAAAGTAGCGGGGAAAGTTGTTTTCTTTTGCTATCCGATCGATAATTGTGAGTCAATGCTCTACTACCACTGCCATGGCCGCCTTACTTTTATTCCCTCGCGGCTATTGGCAAAGAAAGTGCCCTGCTTGAGGTCATAGAAAAGGGGGCCCCTGAAGTTGGCTGCCGACTGGACCACGAACAATGAGGCGACAAGACAATTCCCAGTGAGAATCTCGATCACTGTTTTTTTGGTGTCTCTATGTCTCGTGGCACCAGCTCGTCCAATATTTACAACTAGTTGCTGCTTTTTGCTTTTTCTTCTGAGACAGCTGACTGCGCCGCTCGAGTGCTGAAAGTAGGGGAATTTCCCACCAGGTAGATCTACCCTATAGTTGGCGACCGAAGTAGCCTCGTGATCAATCTGCCCCCTTTCTACGTAAGTTTTTGAGTCTTTTGACATATTTTAGGTCGGAGAAGTCAAGGTAGATGCTTTTCCATTGGGCATGACAAGACTATCACAAGTGGCCGTTGGACGAATGGATAATTCCTTAACGGGAGGCTATCCGATTGGCATCAGCAATATGTGAGGCTACAGTTCATCTGCTCACTACGGACATTGGTTGGTTGAATCTTGGGCGCGCAGCCAGACAACACGGGCGAGGACAAGTCAGGGTATCATCGGCCCCCTAACCGACAAAGTGAGCAATTCATCCATCCCCCGACCGCCCATCTTCTTTGGCAGAGTGCGCATGAGGCTTCTTGGGATGGCGAGTGATTACATCACCTGACCAGGGCCTCTACGATCTCGCCCGCCTCACTGGAATAGTGGGCAGGGAAGCCAGTCCTTGGTAGTTCTGGCCCTACAATGGTTCGGGGAATGGAATGTCCTAACCTGAAACACGGAAGCGACGCGTCCTTGGATATGAGCGAGCAGGACCGGCAGCAGCACACTGGCCGGACTTCTGTCGCCCGGCTTGGGCACCATTGGACAGTGGAAAGCATCAAGAGCAACAGTGAAGCGCGAAACTGTGCTTACAGTCCCTGATTCAAAGATCCCTCTGCGTCCGGAGTGTGCTTTGGATGATTCCGTCACAACACGCGGCTTCAGGTTATTTTTAGCAGCGCTCCAGCCGGCCATAAACTGGGTCCTTTTAGTGGACGCTCTCGCTGGACGCAGCCCTGTGGTGCATCACTACAGGCCTCAACTCGCTAATCCACCTCCCTGAAAGCGCTGTTGCTGCGTAATTCGACATCAATCAACACGTCAAATTCATCACAAGATATGCATGGATTCGATGCAACGGTATTCCCGGCAAGAATATCTTCATTAGCTCTTTTACTACTAGTCATACTAATCGTGCCATATTAGTCACGCCCCTGCGCGACGGGACAGCACTTTGGCCACGCTCCTCCAGCCCAGACCCCAGACCAGCTGCTTATCCCGCGCTGTGACGGCCTCGATCAGCACGAGAGGGCAGAGAGGCGAAAGCGATAAAACTACAGCCATGGCCACGACCTACCCCATTTCTTCTGTTCTGTTTCCTTCTTCCGACCCAAGCCCACTGTGTGGAGTTTGACATTGCTCTTTTCTTCAATTCGATTCTTTTTCCTTTGTATTATTTTCTATTACATTTTCGACATCATGCTGGTCATGAACTTCCCCCTAATCCTGGCTGCCCTCGGGCTCGCCACCTCCGTCGTCGCCTCTCCCATCGGCATGAGAGACGCAAACACGGCTGTCGTTCGAGACGCGCAGCCCGTCATTGCCAGGGCCGTCCAGCCTGGAGCTGTCCCCAGGCTGGCCAGAAGGACCGGCGACGACAAGCCAGAGGTCCACTGCCACAAGCACCAGCATCTCTCCAAGCACGGCCTCTGCGCCAACGACCGCATCAGGCGCAACTGATCCGACACCCGCGAGGATGAAGAACGATGCGAAAATTCGGTCCTGGTAGTGGACGGCAACTCATGAATTCGCGTCGCCGGCCAGACGCGACGTCTTGCTGTCTGGCCGGCGGTTGGAAGAACAAACTACGCACAACAAGTCGGCTACATTCATCGCTGGGAATCGCTATACCACGTTGGACAACATCGATCGAGTCGGCACAGAGTCCCTCTACGGACAGTATCCAGTGCCCATGTCCAATTACCTGGAAGGCGACGCAGCACCTCGTTGCTGCCAGCTTCGATGCAACAATCCAGCGTAGCAGTGTCATCATCGGCACGGCCAATAGTCGCAGGGTTTGAGGCCCTGAATAAGTCTGAAGACCGATTGCAATATCGCTCGATTCCCAGCAGCAGCGGTTGAGACTTCAAATGATGACCTCATGCGACGTGTCGCGAGACTCCAGCGCTCGCCGGCTGATCCCGGACATTCAGTCATATCCGTGCCAGCTTTACCTACCATAACCTGGGGTTGCCTAGATACTGCTGTCGCACGCGCTGGTCGCGAAACGAAATACCCATAGCGTATCTGGGCTCCCTGAGACGGGAGACTTGGATTTGGCGTGTACCACAGCAGTGAGTTGGATTCACCGGTTTCACTGTGGGAATTAATTACGAGGTGGTAGTAGGGGTTAATGGGGTCGAGCTCCGCTAGAAAAGACAATTAATAACGCTATACTCTCAATGCTTTGTCCCTATGAAAAGTGAAGTGAAGTCAAGATCGTCAGTACTGAACATCCAGTCACCAGCTAACTTGACCGTTTGTCACACGAGTCATCATTTCCGTGTGAGTGAGAAGTGGCTGTTGGCAAGGGGATGAGCCTCCACAACTGTCTGTTATGACTCGCCAATTCAACTCCGAGTCCGCACAAGTTTCGCTCCACAAGACCCTGAATTTTTCCAGCCAAATCCGAGATCGCTTCATCCACTCCACACAAGTTCACTGTGACTTTGAGCAACTTCAAGCCGAAATACTAACTAGTACCTGTCCTTGGCGTATCCTTGGGTCTATAAAGACTTTCTTGTGGTTCGCATAACCTCCTCTGAAACTCTCTGCATCCCGAGTTCTCTCAATTGCGACTTCTCACCATGGCCTCAGCTCCCGTTGGGATTTTCTCATCCCTGCCCGAGGTGGAAAAGGATGAGGTGTTTGACCTGCTGGGTCAATTCCGAGTAGACGTGCATCCTCAGCGAGTCAACCTTGGGGCCGGCGTCTACTTCTCGGACGAGGGCAAATCATGGCCCCTGGAGGTGGTGGGAAAGGTTGAGAAGGCTCTGCACGAGCAGCAGGCCATCACCCGCCACGACTATATCCCCATCGAGGGCGACGACCAGTTCCTCAATGCCGCCCGCGATCTACTCTTCTCCTCCACCTTCCCCAACCCATCGGGAAGACAGACCTCCGACCCTCGCGTGGTCAGTGTGCAGACCGTCTCGGGAACCGGTGCCAACCACGTCGCCGCCAGATTCCTCGCCAACCACGTCCGTCCTCGCTGCGTCTGGGTGTCCGACCCAACCTGGGCGAACCACCATGTCATCTGGGAGTCCACCGGTATCACTCCTCGCACATATCCTTACTACAACAATGAGGATTGCACCCTCAACTTCACAGCCATGATCGACGTGCTGGAGAAGGAGTCCCAGCCAGGCGACGCCATCCTGCTGCACGCCTGCGCCCACAACCCAACCGGCCTGGATCCCACCCAGGAGCAATGGGTCGCCATTGCCGAGCTCTGCTCCCGGAAACAGCTCTTCCCCGTCCTCGACAACGCCTACCAGGGCTTCGCATCGGGAGACCCAGTTCAGGACTCGTGGGCCATCCGCCACTTCTACAACCACCAGCCACCCATGGAGATGTGTGTCGCCCAATCCTTCTCAAAGAGTTTCGGCCTCTACGGACAGAGAGCAGGAGCTTTCCACCTGATTATCAACGACACGTCGGAAAGCACAAGGGGAAAGGCCCTCGGAAACCTCGCGCAGCTTATCCGTAGCGAATACTCGGTCGCTCCCAGGTACGGATCGACCATTGTCAAGACCATCCTAGAGAGCGAGAGTCTTTCTAGAGAGTGGCTGGCCGAATTGCAGTTGATGAGCAGCCGCATCCGATCTATGAGGCAGGCTCTGTATGATGAGCTGACCCGTCTTGGTACACCTGGTTCGTGGAAGCACATCACTGAGCAGGTACGTCGAGCAAGCGCCTATTTTCTCTAAACTATGAGTACTAACAGATGCCAGATTGGGATGTTTTCCTACACCGGCCTGAGTGCCGCCGAGGTCGAGGCCCTCCGCAAAGAATACCACATCTACCTACTTTCTTCCGGACGAGCTTCGATTGCTGGCTGTAAGTGTATGCGCTTGACACCACCGACGAACCATTGCTAACCTTAGGTTTACTAGTGAATTCAAAAAATGTCGAATACGTCGCCGCCGCCATCAGCGCGGTGCGAAACAGGTCACTCCTCTGAGTACCTGGAGGTTTTCACGCAAAACTAAACGCATCCATGAAGGAAAATGGCCGAGGTTTGATGAACCCATTGCATCTTATAGATTAAGGAGTTTTGTTTCTATTGCCTCTTTCGTTAGAGGACTTTGAGGTATACAGGTGTTTGTCTTTCCATAGACCTGGCTAGAAATTAGAACTGCGGCTTGTTTTCTCTTGCGATCTGGAATCTGCATTCCGTAGTATGTGAAGCACGGGTAATCCGGACTGTAGTAAGGCTCTCTGGTCCGGAGTAATCAATGCATCCAATACCAAGCTAGAGGTAGATTTGGGCCCATCTAAGCCATCATACACATCACAGTCGAATTATCACTATGCCCCCTATGTACCTACCCTGTAGCACACAGCATTCAATTACACTTGCTGGACGTTGAAGCTATCACCTGACCTCCCCCCCCCCCACCTTTTAAGATACACCCGGACCACCTCCGGCTTTCACCCAGGGGTTCTCCTCGATCCAATGATCTGCAGACATTGAAACTCATTGGTTCCGCGGCATAAGCTTCACCACAAACTGGCTCGGCGACGCAATCATCTTGCAAGAATCCGATCACCTGCGACTACTATGTCTGTTGATGAGAGTCTCGGCAACACGAATGAAGTTTTCTCCCAAGACAGGACTCGAAAGCGTCGGATCGAAAACCGTGCCGAGTCAAGCTATCCACGGAAGCGAGCTTCTCAGGCTTGCTTCGTGTGCCGTGCTCGGTGCGTCCCTAGCTTTAGCTTCACTGGCCGACCGTGCTGACTGTCGTCTCCAGCAAGTCACGATGTGACAATGAGCGGCCCAAATGTGGCTTCTGTAGGGAGAGCGGTAACGAGTGCGGCTATCCCGGCACGGAATTGGCAAAGTGTGTACACCCTGAGTGCACTGTCTCTGTGATGCGGACTCTGATATGCTCTGTAGAATTGACACGGCCTCCTTGCTGATTCTCGACCATATTGCGCGATCCGAATCGAGGCTCTCGGCGCAGATAGCAAGTCTTCAAGGCGGTACACCTGCCACCATGTCGGACAAGTCTCTCGCGGAAGCGCCTGCTAGTGTTTTATCACCACGTTCTAAGGAGTGTTCCCAGTTTACCCATCCGCGCTATGGGCATAGCGGCATCAATGGCGATAGCATCATGACCTGGCCCGTCATTCTTGATGTGTTGCAGGCCCTGCCCGAAGTGGGGAAATGGAGGGCAGAGCCATCTAACAACAGACGAGACTGCAAACCACGGCATGAGCCGAGCCCTAGCATCATGTTGGAGATCAAATCGACAATCTCGACCGACTTCAACAGCTACGGCCATGAGCGGCAACACCAGACGGGCGTGACGTCTATTTGCCACACAGACAGTCTGGATCCAGAGCGGGAGTCGATGCTGATCGAGAGCTACTTCGCCCAAGTCCACAGCAAATCACCCATCTTTGATTCCGGCTGGTTCAACAGCGTCCGCAGCCAGATCTTACAGCAGGGATGGCAACCTTGCCACTACGCCGGCCCAAGCTCCAGCTGCGGACTGTGTCCAACGAGAATATGTATCTATCTCCTCGTCTTGGGTCTCGGTCACGTAACAGTCAGCGAGGAGAACCTTGTCCCCGGCAAGCCATTGACACCGTCTCGCTATTTCGATTTTGCTCTGTCTTGGATGGGGCCGACTTTGTATCACCAGACCGGTCCCTTGTGCCCCCGAGAGATTGATGGCGGCGACGGGGAAGATATGCGGGAGTGGATAGAGAAGATCCAGTGCTTGCTTCTCGCGGGCACACATTTCATGTGGTATATGCGTCCATGGGACGCCCGAAAAGTCTTCAGCGAAGCAGCAATGCTTGCTAAAACGATCATGCATCTGTAAGCAGCCATTCCTGCTTCCTTTCCCGTCTCATCCCCCTAGAACCTGACCTCCGTTGTCACCATAGATAGTTCTTCCCCGCCTGATGCAGCAGCTTACTTGATACTTCTAGCGAACATTGGTCAGATACGCCGGGATCACACATCACCGACCTCCGCTTCCGCGTATGCTGTGCAACAGCTAAAGCAGAAAGCGAGATTCATGAGGAGATAATGGGATTCGGGCCCGGTGGCATGTCAATACTCAGTTTCGCAGATCTAGAGAACCTACCCAAACCCCCACCAGATACCGCATTGAACGGACAAGGCAACGACTCTGTCAAGTCCCAGACTTGGTTCTATTACCTCGCAGAAGTGGCCAGCTGGAAGCTCCTTGACCGTGTTTCCAAGGCGCTCTATCAAGGTAGGTACTGGTTCTTTTCATCATAATAGGTGTCAGCTTATGACTGACCTACAGATATCCCACCATCCCCATCGTTGGCAGACTTCATTGGCCTCTACCCCATAGCCAGGGAGCTTGAAGTCCAAATCCAAGAATGGTATGTTCCTTGGCCTCTTGAACCTTCTGGCTACAAACGCTGATCACCTTCAGGGCGTCGTCCTTACCAATGCACATCTTTACCAACCCCTCAATGTTCCCCAATGACATCCTCAACACGGAACTGTCTCATCATCTTGCAAACCGGCATTTCCACGCCCGAATCACCACGTTCCGACCGTTCCTTCAGGCTATTGTTCTCCATAGCCCGGCGACAGTAGGCAGCAAGGACGCCTATGCGATGGTGTCAAATGGCGCTCTAAAGTGTGTGTTCGCGTGCATAGAGTTCATCGAGGCACAAGCATCCCCAAGGAGGCACTTTGGCAGCTGGCGATGCGGCAGGGGCATCTGGGCGGCCGGTCTGAGCGTCCTCGCCGCTGTTCTAGTCCCTGACCTCAAGTCCGCTATGGAGTGCTCGTATCCGCTTTCTGGATTGAAGGATCCTGTAGGGGGTGAGATGGCAGCGGGACAGTTGCTGGGCAGGGCGGAAGCAGCACTAGGGATGGCTGCTGGCTGGCTTTCGGCATGGGAAGAAGAGAGTCCCAGCCTGGGACTGGCGGCCGTCACTCTCTGGACAGGGCTTAAAGAGGCTCGGGAAAGAGGATTATTCAACCATAATATCGAGTCGTAGTAAATCAAGCGTGTGATTATTTAGTTTTATAGTGGGCAACATATAAGAGCTGACATAGAAATACGCATGTGTTGCACACCAGGAAAACAAAGCTTTACTCGTCCACCAACAGGTCTACTTTCCCAAAGTGTTCATGTCAGTTAACGTTTATAATGTATTTCTACTTGTCTATCATCTATCCTTCTAGGTCGACCAGTGGAACGTCTTATCCACCGTAATTGCAACACGCTCACCAGTCTCGAGCCAGTCACCGACACCTGTGCTGCCGGCGAAGAGCACCGTGTACTCGCCAGCCTCCACTTTCCAGCTATGAGTTTCAACATCCCAGAAACTGAATGATTCTTTCGACAGTTGGAGCTGTACCGTCTGCTCCTCACCCGAGGCAAGCCGCCGTGTCTTTGCGAATGCCCTCAGCTCTACGACCGGTCGCTCGACTGAGCCTTGTGGGGGTTGGACATATAGCTGTACCACCTCGGCTGCTTCGACGGCGCCCGTATTCTTAACAGGAACCGATACAGCGACACTGATAGCATCGCCGTCGTGGATCAGCTCCTGCTTAATGGCTCCATAAGAGAAGTCCGAGTACGAAAGCCCGTGTCCGAAAGCAAACAGCGGATTGTACCAATCCCGGCTGCCACCGAAAGCACGGTAACCCACAGCCCAGCTCTCCTGGTAAACAATGCGCTTCTGGACACCTTTCTCTCCCTCCGTCTTGCCAGTGAGATCCCCAGTGCACGTGCCCTCCATGGAGCGAGGGATGGTGGTGGGCAGCCTCGCGCTCGGGGATACACGGCCAGTGAGCACGTCTGAGATGGCGCTGCCGTACTCTTGGCCGGGGAACCAAGCCTGGATCACGGCGTCAACCTCATCGATCCAAGGTGTGCAGTCAACCGCGGACCCCGCGTTGATAATAACGATGGTTGGGCCGGGCGAGGCTTTCGTAACCGCACGGATGAGGTCGTTCTGCCGTAACGGGAGGGAGAAGGAGACACGGTCGAATCCTTCAGACTCCCATTGGGTCGAAGTGCCGACAAAGACAACAGTCGCGGCGGCACCGGAAGCAGACACCTTGGCCGCTGCATCAGTAATGTCCTTGTCGTCGTCGGGGATGAGGGCGAGGCCAACGCGGCTTCCCTGCACATAGAACTCTCGGTTGATGTGGACGGGAGAGTGCTTGGCGCTCTGGGTTACAATGGTGAGCGTATATTGCTTGGAGGATTCGAGATGGATGGGAGTGTCGATGCGTTGCTCGAGGCGAGCGCGGTTGAAAATGTAATCCTCGGTGACAACCTCGGCACCTCGAGCCACAGTTCCCACGAGCTTGCCATCGATGTAGCACGTTTGTGAGCCAGGGCTGGTCAGGCTAAGGCGGTACGCTGCTGTCACAGGCGGCTGGATCACCACCGTCATGCGCGTGCAAAAGCTCTGCAAGTCAGCCAGTCCAGCGTGGATGTCCTCCATCATCATGTATTCAGACTTGGGGACGACTTCGTCGCGGAAGAGTTGCTTCTCGTCCGGTTCACTGCTGTTGAACCACTCCAGCCGCACATCAGACTCTGGCACCTTGATCTGACAAGCAAGATCTACCAGTCTCTGGACGGCTACGCCTTCCGAGTACACCAGCGAAGGGTACGTTTGGCGCAGTGCCTCGAGCGGTGTCGAGATGTGCGCGGGCTTCAGGCTTGCTGAGCCCCCGCCAAAGATGGATGGCTCGGCCGCTGGTTTGCCGACGACGGCGATACTATTCCCAGCGCTCACTGATAGCGGCAGTACATTGTTCTTGTTCTTCAGCAGCACCATGCCGTCTGCTGCGGCGCGACGCAGCAGGGCACTTGTCTCGGCGTTGGGTACGGATGAGAGCTCAGGGAGGGTTCCGCGAGCATCTTCAGTGTCAGACAGACCGATACGGTTGGTCTTCTGAAGTAGGTTAACTACACGTTGTAGGATCGTGGTTAGGTGTGCAGGGTCAACTTGGCCCCTTTCGATAGCCTCCGTCATCTTCTCTTGCGTGCGGAACTTGGCCTCGCCAGGTAGTTCGAGATCGAGGCCCGCGTTGATGGCCTCATTAGTGCTGTAGGTACCGAACCAATCCGAGATGATGACGCCATCGTACTTCCATTCGTCGCGCACGATTCGTAGTAGTGTTGGTGACTCGGAACAGTATTCACCGTTGACGGCGTTGTATCTAACCTCCAGTTAATAAAGAACTGGAGCATGGAGGGTGCTTGCGTGTTGTGTGAAGGGTTTACGTACGCGGTCATGAGACACAGCGGTGACGAGTGCTTGCAGAGAAGGCGGAACGGCTCGAGGTAGATTTCTCGTAGGGCACGTTCATCAATCACGCTGTCGCTCCAACGTCTGCCGTTCTCGACCTCGTTGCCGAGGAAATGCTTGGGGCTGGCGGCGATGTTCTGGCTCTGGACGCCATTGATATACTCTGCCGCGAGGAAGCCGGACAAATGGGGATCTTCGCTGTAAGACTCGAAGTTTCGGCCATCTAGTGAGAGATCGGATGTTAGCTTCTAATGGCATGAAAGTTGTCCAACATCTTGTGATTGCGCGACTCACTGAGGACATAGCGGTGGATGTTCACGGTCGGCGCCAGTAGGCCGTTTGCTCGCTTCCCACGGGCGTCAACTGCAATGGCAGATCCTACTTCTCGCAAAAGATTGCTATCAAAGGATGCTCCGAGGGCCGTGGCGCACGGGAAGCACACGGCGGCTTTGCCCTCTGTCCAGTTCTCTCCTCGGGCGCCATTAGGCCCATCTGTGAACTTGAGGGCGCCGAGCTGCAGCTCTGGAAAGTCTCTGGTTCTCCAAAAATCCTTGCCTGAGAGTAGACCAATTGCTTGATTGAGAGATAGCTCCTGGTCCCGGATGTTGCCTGGCGCGACTTCATACGAGATCTTGATGGACATGGCGACTCTGTGCTTGTTCTGATTTACGACAAAGAAGCTGAGAGGGAGAGAGAAAAAGGGACAAGGACGAGGGGGGCGGAGAGGCTTGAGGGGCGCCCTTGGATGGGAGAATAACAGCTGGAACTGTAGATTGCGCGATCACCAGATCATGCTTCTATGGAGGTCTTGGCCTGGCTTCCCCACGCGACGCGCCAGACTCCATTTGATTATTTCGACTGTACGCCTCCCCGGATGATGTGGAAAGACAAGAAACGCGAATGAAGAATGAGGCCGAAGTTCCTACATCGGAGCGTCTCCCCATCGTATTCAGGGACTATGCATGCCCTTGACTCGCAAAACCCCACAGCACATGTACCAGGTGAGTCGAAATCCTAGTTCCTGGCAATCTCGACGTAGTGGCTTATTTTGCTTCGGGGCATCACGGCAAAATTACCGATGCCCCTGACTCGCCAGTGCTCAGACTCTCACGAACCTCCACCCGTACCCCATCCATCCCCGGCAAGCCCCGGCCATCCCCAGAAAGTCTTTCACCCCACAATCCAGTTTTTCTTTGCCTTTGGTACGAGTTCATCAGCTGCACGGCACGTGGTCTAGATCGTTCCGGATGGTCGGGTTGGAGAGTTGCAATGTTCCCGGAAGTATAAGAGTCTCGGTCTTCCTCTCACTTCGGGTTCAACAGCTTCTTGCTCACGAAGCATTACTCGACTACCCTTTGTCTATTATTCCTTCAACTTTGTTTACGATCAATCTCAACGGCTTAGGGGTATCAACACTATGCAGGCAGTTGAAGACAAGGCCGTCTTGTCCGTAGACGGCGAGAAGCCGTTCTACAAGAACAAGAATCTGCTCCGGCTATACCTGCAAATGATTCCGGGCACGCTGATTGTCAGCGCTACCATGGGCTACGATGGTTCCATGATGAACGGCATCCAGGCTGTTGACCGCTGGAATATCTGTGAGTGGTCTATTCCGTTGGCCAAAAGCACAATTGAGTCATTGGCTGATTTAGCTTGAGTCTAGACTTCGGATATCCCACGGGATCTCTGCTGGGAATCATGAACGCTATTTTGCCCTTGGGAGCCGTCTTCGGTATTCCACTCGCCGCATATATCTCTGATCACTACGGTCGACGATGGGCTATGACTGCGGGTGATATCATCATGATCATCGGAGCCATCATCCAGACTAGTAGCATCAACAGTGAGTTGAGGCTCTTTTCCCTCGGACAAAGTTTGAACTTCCAGGCGGTGATATAGAGTACTGAGAAGCGGCCTATTACAGTTGCCATGTTCCTTGTTTCGCGATTCGTCATCGGCTTCGGTCTCACAATTGCCGGCTCCTCCGCTCCAATGTTAACGGCCGAGCTGGCGCATCCGACCTCTCGCACCACCATCACCTCGATGTACAACACACTGTGGTACGTGGGCAGCATCATCGCCGCCTGGGTGACCTATGGCACGTTCCGAATCAACAACGACTGGTCCTGGCGCATCCCGGCCCTTCTTCAGATGATCCCGTCCATTATCAACATCGCTGGCGTGTGGTTTCTGCCCGAGTCTCCGCGTTGGCTCATCGGCAACGAGCGCTACGACGAGGCCAAGCAAATCCTGATCGACACTCACGGCGAGGGCGACCCCGACTCAGAGCTTGTTAGACTCGAGTTCGAAGAGATCCGAGGCGCCATCCAGGCTGAGATGGCACTCGGTAAGCAATCTTGGGGCCAGCTTTTCAACAGCCCCGGCAACCGCTACCGTACATTCCTCGTCCTCTGCTGCGCTTACTTCCCGCAGTGGTCTGGATCCGGTCTGGTTTCTTACTACCTCGCCCCTGTTTTGCGCACAATAGGCATCACCTCGCAAGAACGCATCACCTTGATCAATGGCATCATCCAGATTTGGAACATGATTGTCTCCATGGTCGGTGCCAATCTGGTTAACCGTCTCGGCCGTCGTGTCATCTTTGTCAGCTCCACCAGCCTGATGCTACTCGCCATGATCTCATGGACCGTCTCCGGCAGCCAGTATACTATGTACGGGTCTGAAGCCGCTGGCAGCGCTGTGCTGTTCTCCCTCATTTTCTTCATGTCCGCCTACAACTTCTGCTGGAACCCCTTGTCCGTGGCCTACCCCGTCGAGATCCTGACCTTTCCCATCCGCGCCAAGGGTGTCTCTCTGCTGGTCGGAGCTGTCAAGAGCGCAAGCTTCTTTAACCAGTTTGTGAATCCAATCGGCCTTGAGAAACTGCAATGGAAGTTTTACATTGTTTATTGCTCCTGGCTGGGTCTTGTATTGGCCGTCGTCTTCTTCCTCTTCCCTGAGACCAAGGTAAGTTCTCCACCCATTGTATCTTGACTTCTTCAACACTCGGACGCTGACTGTGCCACAGGACCGTACTCTCGAGGAGATTGCCGTAATTTTCGATAAGAATTTTTACAAGACTGAAGATGTCGAGAAAACTGTGCTGGAGGACAAGTCCAGCGAGAAGAACGGCAACCTCACCGTCGAGACAAAGGAGAAGATCTAAATAACCGCTTAGCGCGGCTATCTCGACCGTAGGCCTACACGTTGATCAAAGTCACATTAGATAGCCATTTAGAAAAGGGGAATAATTACCTCCGTCATAATCACTGCTCCCAGAGACATGGGCCCTGTTGCAACGTCTGAGACTTTGAGTGACTGTTGACGGTTAAAACCTGACGCTGCAATACTGCGTACACAAAGAGGTGGCTATAATGGCCGGCCCAGGATACTTTGAATAACATGGACTCGTCACCAAAGCCGACGTTGTAAGCTTGGACCAGAACATGCTTCTAGGCGCTCACAACTCGCCCAGCCGGATAACGTAGGTGAGCCAATAACTGGAGAGAATGATGGCTCCATTCGATTCATGCTTCCCTTGCTAGCTTCAACTCTTTGGGTATTCGTAGTTGGGTGAAACGAACAGGGGTCGGGGTGTACCTAGTAGTCAGCAGTGCACTTGAGCAACTTTGCTTCTACACCGTCACATTCACCGGTCAGAACCGCCGCTGGTCGGACCCCAACTAACATCTGATTACTACTAGCGCCATGTGTCTGGGGAAGAGTACACATTGGGGCGCCGATATATGGGCTGACATGGCGTGAGAGACGGGTCCCGATACTCTCTCTGTGCCTGGGTTTGCAGATGCCTCCCTCATATCCCAAGACGCAGTGTGATCTCCTTGCAAAACCTACGACTGTCGGTCCTTTACATCTCTCTTATCCTTCAATCACAATGACACGCCCAACTACCGTCATCCATCCCCAAGGGCCCGTGCAAAGCACCGCTACTAGCGTATATGGGAAAGGAGATGTGCTGCTGCGAATTGGGTAGGCCGACATCATTTCGAAATTTTACAAGAAACACAGGACTAACATACCGGCTCATAGCAACGGTGGCGCCGGTTAGCACCCTCGATGCAGCGTTGCTGCGTAATATTAGGAACTCTCGATTGCTGACATCTCTTACATAGGTGCGACTGGTCTCGTGGAGGCTCTGGCTACCGACTATCTATCAACACTCTCGGAATCACGGTCGATAGCGTGGGTATGCAATCACTCGCTCAATACTCAGGTCGCCCTCTACAGAAGCCACATTGATTTGGCCTTTACTTACGAACGAGACCGGGAGCAGCTGGCGGCGTCCGAGGGTTGGTCTCGCACCGCGGGATGCGCATTCCACGACCACTTCTGCCTGGCAGGACCGAGGGACGATCCCGCAAACGCCCGTGGCGCTGCTACGGTGGCCGAGGCTCTTCGTCGGATTTCAGAATATGGTGGACTCTTCCACAGCAGGGCTGACGGATCGGCAACTATGGAGAAGGAGCGGCACCTTTGGTCGAGTTGCGGGTTGGAGCCATGGACTGACAAAGGGGCGACGAAGTGGTATCAAACCTCCCTCGAGACACCAGCAGGCGCCCTCAAGAATGCTGATCAAGCTGGTGCGTACCTCCTTACAGATCGCTCAACCCTTCTCAAGCAGACGGGACTAAAGACGATCTCCAATACGGTCGTGTTTCTGGAGCCGACCGGCCCTCATCACATATTGATGAACAGTTGCTACGCATTGCATTCGACACTCGCCCCCGAGGAGACAAAGAAAGCTGTGGCAGACTTCATTGAATATCTCTTCTCAGCCAGAGGCCAGGGTGTCATTGCCTCATACGGCGTGGAGAGCTGTGGTCTACCGCTGTTCGCCCCTGTAGCTGATGGGTTTGCCAGAGCAAGGCTGGCAGGAGGACGACCTGTGAAGGGTAAATGGGCATTTGGGGCGCGGCTCTAAGTCTGGATCTATATTGAAGGGTAGCTTCGAGTGAGCATTAACAAATGACGCTCTTGCCATCGAATTCACGAGTTTTACGTCTTAATTATGTCAGCCGATGATGCTCCCTACAATAGTCGTGATAATACAGGGACGGCATTTCTAAGAAAAGTAGCCAACCTCCGAGTGAATGATTTGTACCCGGCTTGACCTAGACACCCCGTGGCCGGCTCTAAGTGACAAGGGACATAGCCAGCTCAAGGACCTTTATTAGACACCGTGACCTCGAGAACCAATAGTTGCCAAATGGTGGCATGATCCTAAGCTAGTTTGCTCATCTTTCCCCGTCCATCTCTTCTTGGCTTATTATTAAAAAATACCCTGGTCTTATGCGCTTGTTTCTTGGCTATGATTGGTTCATGATCGCTCCCCGCATCGTTCAGACAAGTGTTGTCATCGGTCTATGTGCCGAAACCCCCCGAAACTTGATCCACTCTGACTGTGTGTTTGCCTCACGATCTTTTCTGTTACGCCCCCTGGCGTGAGCATATGAAAGCCCAACACGATCAGACTGATTTCTGGCCGATGTCGCGATGGACAAGGCGTTGAATGTTTGGATATCATGTAATTTAGCCATCTTCTTCCTTATGCTTGAGGCAAAAGAAGAATAACAAGTCCATCACCATGACGAGCGCCGACATCTTCCAACTCCGAGCCAAAGACAACAGCGTTGCAGGACGTTTGGCTCTCGTCACGGGAGCTAGGTAAGGCGACCACCCGCAATGCATGATCGCATTCTTTTACTGTTGTGCTAATGTGACTTTCTCTCAGCGGCGGTATTGGATCGCATTGTGCGCGAGCCCTGGCTGCCGAGGGCTGTGACGTTGCCCTTCATTATTCATCCAGTAAGGTGAGTAGTTTGGCCCTGAATGTCAATCTCTATAACTGAATAAGTCCATGTAATCTAATTCAAGCGGATTTCTTATAATACCAGGCCGCAGCGGATGCTCTCGCCAGCGAACTGCGTGCTCAATATCCTGGTCAGCTGTTCGTCCCTTGCCGGGCCGACCTGTCATCTCGTGAGGCTACACGAGACCTGGTCCCAAATCTGCTTCAAACGGACGTCGTTGCTGCAAAGCACAAGACCATCTCAATATTGGTAGCCAACGCTGGGTTAGGTCGCCGTATACGAGATGTAGCGGATATTGAAGAGAGCGACTGGGACGACATGTTTGAGGTCAACACACGAAGTCCCTTTGTCGTCGTCAAGTCCGCCGTCGCCGGCATGCGAGCGCAGAATTGGGGCAGGGTCGTACTTGTCGGTAGTCTTGCAAGCCAGGGCAAGGGGTTGAATGGCTGTCATTACGCAGCCTCTAAAGGAGCTCTGAGGTTCGTCTTGTCCGGAATGTCGTCAAGTCTCGAGTGTAACATACTGATACCAAAGCTTAGTTCTATGGGCCGCAATCTGGCCAATTTACTTGCGCCAGAAGGCATAACAGTTAATATAGTAGGATCCCCATCTCTACCTTTGTGTTTAGGTGGAATGTTGAAGTTAATTTTAGTACTCTAGGTCTCTCCAGCAATGATTACCTCGACGGGAATGATTCCGCTCCCGAAAGCCGAGTAAGTTTTCAACAAGGTATCCTGATAAGAATCCCATGGTGTATCTCTCAGCTAACTGGAGGCGTGAAGATCTTGGGATCGTACAGCTCAAAGCCTCGATAGTCTCCGCAACAACGACCCTGGCCTTGCCATTGCTTCCACCATCCCGGTAGCTCGCCTTGGCACGCCCGATGAAGTTGCCCAGGTGACAATCATGTAAGTTATTCGCCGTATCACGTCCAAAGTCGAGTCCAAGCTGAAGAATTTGCCAGGTTTGCCAAAACCGGATACTTGACAGGCCAAGATGTTCACCTAAACGGAGGGCTTCACTGAGTTAAATGGGTACATTAAGGCTTGCTAGTCACCCATTTTGGAGATTTGATGCTCACCTTATGTGTCAATGTAGCTGTGCTGCGGGCTTCAACCGCGGTTGAGGCCAGAAGATCTGGGGGTACTGCCGATGTCGGCCTACTCAATCAGCCGAACTTCCAGGGTGCCGTTTCGTAGAATAAAAGAGGACCAAGACTAATTCCGTGGGGCCCGTAGTTACTAGTGGACTTTTCAATAAATAAAGGCACCTGTCGCAAGGAGTTGTGAACCCCGGCTCAGCTACTTCACCAACACCTTCTTCGCCACTAGCCAGTCACGTATATCAGTATGGTGGAAAGAAAGCCATCTTTTCTGCAGATCCATAAGCTATTCTCCCAAGTGGTGGGAAACGAACCATCGATCCGCCTATGTTTGGAGGACGAGAGTGAGCCATGGGCCCATGAGGCCGGCGTCTACATCCCGTCAACGGGTGCCTTATTCGTCACCAGCAATCGCCTTGTTGGGATTGATGGACAACCAAAAGTCACTATCAGTAAATTAAACATTGAAAAGGAGCCATATGTGCGAGAAGAGATCGACTGCGGTATTGCCATGGCAAACGGAGGGGTAAACTACCAAGACGGCGTCCTCTTCTGTAGTCAAGGTACCAAGGACACCTCAAGCGGCCTATGGCACATGGAAACCGAAGCACCGTACCGAAAGACATTGGTTCTGGACAGCTTCAATGGGCGGCCATTTAATTCTCCCAATGATGTCGTTGTCCATAGTGACGGATCCATCTGGTTCACAGATCCCATCTATGGCTACGAGCAGGGCTTTCGACCACGTCCACAACTGCCAAACCAAGTCTACCGATATGACCCGCGATCCAAGGCCGTACGGGTGATGGCTGACGGGTTTGGACGGCCAAATGGCATATCATTCTCTCCCGACCAGGCGACCGTATACATCACGGACACGGACTTCATTCACGGTGACGGGTCTACAAACGCGTCGAGGCCGGCGACAATGTGAGAGACACAATGATGCTTCTTTCTCAGATCATTGACTACGCGCATTGCTAACGTGAATGCTTTCGCTTAGATACGCTTTCGATGTAGTTTTCAGAGGCGACCAGCCGTTCCTCACCAATCGCCGCCTTTTTGCCATGGCGGACAATGGGGTTCCTGACGGGATCAAATGCGATCAGTTTGGTAACGTCTACAGCGGCTGTGGCGACGGCATCCACGTGTGGTCGTCAGGGGGTGTACTTCTTGGCAAGATTCTCATTCCAGGAGGCGTTGCCAATTTCTGTTTTGCGCGGCGCGGCAGGA